ACTGCTTCGTTGATTTTGACTTTGTGGCTGTTTCTACTGTACAGTTATGGTCGCCTTACGTAACGCACACCGTAGACAGTCCGCCTCGTCGAGCTCTAAGTCCCTAAGACTTTACAGAGCTCGACTTAGGTGTGTATCTTTGATTCCTGAATATAAAAGCCTTTACAGAGCTCGACTTAGGCCTTTGGAATCGCTCTGAGGCGCACTGCAGCCAACACAGAGACCATCAGACTGTGATGTACATGTATGGTAAGTTTGCATGGCTGTTGGCCCTACTTCATGACATTGCTAGCCTATAGATGTTTCTAGTAAGAGCAGTAGATGCACAACACCACTTGTATAATGTCTGTTTCAATTTGTGATATTAGTACAGTGTGAACAAAAGCTAGAATCCATCATTGTGATGGCTATGCCATTACACAATGGACATGCAAACCAGAGTCAATCTTATGAAAACTCTCAGTGTTAACTGGGATCTTTGTGCTGCTGGTATTCATTATTGAGTGATCATGGCCCACATAAGGGGATGAATTACTAGTTACAGCAAGTAGCACAAGGTCAGTGGAATCCTTCCTTTTGTCTGCATTTTCTGAGCCCAAACTCAACAGGTACTTCAAACTTTCCATTTTTGGAAGGTCAGGTATCACAATACCAATATGTACAGAGGTGTGTGTATTTCCTGTTGCTTTGTGAATGGTGCCATAGTTATATAAATATATGAGAGGGCTTACTATGTACAGACTCTATGATGTCACATATCTCACTGGTAATATTCCCAGGCATTTCTGCATTTTTGTGAGGCCATAGCACAGCAAATACAGTGTCACTGATGTGCTGGTATTCAAACTGAGCCCCAGAGCTTGGCATTTCAGGTCCTATTTAACAATTGAACTAAACATAACAGCTTAGGATCCTGTTTGGGGTTGCCAGTCCCTGAGAGTTGAGGGTGATACTGGTACTTACAAGATGAACCAAGACTCACTGAACAAGTAGTTTGTGTCATGGGAAACTGCATTATCATCACTTTTCTGCTATATGTAGCCTCAATAGTGAATCCAATATGAATCTATGGTACTCCCTGATTTCTCTCCGATTTATCTGCTATCTGTCCAGTACTGCAGAGGCCATCCATGACTAACTTCCCAAAGGGGCAGGGGACTAAGCATATATGGCAGTTTTGTATGTCTGGTATGCCTTACTTCATGGAGCTCATACCTGCAGAACTCTCTAGTAAGTATGCACACAAAGATCTGCCCATATGCCAGAGCATCACATTTCATGGTAAGTACTCTTGATGATACCTAATCTGGGCACTCCCATCAGTATACAAGGAGCATCCCATGGAGGAGTAATATTTTGGCAATTTATCGCATTTGAGGGGTCCCTAGTAAGAGCTCAGTTAGTGTGGCTTGAAGCCATCACAAAACTCGGCATGAAGAGCTGAGATTGAGAGATTACTTGAAAAGGGAATCTTTGTCAGCATTCCAGCCAATGGGAGTGCTCCAAAATCCCTTTTGAGTGACCAGAGTTGTCGACAGGCTGGAATTCTGGCCTGTCGACGACTGTGCTTCGGCAACGGGCGCTTAGTTGGGCGCTTAGTAAGTGATGTAAGTGCATACTGGTACTTCAGCACATTTCACTTGTTTTCGGCTCAAGAAAATGCAGATTAACCAGACGATATTCCAGGAGATATGTGGAGCATCCCTGAGCATATTTACAAGTGGAGAAGATTCCCTATATGGTCATTCAGTGCTGAGACATCAAAACATGCATGTTATTACCATTTTTCCCCACCAATAGCTGTGCTGTGCAACTTCCAGACACATCCATGCATTGTAAACTATGCACATAGCTATACAGGTCATAGGCAATGTGTTTCAGAGACAACAAGCCATTCATATCTGCACAGTCACTTGTGATTCTCTAAATGTTGTCCTTTGTTCTTCATTCCTCCACTGTTCAAAGAGAACAGCCCCTAGTCACATCCATCTCCATGGCCCAGTGTCAGCTCTGTGGGGTTATTCATCCAATTGGCAAGCCAGTTGTGAGTCTGGTCTGAGCTCACTTGGCCAGTATGATACTGATCAACACACCCCATATCTTGCCAATTATGTTACCCATCATGCAAAATTATGAGTACAATGAACTGCACATAGATCTACCCATGATGGTACCCATACCCAAGGGTACCCATGATACCCATGCCATGGGTATGCAACCCATGTGGGTATGTGTATGGGTATGCCCTCAGACACCCATGGGTACACCCACGCTATGCACTATATTTCAGCGGTGAACCACAGCAGAACAGCGCAAGCGGGCCCACGTACTATTGACCGACTTTGTCTACAAATTTGAACATCTCTATGTCCAACGCAAGGTCTCTCGTATGCACTTCCTGCCGCAATGCATGCATGCACTCACTCACACACCATCCGAGACGAGCCATATAGGCCCTTTAATCTGCAGTTCTCAATTCACTATTGAAAGAACGATTGGAGATCTAGGTGCAGAGATACGACAGCCCTCGCAACCCTTTGCAAATCTCGCCCAGCGTGCACTTCGACGTGCTCAGGTGAATGGACTCAGGGCAATCTGCCCTGAATTTGACCATGTCAAACCAAGCTCACATCCCATGCCTATTTTCGACGCGGGAGATGGTGTCCAACTCTTGCATCCTCGGGAGGAGAGTCCAAAATGTGTGAGTGAAGCCGAACATACTGCCATTCGCACATACCTCGCTCGACAGGATGGTGCTACTCCATGGGGTGGTGTGGACCAAGGTCGCGTTCAGTGTTGGGCTAGATGCCTTCTAAAAATGGTCAGATTTGTCGCAGTGCATGGAAGGAACTTTCCAAGAAGGTTTCTCGCATTGCTCGTAATATCAAGGTATGTCTGTGCTTGTCCGGCGAGTCATAAGGTGATTCTGTCAATATTGATTTATCTCTCAGTTCACAATTGAAGCTCATCCTGGTATTGCATACGGAGAAGTGCAATACTATTTTGTAGGCAGCAATGATGAGGCTCTCGTGCTTGTATCGCAATACAGTGACCCCAATTTTGCACTTCTCAAGCAGTCGGAAGGAACTGTTTGGGCGTGTCAGCATGGAGATGAGCATGAGTCTCTGGTCGTGGTCAGTGTGACAAAAATAATTGGTTGTGTAGCTATGATACCCTATACACCATTACCTTTACCCACTGTCAATCCAGCTAGTGATACATTCTTTGTAATGGAGAAACTCGGGGCAGAGATGGCAGAGATGGGTGTAGAGGATCCTGTAGATGAATCAGACAAGTTGGAATAGATATTTCACTCCGAAAAGCAGTGGACCAGCACTACATGATATAGCATGATCATTGTCCTGTCTAATAAATTGTATGTCTGGCACACAGATATACAATGAACTTGTTGACTTGGAGGCCGACACGTACGATAGCCACATAGTTTCCCTAAAAGGCAACTAAGCGCTCGGTGGGCTCGTCGTCCTTGGTTGATTTTCTCCTTGCGTGCTGCTACCAGTGTCTCTGACTGTGGTCACATCCCATACACTCTCTTGACATCTTTTTTCCCTCTCATTGCTCATGGATGCCCACTCTGCTGCACCTTTCCAATATCCGCCGGATACCTACTATCGTGGCGGTGGTATCAGTGGATCATTCAACTCATCGACTCCAAGTCATGGCACAACATTCAGTAGCCCACTCAACATGGTCACAGCAAGCCCTTCGTTTTCATCACCTATGTCATCTATCAGCATGGATCTCCCCTTACACAACTTTCCGAGTAATCACTTGCGATTGGACCACCACCCTAATACTACACAGGCCTCGCGTCACAATAATGGTACAATGTTGGGCATGCCTGTATGTAACATTCTTTTGAGATGTCTTCACTGTTCCGAGTCGAGGATATATTGCTGACAGCTATACAGAATCTCGGAAGCTCGGCATATTACAGTTCATACAACCCACCTTCTACAATGTCCGAGTCGTCCACAAGGCGGTTGGAGTACATAGCCCGCGCTGATCATACTGGCCTGATTCAATCACGAAATGCTGCATATCTTGTGTCTCTACAACAGACAGAGATATTCCGTGCACAGTGCGACAGATACAGGTAAGTCGTAGCAGTGTGGGCTCCATGACTCGGGAGTTGGGACTGACAATTGCTACATTAGCCAGCTCATCGAGAAACTCATCATGCAGATACCTCAGCTCATTGCTCTCAATGCCGAATCACCCGAAGTCTCAAAGTTCATGCCTGCGTCATCCAGCACACATGCTCCTAGCGGTGTTGCACCGTGGGCGCACACCCAACCAGTGCTTGGTCTAGGTATGGTCTAATCCCAATGTGCTGCAGACGCCTCAAGCCATCCACTTCAAGGTCTACAAAGACTGGAGGTTGTCGAGTGCAAGTAGTGGTACAAGCGGACAACATCCCATCTCCGAGAATGTTGCACAGAAGTATATCAAGGATGAACATGGTGTCGCAGTTGATGGGTATGTCGCCGTGTTGCATTCACTGGCTTGGAGTGGACAGTATGCTTTGACGTCAAAGGCCCTTTCTCACAAGGCCAGAGTCTACATTCACGTCGTGATTTTCCAGCACTTCCCCATGCTCGAGCCCATTCAGCGGATTTGCCTATGACCATAGGCCAGCCGACTGGGAAAAAACACAAGTGTCATTGGACAACCGAGGCCGGCCGACAGCTGACGGTCTTCCGTCAGCCGACAGTCGTTTAGACGCATGAGCATTGGGTCGGCCGACGGGTCAGTAAACTACGCTAATCAAACAATACATTTCTTGTACTATGGTTATCCTTGACCTGACGTTGGATGGCTCAATGTGCACTTGCTGGGGAGTGGGCCATGTATGGCAATACAATCTCAGTTGTGTTGTCTGTGTCTTTTGTTTTCTGGTTCATCAAATTATCACTTCAATCTCACTTATCAATGATTATATGTATTATGTATTCATACATACTAGTCTGTGAGACTAACTTCTGTGCTTGACTAGACCAAGTAGTTGTCAAGCTTTAACAATAATACTAACCTTGCACAAGCCAAATTTTATTCATCATGGAGTATCATAGTAGTAGTAACAGAGATGTTTACATTCATATGGCTGAGCTCATCATCCTCAATGTGGTAACACAAATCCTGAGTCCTAAGTGTCCTAGACAATAAATTTATTGATTCCAGGTAGCTATGCCAATATTGCTATACAGCCATTACCCAATGATATGTGCAGTTGCACAGTTGCTCTTGCCTAAATGTAGCTAAGCTATCCTGTCATACCATGTCTGGGATATAATGTACTGTCTCAAACACTGAACAATGATACCACCTCAAACTGGCAGTCTTTTCTATTATGTAATCTGTGTAGAGCATGCTAATGAATGAATAATGATCATTATTAGAGTTCATTGTACCATTTGAGCTGGGTAGGGAGTCATATACTTCCCTACAAACTGTTACTATACTGGCCTAGACCTTCCCAATGTCAAAGTCTGTTCAGATTAAGTTTGGTACATTCATGATCCTTGTTCCTGAATTTTAGCTCATGCTGTGGAAAAACAGTCAGTCACATGGTCAAGATACAGTATACTGGAATTCTCATCTGTATTCCTCCTCATCACTTGTCCCAACACCATTCCATAGCATGTCTCTGTCACTACAGACATATGTAACAAGTTACTAGCAACAATCTGACCCAGACATTGTTACAAATATTCAATGGAGAGCAAGAACCTGTAAATAAGAATTATATCATCAACATCACTATTTTTTTTTTTTGCACAATAGCAGGCAGTCTGCATAAGTCTTTCACTCCTTCAGAAGGATCAGCTGTAGTCCAGAGCTTTGGGTGAGCAAAATAACCACATATGTCATTCATTACTTCATTGATTTTCTGGAGTTTGGGATTTCTTTCTGAGCCTACACAAGGAGGTTAAGTGGCCTCAAAATGAATATCCTGCACATGTTCATGCTTTGTTCTATATGATGGCTATGGAAATTATGAGGTCTGTGAAGAAGCTATCACACAATCGTGATTACTACTACATATGGCAGGTGCCCTCCCAATTGGCAATCTCACACTGGGCAATGCTTTGTGTGCCTAGTCAGCATACATGCATTATATGTGTCCTGTGTCCTGTTCTTGAAATGCTATTGTGAGACATTCAAAGTTGCTGATGCTCCTTCTCATGGATTACAGTGCTTTATGTGACCCATTTTGCATCTTTCCATAGTTGTAGGCATTTGAAAACTTCTCAACTGTGCTCTCTGTCTGTATCAATGACAATCAGCAAGTATGCATTCCTACACTCATTGGCACAGGGTGCTATGTAATGCAATTGCTGGGCAAAATAGTAGACCCACTCTGGTGTGATGGTGAGTATATCAGACATATTGGGAGCACACACATGGCTGTGTCTAGTGATATTGTTAGATGTGCATACTCTCACTTGTCAGGCTACATATGTACTGGATACCTCAATGTCATACTGTCTGAATCCTCAAACATTAAACATTGTGCTCTCATCTTTAGCATTCACTCCAAGATATCATAGAGTGGCCACAGGTAACACCCAATGTGGTACTGTTACTATTGTGTCATGAAAGCTGATTGGCATCCTTGTGGCACTTGTAATTGTAGACTATTGGTATCATACAACTCAAGGTACTTCAAGATAGCTACAGAGAGGTCCTCCAATTTATTGTGGATTTATGCGATTTTCTTGGGCCCAAATCAGTAGGTTTTGTCCTCAGAATGAATATTCTGCGCATTTTTGACTGCTGTTTCAAGTCACATGACCAATGACGGGTCGCAGCAGTTGCAGCGAAAACACCGCTGCGAGTGTTGCGACCCCACGTCATTGGTCATGTGACTGGCTAGTGGCTATTGTGCCTGTTCTGGTACAAAAGAGACATGTCAAAATAGTGATGTGTAGCTAATGTGAACCATGGAATGTACATTACAGGCAAGTTGTGGGAGGGCTTATTGCACAAGAAGTATCACAAAAGCTCACAATGCCCTAAATGGTGAGCAACCTTCCAAATCCAGTAATTCTTCATAAAGTGAATGTCTGGTGCTTCATAAATTGCAGATAAATCAGAGGATATTCATAGAGCACTATGACATGTTTATGAGGGATGTGCCATTTACAATATGTTACCATATATGGAAGGTAAGCTATAATACCATGGACAAGCATGAAATCAGTCAACCTTGTTCTGAGCTCTGTTGTGGCACCATAAAGCATTTTCATGATGTCTGACACATGGCTATACTGTATAGATCATGTGCTCCACATCTAGGGTGAAAATAAGCAGTTCAATTCTGCAAAGTCTCTTGTGTTTTTTTGTACTTTGCATTTCCTGGCCTAACTAGCCACTATTGGGGCCCAACAAAATTACTGTAGACTCTATGAAACAAGGGCTACAAGTTGACTATATAATTGCCATATCCATTTGTGGGTGCTTACTGTTGCAAAAAGTGATTGATTCTATTGGAGCCCAGTGTCGCTGGTGAGGTCACATGCCATGCTCACCACTTTCCATATTGGGCTCCAAGCTAGATGTTACAGGAGTCCCAAGTCCATGGGGAATTGTCAGCCACAGCATTTGTTTGCAGGTGTTGGTGCAAGTTGCATCGTCTGGGAGTCTGAAATTTGAAACTCAGCTAATGTAAGCATAGTAAGTGTTACTTATCTTTGATTATCTGGCGCTCAAACAGTCACATGCACTGTGGTAAAAACCTGCCACATTGGGCTCCATGCTAAGTGTTACATTATCTCCAGTCATAAGAACGATTCCTTTGTACCTCAGGGATCGTAATTGAGTACCCAAGTCAGCTTATTGAAGAGGCGTACAGACGTATGGACATACCCATTGTGCAATTGATGCTCGGTTGACTCAATGAGCATTGAGTCAACCGAGCATCAATTCACCCAATGGTCATTGTCTCTACCGAGCATCGGTTTAACCAATGTTCATTGGTAAATCCGAGCTCGTTTGCCCCGACGTGCATAGGGCAACCGACGTCGGATGGCTACTCATGCCCAGCCAGGGCTTGTGGGATGTCCATCCAATGTTGGCCACGTCTATGAGCATTCACAACCCGATCTTGGGTCCCTGAATGCCCATAGACACAGCCGATGCCCGCCTGCAGTGGTGAGAGCCGGTTTTGAAGAAACTGCCCGCTTTTCAAAAAGATGCCTGGTTCAGATCTGATTGGGTGCCAGATCGACCGGCCATTTCACACCTCTTTTCGTCTCTCTCTGCTTCTCCTCCTCTCATCCTCTGCACTTGAGACCACCCCCACGCCTGCTCACACGCTCTACATCAGTCTCTGCATGTCTGAAACATCCAACCTCAACATACCACGTGCACTCCAGGCGGCACACTCGCGCCGTGTCTGCGCCGGCCGCAATCGAGGTCTCTCAAGCCTGCTCTCCAGCGGCGACCATGGACGAAGACCAACACAATCTGGCCGCGCCAGATTCCTCCAGCAACCGCGCGGACAGGCTCGCTACACGTCAGGAGGACGGAGACACACCTACACGTGTCTCTTGCTCCCTAGAGACGCGTGTACCCTTCCCAGGTACGTTTTTCCTATCTTCCGGCCATCTCTGCTTTCTGAATCAGTCCAGGGGTGTCGGGCGCCATGCCCGAGCCAGCTTTCAACATGTCTGAGCACGTGGGACACACTGTGGAACACAGTACGTCCTTTTTTGACTGTTTCTCTGCGCTGCTCATGCTCCCTTTGCGTCTCTAAGATGCCACCGGCCCACAAACGCCTCTTCTACAGGCCAGGGGCAGTGCTCAGTGTCCAGGTGAGTCCATCCACGCATCCAGCTCGCCCCGCTGTCCAACATCCCACCCACCAGCACTGCCAGCTCATCGCCAGCAGGCGGCAACACTGCCCGTCCTTTGCGATGATGTGGCGGCGCCGCACGCCGCTGTGCCTCTCTCTCGAGCACAGAGCGAGCTCTGGGAAGGTGCGTGGTACACCTCCCTTCATTCCTCCACCGCCTTTGTTGATGCACAGCCTTTTTCAGGCGGCCGTACACGTGTTGCTATGGCAACATGGCCTGCAGCTGTGTCACTAGACGCAGTGCAGGCTGCGCTGACTGACGGTGAGTGCGGTTTCGATTGCGGCACTCCGTGCTCACTTCCGCCTCTTCAGCCTGCGGCAACGCTGTGCACGCGAGCCGTGGTTGCTCTGCACCGGCAGTGCCTACCTTGCATACCGCAGGTACATCGTTTCTGCAGGTTTTCTGCTTGTCACTGACACGTCTTCTTCCTCTGCAGTGGGGCACGGTGATGTGGCGTCTGCGCAGACCCCGTTGTCACCTCTCAAAGTGGCAACCCTACAGCGCTGCTCCCGCCCACCGCTGTGCTGCACCCGCCCGCCGCTGGACCATTGACAGTGGGCGGCGCAGAGCTGCGAGACTGGCTGGTTCAGCTGGGCATACTGCGTGCTGCAGCAGAGTCTTCCACCTCTGCTGCGATTGGGGAGTCAAGCGGCCACGCTCCAGGTACGTACCTTGCATTTTTACCGTTTCTTGCTGACTTGATCTCCCAGTCACTGCGGGCAACAAGCTGCCACCACCGCCATACTTGCCCCCTCCGTATGTGCGACACACTCATTGACCCGGCATCTTCCACATGCCGCTTTACTTCCCGCCCATGCACAACACGGAGAACGGTGGCGCCGTGCTGCACCGTGTGATGCCCGTCCTGATGCAATATGGAGCCTTATTTCCTGGGATCGACCGGTATCCCAGAGGCACCTGGAAATCCCTGGTGAGTACCGTCTGCAATTTATTCAATCCTGCTCACCTCGAATAGGGTTCGTCAGGAGTCGAATGTGGGGCACTTCGACTCCTTCGTTGTTGCATGGAAGACACTCTCCCATGAGCAAGGTGAGGTATTTGTGTGGTTCATTGTCATTCCTGTCGACAATGAGGGACAGCGAGACATGATTCAAGTGTATCTTCAAGAGGCATTTGAGGAGGAGCAGGACATCAGGGGAGTAGAGCAGGAGCAGGAGATAGAGTGAGGCATACAATACATTGTACAATGTATTTCATCAACTCAAAACATCATTTTGGTCGCACTAAACATATTCATATTCAAGTATGTATAGTAGTGGGAGGTCCTCAACTCCAGAAAAGAGAGGTGAGCTTGCTTCACACCAGTGCAAGCCCAAGTTTGAGAGGCGCATCGCCTCTCTGCTACTGGCCGTACTACGCCTCTCGTCAGTGAACTGACACTCGGTTCGCCAATACTCTTACAAGGCTTGAGTATCCAATCAATTGCTGCCATGTAGATGTGATGATGCTCCGCTCGTACACCCCAGAGCCTCAGTGTGTTCTTCTCTCACCATGGTGTCAAGAAAGTGGCATAAGGTTGAGCTCTCCGTTGAGCCGAAGGCCGTGCGCACCGTCGTGACACAAACCTCAAAAGGCAAGAGATATTGTTTGGTCTCTGCTGAATTTGCAAAGCAGAGAGAACCCGCTGTGTCCGCTGCAGGGCCATCCGAGCTGGGGCCGTCACAGCCATCTAGACAGTACGGAGAAACATCAAACAACATACCTGTCTTCGACTTTGGGGCTCCAGAGAATGCCCATTTGCTCGAAGGTCGTCCGAGGAAGTGAGCAAAGACGAAAGCATCCGGCTCTGTAAGTCGCGTCATTGGACAGACTTTCTTCGAGCTCATTCATGTCCACCAGACCCAGGCTGATTTCATGCGCCAATGGCTTCCACGGCGAGATGCATTTCTTCAACACCTAGTCGATCTTAGTGCATAGCGTGGGTGTACCCATGGGTGTCTGAGGGCATACCCATACACATACCCACATGGGTTGCATACCCATGGCATGGGTATCATGGGTACCCTTGGGTATGGGTACCATCATGGGTAGATCTATGTGCAGTTCATTGTACTCATAATTTTGCATGATGGGTAACATAATTGGCAAGATATGGGGTGTGTTGATCAGTATCATACTGGCCAAGTGAGCTCAGACCAGACTCACAACTGGCTTGCCAATTGGATGAATAACCCCACAGAGCTGACACTGGGCCATGGAGATGGATGTGACTAGGGGCTGTTCTCTTTGAACAGTGTCCTGGACAGCCTGCAGTCCAATGATGGGGCAGCAAAGCAGGACAGTTTTATGGTGCATATCTACTGCTACCACTTTGAGAACAACCCCACTGACTGCATGGTCAATCACAACGCAAGCCAGGACATACATCAATTAGATGGGAGGCATCTACATGAGGGCAGTAGGCTGTTATGCAAGCAATTTATATACATGCAAGAACAATGGAGCAGAGAGGTCAATTGAATGGTCAAAGCAAGGTAACATAGGACAAATCCATCCAAGATGTGACAAAGGATTAAAGAACCTGATAAACAGTGACTGTACCTTTATTTCCAGTACATATCACTACTTAGGTGGGGAGACCACAAGATTTGGGGGATAGCAAGTCTGCATATACAAATGCACATCACAACACAGAGGGGATAGTGATGCCATGGGCAGAGCCTTTTGAAATTCACCATATCCCAATGGGTCACCCCAATGTAGCAGGATTACTGTGGGTCAACATTGAGCAGAAACTCAGGGTAGACAACAATTTAACTGAAACACAGGCAAGATGTGGCATTGTGCAATGAATATGAATAGTCTGCCACATAGACTAGCCTCAGAGAAGAGGAACATATTAGGTTGATTTACTAATCTTATCACTGAATACTGCCTTATGTCACAGGTTTTTCACCAACATATGATAAATAGGGCTGGGGGATGAACATGACCAGCCCATGATGTGGACATTTTCATTACGATCCCTGAGGTACGAAGGTATCGTTCTTATAACGCTTCCAGTGGCGCCCAATGCGGCAGTTTTTTCCCACAGGTACAGTCATTTGCCCCCAGCTTACCATGTATAGTTAACATTTGTTATGGTCAGTTAGCGGAGTTCAAAATTTTCAGACTCCCAGACGACGCGACTTGCACCAACACCACCAAACAAATGCTGTGGCGCAGTGCTTTGTCCTGGGGTGAGGGCCCAAGAAACACTTCGAGTGGCACCCAATATGGCAACTGGTGAGCATGTCATGTGACTGGCAGCCAGGCAGCTCACTGCTAGCGCTCACACTTATAGGCTGCCCCATAGCCCTAGTTAGTAACAATTGTGAATGGACTTAGTATACTGATCTGATAGCCCTTCATTCAGAGAGTATACACTATCATTATTGAGTAGCTAGAGTGGCTGGCTGGTCCAGAAAATGCAAAATAAAAAAATCCACATGTGCCTCTGCAGATGTCAAAGTGCCTATTTGTGCCTCAGATGTGTTCCATATGTCTGTAATGACATACATATGTGATTCAGACACTGTACAACTCAGTGGGTGCTGCACTACAGCCAAAATCAGCCACAATGAGCCATTTGACCCTCTTTTCACATGTTGTAGTCCATGTACATGGTGTAGTGATGTCTATGATAATCCCAAGCACTCAGATTCTCCTATTGGGTACTTCTGTATATTTGACAGATTTTCTGCATTTTTGTGACCTCCATGGGCACCACATCTTGTCCTACTTCCTCTTTGGGCAGGACACCTACTCTATATGGTAGTTGTGGCATGTAGCTGGCATATAGACACATAGACACAATCTGGGGATATATAATGGCCATACATACATATGTATCCATGCTACTATGATGTCAGGCTTTGTATGCTGCAGAGACACTGTGATCATAGGCTTATATGAGCTCCCTGAATGTGAATTTCACTGTGTTATTGAGTATACTGCCCTAGTTGATGCAACAATTGTATCATGGAAGGCTATAAGGATTTGACCTCATTCATTCTGAATATCTTCTGAATATTCCGCTTTTTTCAAGTCTATACAAGCCCTCTTGACACAGTAACAGTCTGCACTGACACCGCTTACTAAGCGCCCATTGCCGAAGCGGACTTGTATACAACTGCAGCCCTGCATTTCTCTGCAACTCAGGTCACCCAAAAGGGATTTTGGAGCAATGTCATTGGTTGAACCACTGGCAAACCTTGCCTTCTAAGGGAATCATTCAATCTCAGCTCCCCATGCCGAGTTTTTTGATGGCTTGCCCAATGTGGTCAGCAGCACTGTCTAGACTCTTACTAGAGCACATTAAATGTGGAGAAATCTCGGAATATTGACTCTCATGCAATGCTCCTTGCACACAGGTATGGAGGTCCAAATTAGGTATCCCAGGGCTTGTTCACAGTGTACTGACCAATGCAAGTGATGCAGAGGCATATGTACAAATGTTGTTTTGCATTTACTGCCCTTACTGGAGAGTCCTACAGGCTGACAATCTTATGCAGGGGTCTATGGCTACCAGATATGAAAAATGACCATATATGGTAGATCCCTTGCCCGTTTGGGATAGATCACCTTTACAGTGTTGCATAAATGGCCGGACAATGAGCAGAATATTAGATAACACTATTGTCCCATTGTGGGTTGATGTGTGATGCTGAGTACTTGTGGATGAGATGGAAAGGGTTAGCAGAAACACAGAGTCTGGTGCAATAGGCTCAGCCACATGCCATGTGAGGTTCACTCGTCCACAGGTCAAAGTTTTGACCTGTGGGCGAGTCATCTTGCAGTGTAGTCTCCCAGACTCCACTGAAATATGCTGTTTAAGGGAATTAGCCTCTGACTGGCCTTACTGTATTTGGCCAAAGGCTCTCAAGTCTATGTATCTGCTGTACTGTAGCCTTCACAAATAAGACAAATCTCCAAAATATTCTCTCTGATAGGTATGATGTCATAGAGTCTGTAGCTGCTGTGACTTGCCCATCAACTTCAGTGGTTATGGCACAATTCACAAAACTCAAAAACCCACATATGCCTCTGTACACATGAGTGCACTGCTTTTAACCTTCAAAGCGACTCTATCAAAGCCTGTAGACTGCCCATTGATTCTCTGACATCTGGGATCTGCTATATAGGGAAGCTGGCCTTCCAAAAATGGCAGTTTCCATTCAGCTGCTCAGTCTGGGCTCAGAAAATGCTGATAAAATCTGGGAATATTATGTACAATTGAATTAATCCATGATGCCTGCTGTATGTAAGAAATTGATTCTGTATAGCGTCCTCAGAGTCTATAACCAGCATGCCTTGCCTATATATTCATAATCCAGAAAAGAGAACCTCTGTGGACAATTGCAAAGTGATTCCAAATATGAATAGGTTGTTGTCTCTGAAACACATTTGATATGACCTGTATAGACCATGCACATAGTCCACACAGCATGAGTGTGTCTGGAATGTGCACAGCACTGCTATGAGTGGGGAAATATTGTCATAACATGCCTGTGTTGACTTCCCACTACTGAATGACCATGTATTGAGGTTCTCTCTATTTTTAAGATGCTTAGGGATATTCCACAGATCTTCTAGAACATTATCCGATTTTCTGGGACTTTCTTGAGCCCCAAACAAGTCAGTTTTGCTGCAGAAACAGTGCACACTTACATCGCTTACTAAGCGCGCAAATAAGCGCCCGTTGCCGAAGCGGAGTCGTCGACAGGCCGGAATTCCCGGCCTGTCGACGACTCCGGTCATTCAAAAGGGATTTTGGAACATTTTCATTGGCTGGGATGCTGACAAATATTCCCTTTTAAAGTAATCTTTCAATCTCAGCTCTTCATGCTGAGTTTTTTGATGGCTCTCAGCCACACTAACTCAGCTCTTACTAGAGCCCCATTAAATGCGCAAAAATACTCAAATAAATACCCAAATATTCCTTCTCCATGGGATACTTCATGGATAATGATGGGTGTCCATATTAGGTATCTTTGAGAGTACTGACCATGAGAAGTGATACTGAGGCATATGAGCAGATCTTGGTAAGCATGTGTACTAGAGAGCTCCACAGGTATGAGGGGAGTCTTTGAGGCAGACATGGAAACCTGCCATATATGGTTAGTCTCCTGCCCATTTAGGAAGTTGGCCATTGATGGCCTCTGCAGTACTGGATAAATAGCAGGAAAATCAGAGAAAAATCCAGGAGTACTATACATTCATATTGTGCTCACTATTGAGGCTCACATGTGGCAAAAAACCTATGATAGTGCAGAGTTTCCCATGCATGGCCTGATATAAGCCACTCTTTCAGTGAGTCTTCGTATATCTTGTAACCACCAGTATCACCTGGAATTGTCAGGAACTGGCAACTCCTAACAGGATCCTAAGCTGTTGTGTTTTGTTCAACAGTTCAACAGGCCCTGAACAGACAGGCTGCCAAACTCTGGAGTTGAGCTTGAATGCCAGCCACAAGCCCATCAGTGACATGTATTTGCTGTGCTGTGGCCTCCCAAAAATGTAAAGAAAAAACTGATTGGGTATATTCTCAGTCACATATAATGTGTCATAGAGTCTGTACATAGTATGCCTTCCCATACTTTCATATTAATATAGCACCATCCAACAAAGAACAATAAAAAGCACATGCCTCACACTCATTCTTTGACATTGTTTGTGTTTCCTGTGATGCTTACCAATTACCTATGAATTGTGTGAATACTATGTAGTAGCTGACCTGGAAAGTTTGAATTAGTTGTTGAGTCTGGGCTCAGAAAATGCAGACAAAACAAGGAAATGTTATGTATGATTCCCACCTTGTACTACTTGCTGTAACTAGTAATTGGCTTCTCAGCCCCTTATGTGGACCATGATCACTCAACAATGAATACCTGCAGCACAAAGGTACCATTCAATGCTGGAAACACTCATAACATTGACTTTGCTTTGCATGTCCCTTGTATAATGGCATAGCCATCACAAATATGGGTTCCAGAATCTGTTCACACTGTACTGATCCTAGAAGTGACACAGAGACACTGTACTGTGCACTTGCTACTCTTACTAGAGAACTGTATACACTACCAGTGTCATGAGGTGAGAAACTAGACATGCAGACTTACCATACATCCCAGCCCTTCATAGTTGCTGCAGTGCTGGACAAATGGTGGAGAATGAGATGACATCAACTCTATTCCCTCATATGATAATTGCTTGGAGCATATCTAACCTCTACCATCATATCATAGGCTGATGTGTTACCAGGTCCTATTGTTCAAGTTACGCAATGAGCCTTGGGTGATATAATTGGCAGGGAATGATTGTACCATGTATTGATGATGTCTATTTGTACAATGTCTACTGTCACTCAGACTGCCACTAGGCAACCAGCAACAGACCATACTTATAGTGGACTTCTAGGCAAATATCTGACTGTCCTTTTCTAGATCTCGAGTCAATAATAAGTGACTTTGGATCACTCTCATTGGCAGCAACATTTCCCTTCACATGTTAGCATAAAATGTCAGCTACTCATGCTGGATTCTTTGATGGTATATGGAAAGTCACACAATAACACCATAGACCCAGGAGTGAACACGTGTGCCATTTTAACAGTGTTGTATATATCATGGGAGGGTCCAAGAAGCAGGTATTATTACACATGGTGCATTGTGGTAATATCTGGTGGAGTACCTGCCATTCCAAATAAACAGTAGAGAATCTGTATATATTGAGAGGGTGGTTGAACAAGAGCAATATGGTGGTGAATTGTGCATGCATACAAAAGAAGTAAGTGTCAGCCAGCAGATGAAACCAAAAGTTATCTCACAAAGGTTGAAAACCTTTGTGTTCATGAGAATTATGACTGGATACCATGACCATTGAGTAGGCATTACTGGAATACTGAGCAAAGGCAATAATGATTCCGTGTGCAAGTCTCAGTGTAAGTATGTGCTCTTCACAGACAGTTTCCTATGAATATAGCAATGACACACAACACATGGTGGCTTACTTGCTCAATTGTAATATTGCTCATGATGGAGCACTGAAATCAACAATGTAGATAAACAGGATGCATAGAATATTTGGGCTGCCAGGCAGCAACTAGACAGTGAAAATGGGAAATACTGAATTCTTCACACCTCAATGTGTCTAAATAAATGGGATCGTACTGCCAGCCATGGCCCTCTCCCCAGCAAGTTGAGAGCTTAATGCATTGCTACTTAGTAAGTGACACAACTGGGACCATGATTTCTTATAAAGAGCATGATCATAGCCCTACTACATTGCTGAAATCCTGGATTTAGTGAATCAACTAACAATGCATCTATGCTAAATGTAAAACTGGAACTGCAGGTCTAGTGTTCATCTCAAAAGGGCCTTGACACAGTATCCATACTGATCCTTCTTATGCTATCAGGAGTGGCCATGTCACAGATGCCTAGCAAAAGATTAAAGTAAACAATATCACTGGCTGTCCAACATGGACAATTACATGGTAAGATTCAGTCTGGTCATATTTTGTATTTCAGCTCATGAATACATGGCACTGGAGTAGCTATCATTGTGAGTTAGAAAGATGAGGTCAGCATGATGGCACCCACACTGTAATGCACTTGTTGTCATCATTTTGACAACTTCAGCAGTCTATGTATACACAGCACAGACTATCTGACTAGCAGTTACCATATTCTACTGCAGGATTAGCACTGCAGTAGTCCATGGGTCACATGGGTTCATGGGTCAGATTTTGGCTACCCATACCCATACCCATGCATACCCATACCCATGACCCACATGGGTTATCCATACCCATGCAATGCACTAGTCGATCTAGAGGGTCCACGGGAAAGGTGACAGTGCTCTGGGTGCAATGCGGAGTGGAGTCCTTGGCGGTGCATTGACTGCTTCACTCGGCCGAGCTTTTGCACGGCTTGAGTCAAAGTGGTGTCAAGCGCCAAAAAGCCCTGTCACATGATGTAGTTGTGAATGCTCTGGGTGTATCTTATCTAGGTCAAGATGAGTCTCTATTCCAGCCTGAGCATCTCCAGCTTGCACAGGAAGTGATGCTACCAACTCGGTCAGGCAAGTGCTTGTGCGCGCAATGGCCTTTTTCAGCTTGCAGAGGGCCTCCTCCTTCTTGATGTGATTCTTCTTCATCAGCCAGACCTGTGGGACTTCACTGTCATCGAGGCAGTGTACTTTGAGCTGAGCATTGATGTCTCCCCAGCTAAGCTTTGTGAGCCTTGTCTCATTGTCAATCAGCTCAATTGCACAAAGCCACGCAAGTTGCTCGATGGTGCATTGCTGCTTTGTGGTGGCCTCAGCAGCTCTTTTTCTAGTGACATCAATATCATGTTGAGCCTGTGCCTTGCAACAAAGAGCCTTGTGCCCACTACTGTCCAACTCGCATGCCTCCTTTTTAATATAGGAATGACAGGCATCATTGAAGACCGTGTCCATGAATTCCTGTGCAACATTCTGCTGATACTATGGCAGAGCACGGGTATACCCATGGGTATATCCGGCTCGACCCGTACCCATACCCGCCCTGGGTACTGACCCGTGCAAACGGGTACGGGTTGAAGGCGGGTCACGGCGGGTCCACGTAGGGTCCACGGGTCCACAGGCAGGTTAGCAGGTCCGTCAGCAAGTGGGCGGACGGACGAGTGCCAAGTGATTGCGTGGGCAATTGTGTGGACGAGTAGGTGGCCAGCTGGCCGAGCAAAGGAGAGCGCGGGCCGCCGAGTACTGCTGGTGTCTGGTAAGGTTATACTGCACTGGCCAAGTACTAGGGCGAAGTAATAGATGTGCGTGTCCTGTTGCCCTTTCTTGTGGTCTTTGTGATTGAACAGGGAACCACATACTAGCAAGAGGTATATTCTCCGAGTCTTTCTCTGGGTCACTGACAGTACATCAATGTGCTTCCTGGGCCTTTGCAAGCAAAGACTTTTGGGCCTTTGTTCTGCATCTCGAATGAGCCTTGTATGCTCCATTTCTCTGTCTCACCATGGATAGTTTCTGATCAAAATCAGGTTCAATGGTATGACAAGTCAGAGTTTCATGTTGTGAGCCTGTTATTTCCAGAGTGGAATTCAGTATGGAATAATTGTTTCATATGTACTAAACACATACCAATATACTTGAGAGTTTCCACATGTACCAAGCAGCCAGGGAAATGTGTTTGGTGCACATCACAGCCAGCAAGAGGCGAGCGAGTTACGCCCACATGACCGGTGCAACATGCCTGTGGCACTGAACTTTGCACATCTCGGGCCTGAAGCTTAGTTGATGTCCAGGATGGTGATGGCTCACTATTGTGTCTCACCACTGAGGAAGATAATGATACACATGGTCTAATTAACACTGTCTTCCATTCATTTCCACTCAAATATTCTTTTTAATGCCCAAACTGCATCCTAAAATGTTTGCTCACATGAATCGAAGCTGTTGCTATGAAAACGGAATTGAACACTGTTCCTCTGCCCCTCATATTATATAAACACATTTCTCCTTCATTTATTACATGGTGGGGAGATGACATGAAAGCAACTTCACTTTTCGTACCACTCCACTGGGCGCCAGCCGGGTGGCCAAATAAAGGCAAATAAAAAGTGGCTCTGCAGGTGTTGCCCCTCCCCACTGTTAACTCCTATGAGCAATGTTGAGTGTATGACCTACGCCCTCAAAAGGAATTGGTTTGTCACAGCCACAATTTATTGGTTGACTTGTGACTGGTTAACACTAAAGTGCACTTAGGTCGGGAGATTTACCGTCACTTGGCGGAGGCGCTAAGCGGCTTGCCTCGTATGGCAAGTCTGTCCGATCAGTGTTCCGATCAATCTCAGATTCGGCACGCCACCGGCAAGCTGTGGCGGGTGGCTGAGGTGGCTGGTGTCGTGGCGAGTGGCGGCTGTGGCTGGGGTTTCCTAATCGGGAAGGGCGAGGGTGTGACGTGTCGGGCGTGGAATATACATCACATAGAGCGGGCCTGCGGCGCCGTGAGTGCGAAGAACGCCGCAGGCGCCGGCTGTTGGGCCTAGCGCATTCCCAGGCCACTCAGGACCTGTGGTGGCAGGTGGCTGGGGTTGCCTAATCGGGCGGGGGCACACGGGGCACGTTGGGAGCGCGCCTGCGGCGCCGTAAGACGATACAAAGCGTGCGTTAATGGCTGCTGATGGGCGTGGCTGTCCCCGAGGTACTCTAGACCCGCGAGTAACCAATAGAAGCAACCGCGTACACGCGTCGCCTGTGACTAATGACGATTACACGGGCGCTACACCCCGCCAGCATTGCCTAATGAGGATGACACGGGTGCAACACGTCGGTAGGCATGTCGGTGCACATCGTGTTGAGTGCGCCTGCGGCGCCGTCGGTGCGTGGGAACGTCGCGCCCATAGAACGGTGTGTGTGATACACCGCCTGGCCGTTCTAGGCCCACGATTGGCCCGTAGAAGCGGCCGTGTACGCGGTAAATGTGATGGGCAGCACCTGCCCGATCATTAAGTGCATTAAGTGCATAAAGTAGGGCACCCACTTTATTTTACTCGGCCCGAGTAAATCTCGTAAATTTCCTGGTCCGTGCGTGGGTACCCAGTAAATCTGAGGGCACGCGCGCGGCCTGGGCGAGCTCGCGAAGCGACATTTGATCGCCGGTGATGTACACGCGCCTTGGCGCTTCCACACCCAGCCGCATCTTGCCCGTTTGGGTCACTTTTTTGCGGCCTGCGGCGCGAGGAAAGTGGACGCCTTGGACAGGGCGTGCATTGCTCTGTCTGCGTCTCCGTGCGCTGCGAACCTCGAGCATGGTAGGCACCAAGTTTTATTGAAACTAACTCAAATTTTACTCTTCCGAGCTCGACGGACTGAGTTACCAAGTCCGGGTGCACTCAAGAGACTTATCCTTGCATGACAGAACGCGTACATCGCGCCGTGCAGGAGCACAACGCGTCGCGTTCGGTGCGCGAAGGGTGAGCGGGACGGGATCTGGGATCGCTGACTCAGCGTCGGGCAGCCGAGATTGCACGATCCCAATTTACGGGGATTTACCGGCACGTGTAAAGTTCGGCAATAAAAAGAACTTACTTCCCATCTTTTCGAATCTTTTCGGAAGAAGCAGGTTTCACCTGTAATGTAAACTTGCATGTGTAAGGCATCAGCAGACTGTCATAAATTGTGGCTTTGTCATTAGAGTTGCCTATGTCTGAACACCATGAGCATTACAGGTGGGGTAAGGTGTGAAGTTCAGTAAGGTATCGTGCATAACCACTACCGATCAGGCTCGACCCCGTATGTCGAAGTCGTCTCCGAGATCGTGTCCGGCGACTCGAGCACACCATTTATCGCGTTCACCCCATTGAGCTTCACCTCGCTCCGCACCCTCTCCGGGCGCACCGCGTACTGCCTCAGTGCCTCCACCGCATGGGGATGCACATCCCTATCGACCTCGTCGCCCCAGATGATATCCAAGTGTTCGTACCCATGCAGTCTGCGCGCCATTGTATGGCCGGGCAGCTGCCGCAGCATCATGTCGATGTCCACGAGCGAGTCGGAGTCGCCGTACAGCAGCACGACCGGCGAGACGATGTTCCTGGTCGGAAAGCGCGCGGGGGCGTAGCTCGTCACGCCGCTCGGGCGGTGCCTCTCCGCCGCGGCGCCGGAGACGCGGATGACCTTCTGCACGTCCTCGTCGTACATTTGGAATTTGCCGTTGCGCATGATCTGGAACCAGTGCACGACGGCCTTGACGGAGGAGAAGGAGTAGAGGTGCGCGTACGCAGCGGACTTCTGCAGCGGGGAGATGTTCTTGGATTGCCAGCCGAAGAGGAAGCGGAGGGAGTGGTGGATGACGGAGGTGAACACGGGCGGATAGAGTAGTGATTGCCAGGCGGGCGCAGAAGAGAGGATCGCTCTGCGGCCGAAGATTAGGAACAGAAGGGTGGGACTGGCTCCCGAAATACACTGTCAACACGGAACATGCATGAATGTGATCTGTCACTCACGAAGCTTTCATCAGCCCGTCGACGATGGACGCGTGCAGACCGGGCGGGCTCATGGCGGGTGCGAGCGCGACGAAGACATTGACCTTGTTATTCAGCTGTGGGTGAATGCTCAGCGCTGCAAAGGCCTGCGCGGTGCCCTGACTGAAGCCAACGTAGCTGAGACTCGGCTCCTTCGTCACGTCGAGGATGTATTCAATGGAGTCCGGGATATCATGCCAGGCGAAGTCATCGATGCTGTAGTTCCAGAACTTTGTGCTGTTCGGGTTGTGGTGGATGCTCTTCTTCGAATACTTGTTTCCGCGGTTGTTCCCGAGCCAGACATCGAAGCCGAGCTCGACGAGGGTAAACGCGAGGCTCCGCGCCGGGTCAGTGAGGCAGATCCAGACTTCGCTGTTCATCAAGAGGCCGTGGTGCAAGTACACGACGGGCTTGCCGGTGCTGGCGCCCCGCCTCCCTGAATCTTCTCCGCGACGGAAGGGCAATCTGTGCAGCCCGAGCAGGTATCCGTCCTTGGTCAAGACGACGTGCTCCTCGTGCGTGTAGCCAAAGATCTCGCATAACCGTTCAAAGTCGGACGCGAGGCGGATCTTCTCTGCAAGAGCCTTTTGTGGGGACGGTGGGGACGGTGGGCCGACGACGGTGTGCCAGAGGGTGCGAGAGTGGTCGTAGAACCATTGGATGACGGACGTCGGGAGGAATGCGATGATGAAAGTGAGGATGGTTTCGAGGGTAACAAATATGGAACCAAAAAGGATGGCGGTATATTCCCGCGCGGTGAGGCGGCCAATGAGCGGGATGTGCGGCATGATACCGAGCAGACGAGAGACGATGAGAGAGAGGAGCAGAGCGCGACGAACGTCGCGGTGTACAGTATCCCACAAGCGCTAGCCCTTCGTCACTGACCAGAACACGGTGCATGTGATTCTAGCAGATGATCGTCCCGCCTCCATTAGCGCAACTACGCCCGCTCGAGAATGCACTCAGGAGAGATTCGAACAGTGGTATATAACAGATCTGCCGTACAGTATCAGCAACGACACGCGAGACATTCGTGACTAGACGTATATACACTCCGACGCCAACAAAACAGCATATTTTTAACAGCAGTCTCGACATCGAAAGCACCGCAACATCCTACCAACTCCATCACAGCTTCCCTCGTCACCAGCCCTTGGCCGCCTTGATGAACGCCCGCACCTTCGCCGTATCCTTGCGTCGCCCACTGGCACCCTCCACGCCCCCGCTGACGTCGACAGCCCACGGACGGACAGTCTCGACCGCCTCCTTGATGTTCTCCGGCGTGAGCCCGCCGGCGAGTATAATCGGCATCCGCCCCTCCGCGCCCTTCACCCCCGGCACCTCGCCCCTCTCGACCACCGCCCGCGCAACCTCCCAGTCCAGCTTCGCCCCGCTCCCGCCGCTCAGCCCGTCGCCGCCGGGGCGCACCGCGTCCAGGAGGACGAACTGGTTCAGCCCGGGGCGCGTGACCTCCGCGACCGCGTCCACCCCACTCTCGCCGACGTGCACGACGCGGATGACGGGCACGGGCAGGAAGCGCGCCCACTCCGCGGGCTCGCGCCCGTGCAGCTGCACCATGTCCAGGTGCGCGACCTCCACCGCGCGCACGATCGTCTCCAGCGGCGCGTCCTGGAACACGCCCACGAGCAGCGGGCGGCTCGGCGAGTCCTGCGGGGCCACCGCCTCCCGCGCCGCCGTCGCGTGCGCCGCGAACCACGGCACCCGCGCCATCTCCGCGCCCGCGCCCGCCTGCGCCTGCGCCTGTGCGAGCCGGCCCGCGAGGTAGCTGTTCCGCGGCGACGGCGTGGCGGGGGAGAGCGGCGGGGAGGACGAGCGGACGGGGCGGGCGAAGCGCGACGCGTGCACCGCGACGCTGATCGCCTGTGCCTGCGCGAGCGAGACGGCGCGCTTGCTCGTCGGGACGAACATCAGCCCGAGCATGTCCGCGCCCGCCTCCACCGCGCTGAGCGCGTCGTCCTCCGTGCGGATCCCGCATATCTTCACGAGCGGCCGCTCCGCGCCGCGCTCCTTCCCCTTCGCGCCGTCCGGGGCCAGCGTCGCGGGCGACGGCGGCGCGGGCCAGTCGAGCAGGGTGCGGATGAACGCGCGCGGGTCCTCCGCGCGCATGAGGCTCTCGCCGACGAGGACCGCGCCGACGCCCTCGCCGACGTACGTGCGGACGTCCTCGGGGCCCACGATCCCGCTGAGCGCGCAGAGGACGACGTCCGCGCCGGCGAGCCTCTCCGCGAGGCGGCTCGTCGTCTGCATGTCGACGCTGAAGTCGTGCAGGTTGCGGTTGTTCACGCCGACGACGCGCGCGGGGAGCGCGAGCGCGGCGCCGAGCTCCTTCGCGTTGTTCACCTCCACGAGCGGCTCCATCCCGAGCGCCCGCGCGTACGTGTAGAGCTCCTGCAGGCGCGCCTCGGAGAGCATCGCGACGATGAGCAGCACGCTGTCCGCGCCGTGCAGGCGCGCCTCCGCGATCTGGTACTCGTCGAAGATGAAGTCCTTGCGGAGGATCGCCGGACGCTCCGCGAGCGCGTCGACGGCCTGCCTCGCCAGGCGCATGTCGAGCAGGCTGCCCTTGAACCACGTTGGCTCCGTGAGGACCGAGATGACGGACGTGCCCGCGAGCGCGTACGTCAGGGCCTGCTGCGCTGCGTTCGCGTTCGGCGCGATGTTGCCCTTGGACGGGGACGCGCGCTTGATCTCGGCGAGGAGGGCGGGCTTGCGGGGTGCGCGCCGGAGGGCGTCGACGAAGGACGTGAGCGGGGGCGCGAGCGACATGGCGAGGAGGGCGTCGAGGTCGGCGGGGGACGTCCCGGGGGTAGCCTTCGCCACCTCCACGTCGCGCAAGCGTTGTGCGTATATCCGCTCGAGAATCGTGGGCACCTTGCCGGGGCCGTTGACAGATGTTGAAGGCCCTGCGTGCACTCGTGTGTCGGCCTGGCCGTTTGGCTGACCGTTTGCGTGCGCGCTGCCGTTTGCGGTCTTCAGCCCGTCCCTGCCCTCGCCGAAGACGCCAAAGTCCTTGTTCTCCTCCGCATCCCAGCGGCCGCCCTTGACATTGAGGAAGTTGCGGAGGAGGTCGTCGCCGGACTCTGAGAGGATGCTCTCTGGGTGGTACTGCACGGCCTCCATGGTGTATTCGCGATGACGGACGCCCATGATGACGCCGCTCTCTTGCGTCGTCGCTGTGACCGCGAGGCAGTCTGGAAGGGAAGGTGCGCCGGCGCTGAGGGAGTGGTAGCGGGTGCACTTGATGGACTGCGGGACGGACTTGAACATGCCGCGACCGTCGTGCATGACGTGCGAGACCTTGCCGTGGACAATCTCGCCCGCGTATCTGAGGACATGGTCAGCATTCGTATCGTTTGAAAAGTGGTGCGGGGAACAGCGGTCGCTCGGGGATTCGGAAGGTCTGCGAAGGAGCTATGTTCCGTGGCAGAAAAGACATTTAATGGATGGGATTGGCGGACGAGAAAAGCTGTTGGCCGTGCGACTCCCCGCGATGCAATCCGCCCTTCGACAACCGCCAAACGTGTCTCGTCTGGCAAAGCAATCGAAACGAAATGGGGGACGACTCACGAGATTTGCCCTCCGTATGCGTCAACAAGGCACTGGAGGCCCATGCAGACTCCGAGAATGGGGACCTTTCCTGTAAAGTATGTGATAGCATCGCGAGAGATACCGGAATCTGTGGTGGGATGGCCGGGGCCAGGGGAGATGATGAGTGAGTTTATGTGGAGGTGAGGGAAGTCGTCGGGGGTGATGGCGTCGTTGCGGACGACGGTGACGTCTGCGCCGAGGATTGAGAGGGACTGGTAGAGGTTCCAGGTGAAGGAGTCGAAGTTGTCGATGAGGAGGACATCGATGGGCTTGGTGAGCTCGTCGGGGAGAGGCATGGTGGGAGGCGGGGGGAGGTGGCCCTATAAATATGAGCAAGAGGTGGCGGTGGCGGGGAGAGAGGGCGTCGACGGCAACCGAGCCATATCGTGACTCCCAACCCTAACCCTGCTGCAGGGCCTCCCGCCCACCGTCAGCCACCGCGGCCGCCGCCTTCGCCCCCTGCTCGCTGCCACGCCCGCCTCCTCCGCCGCCCACGATGATCCCGCTGCACCGCACCCTCGCCCGCTCGCCGTCCACGCCGCTGCAGCTGCCCAGCCCGCAGCCGGCTCCCCATCTGCTCGCGCCCTCTGCCTCCTTCGACTCCTCGCACGACAGGCCGCAGGTGCTGTCCCCGCTCGAGGTCGCCCGCATCTCCTACTTTCCCTCCTCCGCCTCAGCCAGCCCCAAGCTCGGCATGAACACCCCCGTCCGATTCGTCCGCCCCGGCCGTCCCTCCGCGTCCCTCGACGTTCAGCCGGCCTACACCGCCTCCATGCCATCCAGCCACGCTATGCACCCGCCTCCCTTCGAGCGCTTCCAGTTCAGCGCCGCCTTCCGCGACCGCGCCAACATCGCACAACCCACCCAGCCTCCCTCGCGCACCCGCCTCGTCCTCAACAGGCTCAAGGCGCGCACCAGCCGTCTGCCGCGGAAGCTCGGCCTCAGCTCAGGACGGTCTGCCCACCTCCGCCCGCCGCGCGTTCCGTCCGACCCGGAGCTCGCCTTCCAGGACGAACAGCATCGCAAGCACCTCTGCTGGCGGTGCCGCAAAGCCGGTGGGCGGCAGACGGGCTGCCGCGCGTTCAAGACGCCTGCATCTCCCGACGAGATGGTCAAGGCCATGGGCTATCACTTCGACACCATGGACATCTCCGCCGTCTTGGCCGGAGTGTCTTGAGTGCATCAGGATGTATAGAGTTTTTCTACTTGCGCTCGTGCCTCGGTCGTCCTCCAATATATCTGCCGCACTGTTCACTCGACGCGATCACCAGTCCATCCCCTGATAAAACGTCTTGACCGCGTTACTGACTGACGTGTAGATGCGCTGGCACTGCCATCCTTAAAACTAACTTTCATGCCTCGAGGCTCACCATCTTCCGTGCAGCCTATCCGAACATCATCACGCCCCGTTCCTTCAGCCACCACTGAATCCCGCCGGTACTTTTCCTGGTCCCCACGACTCCCACAGCTCCCTCACACTCACGCATGGCCTCTCGAGACCATCTTCCTGGTCCGAGTCCGCACTGCGAGTGTATGCACTCATCCCAGTCAGTCGACCAGATCAGCTTCGCCCGTGCAGACTACAACCGTGACCGTCCGCAGAACGTGGACGCCGTGACAGGATTGGCATCCTTGTACGGTCGTGGCGTGTCCGGATTCACGGCACATGCACGGGTGATGAGAAACATGGCAGTTTCGCCAGGACCAATTAGCGAGCGCGACCAACCGTCTATGACTTGTCTGATACTTTGAGTTGATAATCATGAGCAACGTAGGTATGTATTTTTTTACGGGTCCGGAGAGCGAGCGCATGTCCTTCCGATATATTGAAGACTTACCTAGAGAATCAACGTGAACTCGCCGTAGGCACTGTTGTCGCGCGAAGAGACGCGTTATTTGCTCTTATTGACGCGTATACACGGCCGCGCGGTAAACCCCTCAGAGTCAATAATGAGGACCGAGGTTACCGCGACAGGGGTTTGCGCCAAACCTCCTGCAGTCAACCTATACCTTCACCGGTCCTTCTCCCACCCCCACCATGGCGGCACAGCTTACGATCTGGTTCTACTTCGTCCGCGACAACTTCGAGCCCGACGGACACTGGTCTTGGCCTGTGACAGTGTCTGAAGGCACCACCATCGCTTCATTCCAGCAGGAGGTCAAGGACTTCGTCCGCCCCAAGCTCAACGATGTCCATCCCGCGAGGCTCCGCGTGTGGAAGCTGGAAACCCCGTGGAAGCTGCTTGTGGATAGCACGCCCGTGCCGCCCGGGACCCAGCACCAGCGCAGAAGCGCCTGCTCGCGCCCGCCGAGACGGTGAGGGCAGAGGACGGATGGCCAGAGGACTGCACCACTGTTCTGGTGCAGCTCCCCGCCGCCCGAGGTACGTCGTACCCCTTCTCGCTTGGCTTATGCTCAGCCGCACACGCTACCCGAACATAGGCGACCCTCCGTCTGCGGATGGTGAGTACATCCCTTTGCGTGCATTCTGCGTGCTCAACGAGTGTGCCGTCGGAAGACGCCTCTGCTCGGGCCACGCAGGACCTGGTCCGCGAATACAGCGACATCTTCGTCCAAGTGACGGAGCCAGGATGTTTCCAGGAGTCCGACATCGCTCTGAACGACATCAAAGAAACAGCGGCGGTCCCGCCGTTTGTCGAGCGGTTCCGCGACACGCTGGACAGGAAACCGGACCTACCCGACGACGTGCGCGTTATCCTGTAATGGTTTCGGTCCTCGCTGCTGACGGGATGCCGTAGCTAGCCGAGCTGTGCGTCGACCGCGACGCGTGGGCTGCGTATGCCCTGCTCCCCGAGCAAAAAGGCCTTGCGGACGACGGCGGGCCATCTGGCGATCCCGCCGTCGAACGCGGACCCGGGCGTACTGAGGAGCCAGTCGCCGCGAAGGATCCATCCAGGCCCCAGGAGGAAGAAGAGACGCAGCGCCGCGCCGTCAGCCAACTTGAGGCGGCCCATATCAACTGGGTCGCGTCCATCGAGTGGGAGAGATTCTGGACACATGGCCTCGCCAGTCTGGAACCTAGCCTGGAGGAAGCCGCGGCGTACGCGATGTTCTTCTTCGGCCTCATGGCGTCTGTTCCGCGGAACCCAACCCTCAGTGCTCGGCGGTACGTGACCGCTTGCTCGCCGCGTTCATCCCAGGCTGTAACTCGTCCTTGCCCACACATACAGACGCGACAGGGCGTGGCCTCTGACGCTCATTACGCAGTGCCAGCGTCTCTGCGCCCGGTCTGGTGAGAGTCCCTACCGGATGTACACGCCGCACAGCGACTTCCTCTTGTCGAAGTCGTCTGTTCCTCGCCTGCTCGTCGAGGTGCAGTCATGCCCGACGATGTCGTGGGCCGAGGACCTGGTCCGGATGGTTCTGCAAGGCGCCGCTGTCGTGCGGATGGCGAACACGTTCATGGACGAATTCAAGGAGAAGAAGAACTTTGTGCTCGTCGCCGTCTATATTGCCGGGAATGGCACAGTGACTACCTATACCTTATTCCAGGTGAAGGAGAAGCGTCGCATCGTACGTTCATTGATTCATGGCCAAGTGGCATCACTGAGCTAGCATAGGTCTATTACTATAACGACATCCAGCAATTGGACAGTCCGGTTGAACGGGTCACTTTCGTTCGCCGGCTGTACAACCTACTCTACACACTGCACGACGGCGACGAGGGCGACGCTACGGATGCGATAATCAACGCGTATCGAGCAAAGGTGTCCAAAGCAGGTGTCTACATGCAGTGGTTCTCTCCCGGCAAGTCGAACAAACGCCCTCGCATGGATGGCAGTGGTGGTAGCGATCGAGGCTCCGATGCGGGCGATGCGGGCCCAGACGGAGCAGAGGCGGCAGAGTTCAGGGCGCACGGCTACGAGGTGACATCGTATGTCATTGTGGACAGTAGTGGCGTCGTGTGGGAGCCGTTCGAAACGGTGCGCCGTCCCGTCGTGCTTGTCACGCACCATTCTGACCCCAAGTCTCCAGTTCCCGCCCAACATCCGCGCCGTCGACAGAATTGACGGCCGGGGAGCGCGCCTCATCGCAAAGAAAGTGCGCGAGCATTCAGACGAGCTCAGGCTCCTCAAACTCCTCGACACCACCGAGCCAGGCCGTGAGCACATCATCTCGATACTCGATACGTTCCATTCGCCGTCCGGGCCGTGGATGATCTTGCCCAAGATGTCCTCTGTCGCAGGCACCCTCGATCGCGCTCCTGGGTCCCTTTCTGGCAAGGCCGTTCGACTCTGCTGGGGCCTCGTCAAGGGCGTCGCGTTCCTCCACAAGCACCTCGTCGCTCACAGGGACATCAAGCCGGATAACCTCGTACACGACGGGTACTACTGCCTGAAAATCATCGACTTCGACGTTGCGGTTCAACTGCAAGACGAAGACGACGAGGTCGACGACTGCCCTGGGACGAGACATTGGAAGGCGCCCGAGGTCGCAAAAAAGGTGCCGACGTACAGCCCGATCAAGGCTGACCGATGGTCGTGCGGGCACGTCGTTCTGCACTTGCTCGATACGATTGGGGACCAAGACGGGCTTCTGAGGACGATCGCGACGACGCTGAAGGCGGATGATCCCCAGCAGCGGCCGTCGCTGCTCGAATGGCGCGAGTGGGCAACCGGAGCGCTCCCTTCCAACGTGGTCGCCCGAACGCAAAAACGGGACGCGGATGTCGCAGAGCTTCCTGATGCGAAGAAGCCAAGACTGGCCGAGGCTCATTCTGCACCGGCTCCGTCTGCTGTTAACAAACCCGAATAGGTGATTGAAGCTTGTGTGGCGGTCCCACGAGCATATTCTGATCGGCTTGAGTGCACCCATCGCTCGCGTTCGTCAACACTCACATTTCACCAGTCGCGAAGTTAACATGTCATCAAGCACCAGCAGCCCATCGGCAGTGCGACTCCCCAGAACGACGCACCCAACCAGACCTCTACTCCGTTCAGAACTACGTTGTCGCACCCGCGCTCAAGTATCGCTCCTAGGAAGACTCGGAACACGAACAGTCTCCGGCCCACGATCTCATACTTCCGGCCTCTCCCCGCCCGTCTGACGAGCTCCACCCACTCTTGCAGGGATCGCATGCCTATGCTATGTGCTGGCTACGTGTCACTCGACCCTGCGAACCTGCGATCGAACCACGACGACCATGGTCCCAGGTCAAGCTCATCGGGGTACACCAGTCGATGCCTCAGCCTCTGCAGTCTGCTGCCCCTTTCTCTGACCTCTCTTACCCTTACCTCTGGCACGTCCGCCGCTGCGCTCTTCGCGTCTAGGAAGCCTATTATGCCCTTCGCCACGGGAACACCGTACTGGATGCAGATGACCGCCGTCCATTGCGAGGAGGTATACGCGCAGTACATCCACTATACTAGCATTCAGCAGTAACTCCGTAGCATATATGTATACGGTCGTCTCGCCAGACCGCCCGACGTCGAGCGCCACGGGCAGCCTGAGAGGAGACCGCGATTAATTGCAGTACGCACGTCGTTCTAATATGTATGCACCGTGCGGCGACAAGTACATCCGAGCAAGCGGTGGTTGAGATTCCGGGAGGCCATATGAGCAGACAGAACAGAAAACAAAACAAAGAAAAGACGACCAAAAGAGCAAACAAACGCAGTCCACGACATCAGTGATCGACACTTTCCCAACCTCCAGCTTCCTTGATATCCGTCGAACAGACTAACTCGACGGCGACGAACGGCAGCGAGGCTCCCGCAGGACGGCGAATTCGCTCACTCGTCCATGCACCAGATCTCGAGCTTGCCCTCCGACTTGCCCTTCGCGCTCTCGCGCGCGGTCTCGATGGCGAGCTCGTAGTCCATCTCGTCGCGCAGGCTCACCTGCCCCCAAGTCAGCACACGCACGCCAGAACAGAGAGAGCGCACGCGGGCGCCGCGCACCTTGCCGCCGTCCTCGTCCTTGAACTTCATCCCGAGCCCGTCGAGCGCGCGGTTGAACTTGCCCGTGACGCGGTCGAGGAACTCGTCCCACGGCATGTCCGGCGCGAACGCCATCCCGCGCACGTCGTCGTTGTAGTGCAGCTACACGCCGCCGCCGTCAGCACCCGAATCATCGCCCCACCCCGCGCGCGCACGCACCTTCACGCGGATCTTCATGAGCTCCATCGGGCCCTCGTCCCACTCCCCGCTCTCGTACCCCTCCTCCTCCTCGTACGAGCTCACCGCGCGCTTCGCCATCGTCGGCCGGCGCGTCGGCCGCCGCCGCATGCTGCCGCCGCCGCCGCCCGCCGAGCCCGCGTTCGAGTACATGCTCTGCGGCTGGCGCAGCGTCCCCGCGCGGCGCGGGCCCTGGCCCTGGCCCGCGCGCAGCTCCGGCACGGGCGGCAGCGGCTCGTCCGCGTACCCGTCGAGGTAGCTGTCGTAGATCTCGGTCGTGCGCACGCCCGTGGGCCCGGGCGCCGGCGCGCCCGGCTTGCGGATGCTCAGCCCGCGCGTCGGGCCCATCCCCGACCCGAGCCGCCCCGCGGACGTGTTCGACCGCCCGAGCGGCGCGGCGGACGCGGGCGGGTTGTTCGGCGGCGAGCCCGCGCGCGGGGTGGACGCGAAGGCGTTGGCGGGCCGGTCGGGCGGGGCGGAGGCGGGGCTGGCGCGCGGGGCGACGGACACGTTGATGGTCGTCTTGGACCGCTGGAGGGGCGGCGCGCGGAAGTCGTCGTCGGCCTCTGCGGGCGGAGTCAGCGCGGAGCGAAGGAGCGAGAGGGGACGTACTCGGGGCCGCGACGGGGTTCGCCATGGTGGCGGAGCGGGTGAGGGGGCTGGCGGCGTCGGGGGTGAGCCCCATGGACTGCTTCATGCGCGCTACGCCGGTGAATTCGGTGAACGCTTGCGACGCGTCCTCGGCGGCGACGAGTTTCTAGGTGGCCCAGTCAGCGGGCAGGTTCAGCGCGGGAGGCAGAGTGTCGCGTGAGACGGCACCCAGTACAAGGTCGTGGACGCCGGGCGATCGCACTCACCGCCTTGCCCATGTAGTCCTTCGTCTTTGCATTCTTGAGCTTCTTCTCCGCGGGGCGGTAGAGGACGCCCACGGGCTGCGCGGGAGACGGTGAGGAGACGGTCGCGAGGAAGCAGGTCGGGTACGCACGATGGAGAAGACGGTGTAGCCGTCGCCGCGGTCGGCGATGGCGTCGTCGATGACATTGTGCTCGTCGGTGACCTTTTCCTTGCGGGCGTCCTGGAGCTCGCGGAGGCCGTCGTCGACCTGGCCGAGGTAGATCCTGGTGAGGCCCTTGTTGAAGAGGACCTCCGCGGAGTAGAGCTTGAACTTGAGGCCGAGCTGCTCGTAGTTGATGTCGGTGTTGCCGCGCATGTAGAGGAGGGCGTCGTCAAAGTCGCGGAGGGCGAGGTCGTAGCGACCGAGGAGGAAGTTGGATACGCCGGACTGGAAGTAGCCGACGGCGAGGTACTGGTCGAGCTGGCAGGCGGCGGCGAACTGCTCGACGGCGGCCTCGTGCTCGCCGAGGGTAGCGTAGATGAGGCCGGTGTTGGTGAGGATCTTGGAGGAGTCTGCGATGGTTGCGAAGAGCTCGAGGGACTTTTCAAAGTCCTCTTCGTCGTAGGCCTTGAGGGCGGCGGCCCATGTTTCGAGCTCTGCTTTGAGAGACATGGTGCGGGGGTCGACGTGCGGGACGAAAGAGCGCCTGGCTAGAGTAGCGAAGGAGAAGCCGAAAGGGGAAAAGGAGAGAGACCAGCACCCTGGGCGACCAGCCGGGCGAAAGGGGTTTATAAGAAAGGAAGGAAGACGAAGGGGAGGATGAGAGGAGAGTCGGCTAGCGGGGGCTTATGAAGGCTAGCGTCGGCTGTGCGGGTGTGATGCAGTTGACGACTGTGGCGTGGCTCGCTCTCAGCGTCTGACACTGGCAGATGCCCGTCAGCGGTGGCGGCGACTCTTATACGGCTGCGCGGTCGACGCTCTCGCCGTTGGCTGGACGAGTCCAGAGACGCCCAGTGCCCATGCCAACCCCTCCCCCCCACAATAGGCAGTCCCGCTGCCATATCGGGCGACTCGCGCGCTCGCCACTGCTGTGCGTCTGTCCACCGTCCGTCAGCAGCCCGTCAGACGTCAGCCACCGGGGCGCGACGTCTGTCGTCCTCAGCCGCCGCCGCGACTGCGCGTCGTGCGTTGTCTGCGTCCCCATGCCGCGCTTCCTCCGTGCTCGCCCTCCCAGGCACGTCCATCCGCCATGCGTCCTCCGCACAGCAAGCATCCTCCCTTCATATCCTCCTCATCCCGCTATCATCTCCGCTCTTTGTCGCGCTGCCATGCCTTCCAACATCCTCCCAGCATCTCCTCGGGCCCCAGCCTCGGTGCACCGCAGAGCGCCAAGCGCACTCCCTCTGCCATTGGCATCGGCCCCCGATTAACCTCCATCACGCCCTCGCAGCGCCAACAAATGCTGCACAGTCCGTATGTCGAAACACAATCAACTCACAAACGCGCACCAATGCACACCGCTGATCCCATCGCGCTCCCTCCGTCCGCCGGTCTTGCACCGGCCTACTCAGCCTGCGTACGCTGACCCATCTCACGGCTGATTGCCTTCCCTTGCGGAGTTGTGATCCGTGTCAAGCCAAGCAGCACACTCCATGAAGACGTCTGCCAGTCTGCAACAGAGGATCGCGGGCGCGACTTAGCAATTTCGTGAGTGTTCCGTTCCACTTCCAAGCTATCGTGCACGACCTCTGCGTATCTGACGCCTCGTACACGGTAGCCTGCGCGACTTGAGGCACCGTAGCCTCACTGCGCAGGCTCCCCTTACGGCAAGTCGGGACTCTCGTTGCCAATCACGCCAACGCGGCACGCGCACTGCAGACCTACGATCGCCCAGGACATGAACGCATAAACCTTCGTGCGAGTGCTCTCCGTCTGACCACCGTCTCACCCTCAAGTGCCTCGCTACAGTCACGCCGCCAGGTCGGCCCTTCCCATCCCCACTCCCTCCAACTGCACATCTGGGGCTTTCGCTATACTTATCACGCTCGGGGACAGTACACCTCGACACCACCGTTGCCAGCCTACCAGCACGCACCCATATCGGCCCTCTCGTCGACCCGCTGGCCCGAGTCTGTGCCCAATCTACTCCGTCCTATTAGTCGCTTCTCCGACGGCCCCCAGCTCAGGACCGCGCGCGTCGGAGCGTCGACGCGCTACCGTGGTCCTCCGAACCGCATGCCGGTCTCGAGGGCCTCGAGCGGGTAGCCCAGGGTGTACTGGGGCGTCGCCCTCCGTTCTAGGACGTTGCCATATGTGCGTCCGTCACGTACGCACAGTACTTCGCTCTCTGTCAGGCTGCGGGTATGTCCTCGCCACAGCACCATCTCGGGCGGCTCACAGGAACAGACAGCTCAGCCCTGTCAGAAGCCCGCTGACTGCAGACACCCCCTTCGCCCGCCAGCCCGTCGCGCCCAGCCTGAGCCGCCCAACCCACTCTACATACGGCACCGACAGTCAGCACACACATTATGCACCACACGCCCGATCCGCCGCCTCAAGGCATAACTTACATACGTGAGGTATATTTGTGTGAGCAAGCCTACTGTAACTTACGGGACGAGTCACAAGTACTGTACATCGTACACCTCGCTTCCGCGCCGCCCCATCCTTCCTTCCTTGCATCGCTTGCGTAGCCCAAACCAATAAATACCCGCCCTCCCCGTCTCCCCCACGCATCTGAATCGCCCCGCACTGGGACCGGAGCATGCACCCTCAAGTGCGCTGCCCGAGGTGCGTCCCCGCGAGCTCGCGCTCCAGCTCCGCGCTCGGGTCATCCATCACCGGGCTCTCCGCGCGCGACTGCCCGTCCGTGAAGCCCGACGTCGCCCCGTTCGCCGGCGCGTTCTCGCGCACGGGCGACGACAGGATCTCCTCGCGCGTCGGGATCGGCAGGCTGCGACGCGAGCGGGTGGTCGGTCACGCGTGGTGAGCGGCGAGACACGGTGAGCGGGCGGTGGCGGAGAGCGAGGGGGAGACGCACCTCTCCTGCCGACGGATCTGGCCCGACGCGCGCGCCTGCGCGCGCACCTCCGCGCGGAACGTCTGCACCTCGTCGACGATCAGGCGCTTCATGCCCTCGATCGAGTCCTCCTCCTCAAAGATAAAGTCGAACGGCTGCACGCCCATCATGCATCAGTCCCCGACCCTCCGCACAGCAGCAACGCAAGAAGGAGAGCAACAGCACTCACGGTGGGGCAGACGGGCTCGTCCGCGGGGTCGTGCCAGACGGCGAGGTAGGGGTGGTTGAGCGCCTGGTCACACGTGATGCGCTTCGCGGGGTCGAAGTGGAGGAGCTGGCTGAGGAGGTCGATCGCGAGGGGGTTCGCGCGGGGGAAGAGCGTCTGGAACGGCACGCGCGGCTTGATGGGGAGCGACCGGATGTAATCTTGGGCCTGGAAGGTGCGCACGTCAGACTCGATCGCTCAGATGAACAGGCAGGAAGGCGGACGCACTCTTGGGGAGCCGACGCGGCGGAGGGTGTCTTCTGAGGGTGTGCCGAGGTAGTGCAGGATCTGGTTCAGCTGATCGACGTAGCTGGACAGCACTTGGATGTGAGCGCGCTACGCAGAAGAGAGAAATAGATCGCGCACTCTCTGCCCTTGAAGATCGGCTTGCCAGCGAGTAGCTCAGCGAGAATGCAGCCAACGCTCCAGACATCGATCGCCGGGCCCTGTTGAATATGCATGTCAGCATAAGATCCAGCGTTTCCGCCGCAGTACTGCACGCACGTAGTTCGCGAAGCTCAGCATGATCTCGGGCGCACGGTACCACCGCGTGGCGACGTATTCGGTCATGAAGCCCTGGTTCGCTGCATTCTTCGCCGTGCCTTGTCCATTGCCCGCGGGGCTGTATCCTCGTGCAAGGCCAAAGTCGCAAATCTTGAGTTCGCAGTCGGCGTTGACCAGGAGGTTGCCCGGCTTGAGGTCACGGTGGAGGACGTTCGCAGAGTGGATGTATTTGAGACCGCAGAGCGTCTGGTAGATGAAAGACTGGAAGTGGGCGTCTGAGAGGGGTTGTTGTGAGCGGATCTGCATTGCAGAGTAAGCTGAACTGATCGCCGGAGATGTGTAGGAGTGTGCATACGATGGCGTGAAGGTCGGCTTCCATGAGCTCTTCCTGTGCATGGGTCAAAAGTCAGACGATCATTGAGAGCACACCGCAAACATGGACGCACATAGAGGTAGACTTCATCAAAGTTGCCGTCTGGGCGGAAGACGATGTCCATATCATACAGGCAGGTAATCTAACAACGCATGAGCCCTGCGAGCGATCGTATGCGCGCCTCTGCACACACATTTTTGTGTCCACGGAAGTGGTGGAGGAGTCTAGTACAGACACAATGTGAGATTTCCATGGTGAGCATCAGTGGGAGGCACGCACTTGATTTCACGAAGGCATCTCTTTGTAAGGATCCTCTGTGCGTACAAAACGTCTCTATCCGCGTATGCAGCTCAGAGACTCGCAGGTACCGACCTTGGTGTTGATATTCGTGATTTTCTTGATTGCGCATCCCTCTCCCGATCTGCGGTGCTTGGCCGAAACGACGCATCCGTACGCACCCTGCCCGAGTTCCTTTACGAACTGATACTCAGAATCGACGACGAACGTAGAGTTCAGCGCCTGGAACGAGTGCCTCTGCATCTCGGAGACAACTGATGGATGAGCGGAGGAGACAGATGGAGACGGTGGTCACCGTCTGGGACGAGGAGGAGTGGACGGGGAAGTGAGACGAGACGGGCGGTGGTGGCACTGGCGGTTATAAGGACCCATCTTGTAGGAAACCGCGATCGATAGAAGCGCCCAATACGACCTGCCTCGTATGGCAACTTTCGAGGAACGCAACACCGCCCTCCAATCATCGTCGCGCCCTCCACAGCCCCTGCACCGCTGATCAGCATAAAAGCACGCGCGCATCCTCCCCCACACGCCGTTATCTACGTCGTGTTCACCACGCACGACTACCAGGCGTGCACAGAGGGTCGTCTGAGACGCATCTCACGACCGGTGTCCGTTGAGAGGGATACTAACTATCGTATACATAACACCGCTCGAGGATTCTCGGATCTGGGGCTGTCATCCCAGACCGCATTCGCTTCCAATCCGCGTCAAATTCTTCTCCGAACAAATCTCTCCCAATTCCATCGACGACCCGTTTCTGCTTGTTCTCCGGAGCCTCGTGTTTCAGGCCTCTCCCTCGCGCGCTGTTGTCACTAACTAGGATCACCGCCTGTCACACTGCCGCATGGAACAAAAGTCCTGCTTTTTGCAATAGGCCTGAACGCTTCAGGTCTCTCAAGAAGTGGCCAGAGCCTCGTGAGTCACCATTCCGTCAGTATCGATGCATGGTTGTGCGAGTTACCATTGACTCGAGCGGTGCGCGTTACTGGTTCTGGGCGAATGAAGCACCGCGACGCAATCCACCTCGAATCAATTGCCAGACTTATCATACATCCCCGAGGAGAACCGCGGTCGGATGCTACTCCGAATCCTTCACGATGCCACCCTTCTTCATGTTCCACCCCAGCTGCTCATACGTCCAGCCGAAAATCAAGCCGTCGTCCGTATAGTTATGGTACGACAGCAGTGACTTGTGCATCCCCGGCCGCTTATGTATGCCACTCAGCAGAGCCATGTCGCCCTCCGAAAGGTCCAAAAGCTATCCGTGCGTGTGTCAGTATACTGATATGGGTCCAGGTAGGTCGCGCACCGTGATGTTTGCCTTCATGCGCTCGACGTTCTCGCTCTTCGGAATGATGATCAATCCACGCTTAACACCCCAGCTGATGACGGCCTGAGCGGGCGACGCTCCATACTTCTCCGCGATCCCCACGACGTCGGGGTCAGTGAAAAAGATCGGCCTTGCTTGACCTGGCAGCGGACGGCCTGCCAAAGTCTCTTCAGTAAGTGTTACAGGGATCAGAGACGACTGAGTTCTTACCGAGAGGTGAGTAGGCGGTCAACAGAATTCCCTTGGACTTGCAAAACTCCTGGAGCTGAAACGACGGCAGGCAAGGGTGGATCTCGACCTGGTTCGTCACCGGGACGACAGAGCAATGTGGCAAAAGCTCGTTCAGCGTCTTGATAGAGAAGTTAGAAACGCCGATGGATTTGACTTTCCCTGTCATGCACGGGTCATGGTCATGAACGTTGTAAGTACGCCAGACCGGCCATATAGCGGGACGCACGTACCGGTATCGAGCAATTGCTCCATTTGTCTCCAGGTATCGACGACGGAGGGATATTGGCCATATGGGATATGCTCACCTATGTATCGGGCAGACATTGTGAGGTCCTAAGGGTTCCCAGAACCTCGACGGAGTTTGACCTACCCTCCTCGGTGTCAGATTGAGGCCAGTGGACCAAGTAGAGGTCGACATAATCGAGACCGAGAGTCTTGAGCGATGTCTCGAATGATTCGCGGACCTTGTGATGGTGGATGCTCCTACGCCGCACATCGGTACGCCGAAAGAAACGAAGGTACTTCGATACTTACGGCAGCTTTGTCGTCACAAAAATCTCCTCGCGAGGGATGCCAGACTCGCGGATCGCTTTTCCGACATGCTCTTCGTTCCCTACACGCCGGGACACGAGTCAACGACTATCTTGCCCAAGCGAGTGAACGGCTTGCCATAGCCAAATGCCTGATAGGTGTGTGGTCAGGACTTCTTTCTAGATGAGCACCGCGAGCGGGCTTACAGTGTCCAAGTGACGGTAACCGTGCTGTTCCCCGTCAACAGCTCATACAAATCCATAGTAGGGAAACAGACACCTTCAACGCGTTCTTAACCATGATTTCGACCGTCTCTCCGCCACCCGGGGAGCCCATCCAGCATCTACATAACGGTGAGTGTCCTGCAGATTGTGACCTCATTCACAAACATACCCCATGCCGATCGCAGGGACTTTTAGTCCGTTGTGGAACGTGAAGTACGGGACATTCGCAGCCATCGTACGGAGACAAGCAAGCGCGAGAAGGGCTAGGGGTCAGCATGGCTGCAGACGGGGCTCCGCCTTATATCTCTGTAGGCCCTGCGAACGCCGAAGTGACAGGGACTCCGAAGCCATTCGCTCATCCTGTCAACCGGGCCGTCCATACAGCACTCGTGCAATCATGCACACCGAAGAACCCCCGTCGATCTGGAGAGTCCTGCGCTCAGTCACATGCTGGGCCCGGAATATCAACTCAGAAACCAGGCGATTGCCCTGACTTCTTGCCAATTTGCACTACTGGCGAATCATAGTTATAGAATCTTTGCATTTCAGGTTGTACTATGTAGTATGTATCTACATCCGTACCTCGATACATTGACTGACCTCGCGCCACGCGCGTCTTCGGACTAGATGGGCCTCAAGAACGCGTTGTGGCGGTCCTGTAGTGTAGTGGTTTATCACTTAGGATTTTGACCTCAATTTCCTATAACCCAGGTTCGAACCCTGGCAGGACCTTATACGTCGGCTGGTATGCTGATTTTCTTTTATGCGACAGTCAATTCTATGGCGAGGAGAACGAACGGAAGATGAGGCTGAAATCACCACATACTACGCTCGAGCGCACGGGCGCTGCAGCGCGGGACAACGATTACTCTGAGGTACTCGTACGCAGGGGACAGAGCTCGTGGCCCCTGGCAATGGCATGGGATATGAATGATGCGGTTCGACCCTCAGCATGGGGACGGCCATCACAGCAGTCGCAGACACGGAGACCATATTGCAGGGCATGGTGGCGGTGAGCACGACGTCCGAGTCGATTCAGTGGCTGCGCAAGCTACACGTCCACGTGCTTTAACGCGCCCCACCACCGTCCAAGTGGAACGCTGTTCCAACTCGCACTCAGCGCGCCCCTATCTCGCGATGGTTCTTCTTGACGCGAATTACAAGTCCTCCGGTTTCTCTGATTCTGCAGTCCAGCCTCTCCTTGCATCTTTATTCAGATTTCGAAACAAATCTGAGCAGTCTGCCGTGGACGACTCGGAGGATGTCCTACGCTTGGTCGATAAGTTGACGGCGGCACTGTCACAAATTCGGGTACGCCGTCTCGGTCGACGATTGACGCGAATGGCTTCCACCCAGCACTCGTCGGCCGACGAAGACTCACTCGCGAGGGCTGGCATCGTGCAGGGGCAATACCTGCCGGTAGGTACAACCACAGTCATCGAGGCGGCCTCATCCTCAGCATAAGGAGCATGAGGAGTACAGACAACACAACATGTCAGCGTATTATCCCATGCACCTTGGTGTATGCATATCACGTTCCGCTATATTCCACACTTCCTTCCGCTCTCTGTCTGGCTACTGGACAATGAAGAATTCATGTACATCTTACCTGGGACCGCAAAGAGAGAAGCGTTGCGCAAGCAACCCTTACACTTAGACCTACGCTCGCTTCGCCCCAAGTCTCTCGAGTATTTTGGTTCCCTTCACCGGTCAGCGCATTAGCTAATAGATGCAATAAGTGTACAATACATTGTCCCATCGTAACATACGGAAAACATCACAACAGCTAATACCCTGTCGGTCGTGCATCCATACGCGACGTGTCGTAAGCTCTGATCATCCGTGCCTGATCTTGACGCGCAACGTTCTCGGTTTGGCTGAACGCGAAGCCACGGTTCCGCCGCATGCGTTGTACAGCTCGCACTTTCTTGATTGCCTTCTGGAATCTGTGCGAGGTGTATGTCAGAGCGGAACCCATACGAGAGTGCCATGCACGTACTGTTCCTGCCGTGGTCGGTAATCGGGTATGTTGTACTTTTGGATCTCCTGCGCAATATGATACGTCTCAGGTCGGTGTGTACGCCGGTAACTGGACAATCCTATGTATTAGCAACGGAACCACGAACGATGTCGGACAACTCACTACTTCCATGCGAAGTCTCTTGAAAGACAGAAGATCGGAACGACGATGAGCATAAAATAGAAGACTGCATCTGTCCATAACCGAGGCACGAGCCCGTAGTACTCAGTTGAGAACCCGATAGCAGGAGCAATGATAGCGTATAATGGCAAGAAGACCATAGCAAACACGAACGAGCCAGGAATTGCTGTAGTGAACAAGTCAGCAAATGCAGAGAGCATGAGCGCGCATTCGTACCTGCAACGGTGTACTTCGTCCACAGGCTGTACAACAGGTTAGCCTGACAGCAGCGATCGCCAACGAGATTTGACGTACTCTGATATGAGAGCAGCTTTTCCTAGGACGGTGAGCAAAACAGCCATGTACAACATTGTACCCCAGAACCAATGTCCGGAGTCAAGACCCGTTGACTGCTTCAAGTCGCCCCAAAATAGGATAACGGAAAAGCCGAACAAGATCTGTGGAGACGCAGAGGGTTGAGTGAGAATCCTTTACAAGAGAATATGTACGTACGACACTGTGGTACAACGCGTTTGCGACCCACAGCCAGAAAGCCGTCTTGGTGAAGAACGCGTTACGTTGGCCCAGCATGTACAGCTGCGGATACCTGTCCAAGATCCGGGCGGAGACGAACTGATCGAAGACGCCGATAACAAAGGGTGGCAGGACGGTGAAGACGACGTTGTACAAGGAGAGGGTCCACGATTCGTACACAATCTCCCCCGAAAAGCTGTTGAAGAACGAGTACTGCAGATCACGTCAGCGGCACGATTTGGATGCTTCCCAGAGCGCACATACCCAGAATTGCGTCATGTACAACACAATGTTCTTGTAGAACGAATCTGCGAGGATGTCAGTCTCGAACACGTGCGATTCCAACCAAAACTCACAAAGGAGAAGCTTCGACAACCGCTGGTAGCTCCAAGATCCATGTACGAGTAGGAGCTTCTTGAGGAACCGGAACTGCGAAATTGCCACATCCGCAGAGCGAGCTGCTTGCAGACCTTCCAGACCGGAGATACCAACACCAACGTGAGCGGCCTGGATCATGCTAACGTCGTTCGCGCCGTCGCCGATAGCCAAGAGGATAGATTTCTGGTTCTTCTTGACGAGCTTCACGACGAGGGCCTTCTGCAGCGGCGAGACACGACCTAAATCGATGGTCAGTCTGTCATCCGCACCAGAGATAGAAAGGCAAACGCACAGCAGATAACGGCTTTGCACATAAGTGCCAGCTCCAGAAATTGACCAGAGATTTCCTTCTCGAGCGCGAATCCGAGGCTCTTGCCATCTGCATTCTACGTGAGTCAAGCGGGACCCACGGCTGGATACCTGCCCACCTATGATGAGCGCCAGATCCTCGAGTTCGCTGAGCTCGCCAGTGCTCCGTTGACTCTTGATAGCAGATAGCCGCTTTGAGATGAACTCCTGCGTGTCAAGCATCGTCACTTCGTTGACAATGATCAAGTTCATCGACTCCGAGATGAGTTTGCACGACATGCCGATGTTGATAGCGGTCTCCTGACGGTCGCCCGTCAAGACCCAGACCTGTACGTAACCATGCATGAGTACACGCTGACAGATGCATGACGGAGACGGTGACCTTGATGCCGGCCATCTGCAGAGTGTGGATAGTATCCGGCACGCCGTCCTGCAATTTGTCCTCGATAGCGGTAGCCCCGAGGAGGAACAGATCCTTCTCGATGAGCTCTGCAGCGTTGTCAAGCGCATCACCACGACCGTTGAGCGTTGCCGCAGCCTGGTCGTAGATGGTAGACCACTGCCTGTACTCCGCCTCGGGAATCTCACGGAAGGCAATGCAGAGCGTCCGCAGGCCCTCCGTTGCGTAGTCCTCCAGATGGGCGAGCGTCTTCTCTGTGAATGGTTGCTTCTCCGCGACCCGCTCCAAGATAACCGTGTCCGCACCCTTGCAGAAGAGCTTGATCTTGCCGTCCGGGCACCGCACCACCGTCGACATGCGCTTCCGGGTCGAGTTGAACTCACAGATGTTGAGGATCTGGAACTCGTGTGATGAACCTTGAACGTTGATGAACACCGATTTCGGTTTGCGGGTCTGGTGCGACCGACTTCGTCAGCACGAGGGATGAGGGAGTATCCAGGCCAGGACGTACGTGGAACTGGTAGCCTAGCAGCTCTGCACCAGAGACCAAAGCGGCCTCATCTGGGCTGCTCGCCTGATAATGAAGCTTCCCATCGCGCCTCTCGGGGATGACGGTATGGCAGACCGCCAAGAGAGTCAAGAACTCGTTGACGACTTCCTTCTGACTCTGACCGGTAGCGTCCGCGGCCGTGAAGTCGCCGAAGGGGTTCTCCCCGCCGTCCAAGAGCGCCTTCATCTCCGCGAAGCTCCTCCAACCGTCCTTCCCGTCTTCGCCCTCGCCACGTCTACTCTCCTCGACGACGTCCGCATACGCGACGCCGCCGATGGAGCAGAACCGGAACTCCATCTCATTGCACGTCAGCGTGCCCGTCTTGTCGCTAAACACGTACTCAATCTGGCCGAGCTCCTCCACGAGCGAGGACGTCCGACAGAGCGCTGGCGTGTCTGTCTTCGCGTAATACATGTCCAGGTCCGAGTTGATGAGCTGCGCCTGCTGATACTTGACCACCTCCATGGTGACGATGAGCGAGATCGGGATCAAGTTGTTGTAGAGGATAATGAACGTGAGGATGTCTGCAAAAAGTTCAGATCCAGTGCGTGCAGTATGGACAAGCAAGACGGACCTTCAATGAATTGCTTTGCTATAAGCAGTACATGTTAGAGATGAGCGTATCCCGATGTCTTCGAGACCTACCTCTGCTACCAATGGTCGACTGTTCCAAAAGATACCACTCTGCTGCAGAATAGAACCACTAAGGTGGACGATTCAGCAGCTGCCTGCTGACGGTGGCGCAATTGCTTACAGCTCGAATGCTGGCGCCGATGGTCGACCCAATAGAGAGCGCCAGCAAGAACATGAACAGGAAGATGATGTGCACATTGACCTGCTTCTCAACGGCCGTCCGCTTGATCGGTGCAGCCCTGATGTCCCTTCGTGAGCAACCGTCACTCGTCAAACTCTGAACACTCACGTAGCATTGCGCATGAGCTTCGTCTCGTGCCCTGTGAAGACTACCAATCCGTAGGCCCACGGCGTGTTCCGAATCTGGGCCCCTCGAAGCAGCAGCTGGTCCGGTCCAAGAGGGACTTGCTTGGGCACCCCAAGGTCAGTGATCAAGTCGAGCGTAGCTTCGTAGGTGTACAGGCTGTTGTTGGGATGTTCCGACCGAAGCGCGCCATGCAGTGCTGTGACCAGTTGCGGTGAAGTGAGCGGTGCTGTCTGCGGGGACGCTTGCTTGATCTTCAAGTTTGTCTCCCTTATAGCCGTTCAGATATCGAACATAGCGCATGCATCGCAGCGGTTGTGACACTCACCCATCCAAGTTTGATGTCTCGATGTAGCAGAAGCCCTCCGGTTCACTCGACGAGAGTAGGACGGCGTCGGCGGGTATATGATCGTCACTTTCTAGCCGGATGACGTCGCCGACGGCGATGTTCTTCCACTTCTTGTCAACGAAGGTCCCTTCCGGCGTCAGTATTTTCGCTTTTCGCGAGTTCAATTCAGAATCGGATTGGTGTCGTTTCTATATCGCATGGTCAGATGATGTGACGGAAGACCAAATGGCCCGCAAGCCCGCAAGACTGAAGACGCGTGCACTCACCAAATCTTCCTGAGTCTCCTTGAAAGCAGAAGCCAGGAGCACCACAGCAAGCGGTCCAATCGTTGTCCAGCGGTTCGTAGGTGATACATTGGGTATTTGTTGAATGAGCGCGGTGAAAAGGAAGAAGAGGTTGGCGTATTTCGAGAACTGCTCTGTCGGGGAGTGAGATTGGCGACACGGAGGTAGGAGAGTATTTGCACACCGAAAAGGAACTTGGGAACGAACGTAACGACATTATATTTGCTCGTGGAAATGTAGTTCGAGCCATAGTCTACATTGGCGTCCGGGTTGTTGAGCGCAATGACGCGGTCGCCAGCCAGAACCTGATCCCGCTTCTGCCACGGCCATCTCAGCTTCTTGACCTGCCCGACGAAAGACCGCGACGACCTCCGCTTGTGCGTAGGCTTTGCACCTTTCGACGGGCCCGGTGCGCCTGCCTGCTTTGAGCGCGGAAGCTCGTCGTCGTCGAAGGACCAGTCCGGAGGTATGGCGGCGGTGGTCAGCGTGACCTGCGAATGCCCAGCAGGCGCGGCGCCAGCACGAGAGAAAGCAAGACCGCTTTCTTGAGACTTCATGGCAGCCGGGGCACCAAAAGCCGAGTCAGGGACGTCCTCTTCGTCCTCATCGTCGAAGAAGGGGTCGAGTTGTTGGTTGGGGGGTTGCGAGGGAGGAGGATAGCCGTTGTTGGCGGGCTGATAGCGGGCGGCGGGGTTCGCCTGCGAGACGAGACGGATAAAGTCGTCACTCATCGTGTCCAGCGATGAGGGGAGAGAGATGTCGCCGGGTGCGGCGGTGAGCGTGTCTGAGCGGGGCCGTGAGCTGTGTCGGTGGCTGCGCGAACGACGCCGACCCGACGCCGCCACACGCCCACGTGCTCAACGCGCCGGCTGCCTACCCGCCTCAGCCTTGTCCATCGTCAATCACGACCAAGTGCACATTCTCTCGCCCTTGAGATGGTTGCTCGTTGCGTGAATATCTCGGCGGTCTGGGGGTCTTTGCTGAATGTCTGAATAACTCGTCCGACTGCCACGTTCGCGTCTTGACTCTTTACTGCCATGATGCCTGCTAAGCCTGCCGCTTCACCGTGCCGCAGTGGCTCGCTCTAGTGAGTGCGGGACTGATCTCATCGCAATTATCATCTATTGACGCTACCGCCGAGGAGAATAATCCAACTGAATTCTCGATCAGTCCTGACTCCTCATCTCACGAAACCACTAGCACAGCTACCTCCAAAATAGACGAGAAATCTCTCCTTGTGCTATGCACGCGGCTGCTCGTAAGGCTCTCATTTGCTACCAAAGCTACCCGGTGGTCGCACAACTCAAACGGCGGATTATTCTTCTTGAGTCCAAAGTGAGTATCTATTTTGACTATGCTCCAACCAGCCAGTCCGACGGCAAGAACTACACTTCTGCCTTGCGCAAAGTGGTGTGTGGACCGTGATGTACATCTGGTCTGTGCCCGTGTGACTTTGGCGAATGATACCGTTCTCTATGTTCAGACGGCGGTACATAGGAGTCGATGCTAGGGAAAACTTCCCGCTGTCTCGCAAGCCCACAACGGCCGGCCGTCGTTTGTTCGTTCGGTTGTGGAGTCTACACGTATCCTGCTCGCCGCATATTCCCTTGCGCGCGTAAGAAACGAGGTTGGCCGTACAAAGGAGACTCTCTGACACGCGAGGCAATGCCGTTCAATGGCAGCATATACCGCTCCGCTAATGCGATCCAGTGACGAGTCACAGAGTCCACCGACAAGACCACGGTACAGCTTCCATTTTCTCCGATCGTTGTCTTTGCACGCTGTCTCATGGAATTTACACCCCAGATGCTAGCTACTGCGGGCTGACTGTGCCAATTCAATACTGCATATCGAGCCGTTCCCATCGCGCGACTTCGGAATGACATGGGCTAGGCAATGTCTGACCAAGGCGAATCCCAGTTGGCTCGCGGCCCGCCACTAGAGTCAAACATCGTCACACTAACCTCCTAGCGTCGCTCTGCCTAGCAGACTAGTGGCGCACTGATTAGCAGCGGTCTGTGTGCGACGTCTCGACGCCATTCTAGTTGAGTCCAGTTGATGTTTCGACCAAAATTGCGACCAGGGCAACTCCGTGGCCCGTCATACTAACTGATTCAGGCTGGGTCCTGACTCTGTCATTCTACCAGTCGGGCGTCTGGGTCACATCTCGATCGCCTTCGACCGCGCCATCACGAACTACTCATTGATTGACCGCGATGCGCGATTATTTGCTTCCGCGAGCGTTGCCGCTAAACTCGATATAAGTTGGCACCGGATTCGAGGGGCCACACATCCAGCCTCTCACGCTGTCGGAGAGACAAGGCGAGGGTTCACGACTCTGCGTTGTCGCGCCCACCTGACGTAACGTCCACAAATTGTTTCAGAATTCCTGATCGGGCGATGAAGTTCCGCAAATGGTAGGCATTGTAGTGAACTACAACGACCACGGCTAGGAGAGCGAAGCCACGTTGACAGCTAGGAACGTCGATTGGACGCCCATCGGCTTACGGAAGAGCCCTCTGACGCTCATGGTGTACAGAGTCCCCCCTCGGTGGACAGAGCTGCTCGTATAATCCGTCTCTCGATGTTGTCCCACAAGCCTTCTTCGATGTACGCCTTGTGCGAACAGCTAAGTCGAGCACGAAGTCCGCGTCTTCTCCCAATTCTCTGTGACCAACGATTTGCACCTCGCCTGGAGTTGATGCCGACTTCAGGAACTCTTGGAATTCACGGAAACAAGGGAACAAGGCTAGTACGTACGGACCAGTCTCACACTGCCGCGCCGTGCGCCACACTGACCGGAGCCTGCAAGAATTCTACGACAACCCTGAACATGATCCCACCAATGCCATTCTGCGATTTGATGCCGTCCAGATACGAGTGGTGGATGCATGCGCCGTCCTACAAGTATAAGGACTGAGCTTCACCTGGCTCGTCAGCATCGACAGCCCCCGAAACGACCCTCATCATGTCCAGCGACTCCAGTGCCGCCGCAGTCATCTCCGCGGAAGCCGCCTTGGTGAAGCAAACTTATGCCCTTATATTCGTTGGTGCGTCTTGTTTCGCCTGACAAGGCCATCCATCGTCGTTCAACTTTGACTTTTGTCACAGCCACATTCATCGGACAGATATTGTTCGGTATCGTCATCGCTCAGGTGCGTCGTGTCGAACTCGATGCGGGACATCGAGCAAGAACCGCTGACGAGATGTGCCAGGTTTACATATACTTTACACGGTACCAACGGTAACGATGCAATGCCAGTTCTTTTTGGAACCTTCGCTGACACCATGGGGTCAGCGACGCTTTATGGGTAAAAATATTCGTCCTCTTCCTATTCATTTGCGACGTCTGTAGCGCTATTTTCACCATTTGTTGGTACGTGAATTTGAAATCCTCTTGCGACGTTATAACCAAAACTCTTGAGCAGGATGTTCTACCTGTTTATATCAAACTGGGGCGACATAACGGTCTTCTCGCAGCCTACCTGGAGTGAGCTACCATCGTCTTACCTTTATGTTCTTTCTAACCATATCATTTTCAGTGCTGGCTACAGGTAACGACGGCGTCCTGCGATAAATTGTTAGATCACTTACTAACGGGCATGTTCATACGACGACAGATCCTCTTGTTTTAGTATGTTTGGGCACTCTGTGCTACAAACACCCTCGCTAACGTCTGCTACAGGGGCTGATGACTTGTGCGACCCACTTCTTCTTCGCCCGGCGCATCAAAATCATCACCGGAAGCAGTTGGCTCGCAGGCCTAATTTGTTTCTTCGGGGTTGGGACACTCGGTAAGTGCACGTACCATTACTGCATAATTCGTCACGCTGAGGTTTCCTAGCTGGCGCTCTAGGCGGAACAATCGAGTTCCTCCGAGTAAAATCCCTGACTGACCTCACGTCACTGAAGCCGATCGCTATCGTTTGGCTCCTCAGCGCAGCTGTGGGAGATGTGATGATCACGGTCATTTTAAGCTGGTCTCTGAAGAGGAAGAAGTCCGGCTTCAGGAGGACAGACCAGATCGTAGACAGGGTTATCAGAGGTAAGCAAATAATCAAATCATTCTTACCGGCACTTACCCTCCCCTGCAGTGACGATTCAGAACGGTTGGTCACTGATGACCCCGTCGTACTGAACTCTTACCACTCTTTTCTCAGGGTTCTTGACGGCCGCTGTGGCGACCGCTGCTCTGACTTTATACCTTGCATCGGTACGTCCTGGTCCCCGAATTCGTTTCCACGGATTACCGACGCTGCGCTGCCTCTCGTAGAGCATCCCGTACCACCTCGGTATGCCCCGATAGTTCCCGCGATGAACAACGTTCTCATCTTTCACTAGCGTTATCGCTTGTTCTGCCGCGCATGTACTCAAACACGATCCTTTCATCGCTCAACCACCGCGACGTCCAGCACCCAGATTCGTCAACTGACCGTAGCGCAAGTGGCATTGGCGGGTTTGCCACTGGCAGCACCTCGCGACGAGGCGTATGTCCCTTCCGATGTTTGAACACTTCTCATGTTGACCACCCTACTAGCAACAGACTGAAGTGGTCGTGCACGTCGAGGCGCATGAGCTTTCTGACGCAACAAACCCGAAGAGCGACTCCGGCGATTGGGATGTGCCTAGCAAGACTCATCCCGTGTGATTGCTGTCCTGTTCCTCGCCATTACTGACAAGTACCGTCGTACGTTTTGATGCGCTGATCTGCGTTACTTATTGGTGAACTACGCTACAAACACATTCGACGTTCTCGCTTATTACTAGTAGCATGTCTTCCAACGGCTTGTCCGATGTACCTGCAGTTTGTTCATTGGTTCTAAGACACGATACTCTACCTCGTTAGCAGTGACTCTGATATCATTGTAGGCATTCCTCCAATTGTACGTCCTAGGAAACTATAGGGACATCCGCATGCACAGGAAATTCCAGAGACTTCACTGATCGCGCACAGGTACTGAGAATATGCTCTGAGTTCAATCATGTCAGTAAGGAGAGGTGCACGCTCGGGCCCATGTGCGCGACATCCTGCGAGGTCAAAGAAAGTTTATTGATACTGTACATGTGCGATAAAGCAAGGGGGCATCTAGCCGTACTGCAAGCGAGAGATGAATCACATAGGGTAGGCCTTCGAACCGGGAACCTCCCTGTCGCGATCTGTCTGTGCTGCGTCCGTGCCTCACCGTGCACGACGACCTCCAATCATTGTTAGCAAAACTGTTAGCAAAAGCGAACACGAGCAAGCGAAGGTGGACGTACGCCGGGTTGTCGAATCACCGTCTAGCCTCTACCATCATGGTCACAATGAACGGACCTTGCACGCGCCACGGTGTAATGCATGGATTACCACTTCCTGACTGGTCATATGCATGCGCGTCGGGGCGTTTCATTTGAACCGAATCTCAATACAAAAGATTTGCCATGGCAACTGGAACCTGAAAGAACAACTCTCGTTGGTTCTGCCTCGCCTGGCGCTGCACCGACAACGATCAAGTCCGAGGCCAAAGCCATGCCACAATTGAGCAGCGCCGAGCGGAGCGACTAGCCCTGAGAAAGTGAATCGATGTTCTCACAAGCATAGGTGTCCGTGATAATATGGCGTTTCACGATCTCCGCGGGACCAAGCCATTATTGTGATGGTCGTTCCTGGGCGTCGATCAGAAGCGGGACAAGCTGCTATAAAACGGGCGCGAACAGTCAGACTCAGACCCACTTCGCACTTCGACTCTTAAAGTACCTTCCAGGATGACTCGTATCGCAATCGTTACTGGCGCTGCACAGGGCATCGGCGAGGCCGTCGCCCTTCGTCTTGCCGTCGATGGACTCGACGTCGTGGTCAGTGACCTGCCTGCAAAACGCGAACAGCTGGCCTCGCTTGTGAAGCGCATCGAAACCACTGGACGACGTGCTATGGCTGTTGAAGCCGATGTCTCTGAAGAACAGGATGTCATTGCCCTGATTGACAAGACGGCGGAGGCCTTTGGTGGGCTCGACGTGGTGAGTATTGAAGTCAAGATAGTGGAGACAACTGGCTAACCCTCACCGCTATAGATGGTCGCGAATGCGGGAATTTGCATGTTCAAGCCAATGTTCGACAGTACGCCACCGTCATCATTTTGATTGACTCGTTCCCGTGATAGTAATGATCGACCACAGCTTCCGTTGATGACCTGAATACCATTCTATCAATCAATGTACGCGGGGTTATGCTCTGCTACAAACATGCCGCTATGCAGATGGTTAAGCAGGACCGCGGCGGTCGAATCATCGGTGAGAACTTGGTCACCTGCGGAGCTTCCGGTATATGGAACGTTGAGTTTTGCTAGGGGCGTCCTCGGGGGCAGCGAAGAAGGGTATGCCGTTCTCGTTGATGCTGATGTCTCCCGTGAATTAATGCTACGGTCAGCTATTCCCAATATGGCCGCCTACAGTGCTTCCAAATACGCCGTGCGCGGTTTGACGCAAGCGTGTGGTATGTTGTCGAGGTGCTTCATGAGTGCCCTGGCTGAATACAGGCTGATGAAGCGGCTGAGTGGAGAAAGCACAAGATCACGGTCAACACGTACGCACCGGGCAGCATTCTAACGCCGATGGGTGAGTTGTAGTTATTCGCTAGCACGGCTCTTCATCTGACTCGGCTTTTAGTTTTGCATCCTGACGATGAGAAGAACGGTGGCCCTGCTTCCACTGCTAAATTGGTGAGCGAGTGACCAGTAGAACGTTTCGACACTTACACTAGTGCTAGGCTACCGGTCTACCGCTCGATACGCCGGACGCGGAGCCGGTCGTCATTGCCGACTTCGTCTCATACCTCATTCGCCCTGAGTCTTATCACATCACCGGTAGGACCACAGACTCGGTGTATGATCGTTGCTTTGCTGAACAGAACTCTTCAGGTCAATCCGTGAACATCGACGGCGGGCTGAACTATGACTGAATGAGATTTGCCGGCCAACGTCTCGAGCGGAATCTTCTTTCAGTACTGTGCCCACATTGCTGTATACCCCTGTTATTCATTCTGAGTGTCTGCTATGTAATAAGGAGATGAACACGTACTACTAGAGTAAGAGCGACACTTCAGAAGCATGAAAGATTCATTATCGACCAACACAATTAGTCCGCACCCATGACCCAACGAAGTCAAAAAATAAGGATAGATCCTACGCTACGGTACACGCCGAAATTTCACAGCTTCATGAGCGCCTTCATCGCGTTCGCGACGGCGAAGCTCGACTTCGCCATGACCTGCCTTGCCTCTTTAGTGACCTCCGGCTGTGCCTGCACTTCACTGAGCCGATTCGCATGCTCCCCGAGCTCGCGTAGGATGTCTTCGCCTTGTGGCGCGGACGCCGGGGGTAGGTTATCCTTGCAGACCGCGACGATACTTGACACGATCGTGATGATCTGCGTCAAGTTCTCGTTGAGCGTCGGAGGTGGTGTCGGGCTCCGGACTCCGGACAGCACGCTTTGGATGGCGTATACAATCGACTCCGTCTGCGCTTCGAGGTACGGCTACGAAGAGCGACCAGTCAGTTGATGTACATAGCCCTGCGGAAGATTGCACACACCTTCAGCTCTGCCCATGCATCCTCAGGACCCTCTGGTGGAGCCGACTCGTCGCTGGTCCTCCCACCCGTACTATGCGACGCCGGCACTCTGTCGAATATCGGCGGGGGTGAATTCGTCGCCGAGCTCCCCCTACTCGGTGGCGACCCCCGCAGGTCCCCCAATATCCTACTCGACGAGCCGCCAAGTCGCCAAAGCGGTTCGCCTGCGACGAGTACGAGCGCGAGCTCGCGCTGCTGTACCCGCGCTGGTGCGCTGGCCGGCTCTCGTCGACGGAGCGCAGAGCGGGCGAGAACCCGTTCGTGGCGCCCATGCTCGGAGGGACGAACTGCTCCTGCTCCGCGCGCGTCGCCTTGCGGACGAGGACCAGCTTGCCGATCTCCGTGACAGTCGAGGATACATGGCTTGCGGCAGCGTCGAGCAGACTGACGGGGGACATGCCAGAGCTCGTCGCGTGCGTCTTGGAGGCGGCGACGAGGTTGCTGAGTGTGGCCTCGAGGCGCTCGCGCAGAACACGTAGCGAGTCGATGTCGAAGTCTCTCCGGGCTCGTCGCTCGTACATCTTGACGTCCTCGAGGATTATTGTGGCAGCGTTGACGACCGCTTTCATGGGCGTGAGTACACGGGTCGGCGCGTTCGAGCGGCCGGCGGTGAGAAGACTATCAATGGCAGTGACAAAGGCAGTAACATGGATATCGAGCAAGCCACCATCTTGAGCGACCGGCAGCTGGTCCTCGGTCTTTGGCGCTTGCAGGAACAATTGCGAGGTGGCTGCGAGGGCGTAAGTCAAGGCCAAAGACAGACGTTGGATAGACCAACCTTTGACGCTCCGCAATTCTGTCTTCGCTTGCTCGTACTTCCTCTTGTACTCCTTCGACTGGGCGTCGAGGTCGCGAATGATGGCGAGGTCTGCATCCTTCGCCGTCATCAATTCGTCATTGCGTTTCGACAGATCCGACAGCTCAATGACGAGGCCCTCCATATCGGAGCGCAACTGGTCGAGAATGTCCGCATTGCCCTTCACACACCGCGTTAGATCATCGAACCTAATGGAGAGAAATCACGTACCTGACCACCTCCGGCACGCTCTTCCTCGAGCCGCTCACAGCGTTCCCGGAGAATTTGCAGTTCTTCTTCGTCCTCTCTCGCGCGCCTTGCGGTAGCATCCTTCTCTCTTGCGCGTTCCTGCCTGAGGCCTCGAGCTCCTGCTGCATGGTGAACATCGCCGTCGTCTTCTCTTCCATCCGCTGCGGCCAGACGTCAGCACTGACCTTACCTCTAACACCGAACACGCACCTGCCGCAGCTCCCGTAGTTCGTCTTCCACTGCCCTTACCCTCTCCTCGCCCTTCGCCCATATTCGCTCCTTCTCGCGCGACTCCTCCACTTCCCGCTCCAAGCCCGTGATGCGCTGCTGCATCGTCGCGACCTTGAACTCATACTCCCGCCTCAGCTCCTCCTCCGCGCCCACGCTGAGCCTCCCTCCTCTGGGGAAGCTCCTGTCGCTCGCTGCGCTGGCCCGCCCAAGACTCATCTTATCAAAGTAGTCCTCCCCGCTTCGCGCCTCGTCCTCGTCTCCAACCGCCTGCAGCCGCGCACTCAGCGCCGCCAGCCCCCCCGGACGCTGATCCACCTCCTCGCCCTCGTCCTCCCCATAGTCGCTGCGGTCCTCATCCACCGCGCGCGACCCCCTCGGCCCCCGCTCCCGCTCCCGCTCGCGTTCCCGCGCAGTGCTCCCGCTGTCGCGCACCTCGCGCCCGTACGGCACCTCGAGCTCCTCCTCCGCGATCGTGCTCTTGTTCGGGATGATCATCCCCATCCCCGCCGTCGCGCTCTGCGCGTTCGACGCGTTGCTGCTCTCGCTCTCGCTCGGCCGCCGGTTCACCGATGCGCCCCCGAGCGGCGCCCCCCGCCCCGCCGTGTCCTGGCTCGGCTTCCGCCGGTCATTCCGGACGTCCTGCGACGGCTTCCGCCGCGCACCGCCTGCCGCCGCAGCACCATACGCCTCGACGCCACCGTACGCGTCGGCGCTCTGTCGGCCGGCGGAGAAGTTGTCGGAGGGTCGTCTTCGCGAGGGGCTGGCGGCGTAGCCGTTTGATCTGTCTTCGGAGGCACGAGCGCTGGGGGGTGGATCGCGAGCGGCCATGGCGGGGGCTCGGGTGTTGTTGGGGAAATCGGGCGAGGGGTAGTCGTCGTAGGCCGAGGCAGGAGACATGGCATCCTGCTCCATCTGCTATGAGGGACAGGCGGTCAGAGAGAGGTGTTATGGTGGACGGGGAGACGCACCTCCTCCTTGAACTCTGGGTATCGTCTGGAAAGCTCGTAATAGACATCGCTGGAGAGATCCTTGAATCTGCCTGTGGGGAGTGTGGCGAGCTTCTGTCGGGCCTGATTGCGCTTCGGATGGAAGTCATCTCGCACAGGGAGGAAGGGTACTACCGTTTCCGTTGAGGGCCATGGAATGGGTGGCACAGCTGTGGCACGCACCTTCATTAGTTGTAGAGTTGTTCTTCCTGCGCAGCAGCTCATCGTATACATCGGTGGACAGCTCCTGAAACTGTTGACGGGTGAGGCGCGTGAGCTTCTGCCTTGCCGTTGCACGCGAGTTGACTGGCTCTGTGGATGCTGTGTCGGCGTCAGCGGTGTAGGAGGATGAACCGGGACTGACCGTTTGCCAGATAGCTCGCAAGATACTTGTTCAGTTCCAAGAAGTGCGCACGGGCGATGTCGCGAGGATCGGTAGAGAGTGGGCTGGAAGGAGGATTAATGGGGCGGTAGGAGTCTGTGCGGTAGTTGGAGAAGCCGGAGTAGGTGGTGTTGGTGGGCGAGGGTGCGCGCGAGGCACCGGAACGTCTCATCATGGCGAGAAGCGGAGATGAAGGGCGGTGGGCAGGGGATTAGTGAGAGTCGGGTGCAGCAGCGTGTGCGGGGGCATATATACCCAGCTCGAGCGTGGGCACAGCAGGGGGGGGTGGAGGGAGGTCGCTGGAGGAGATGGACGCCTGCACACATGTCCCACCATCGCGCCCGCCTTTCCCACGCCCCGCACCTTCGCCCACAACGCCACAACGCCCGACGCCCCGCCCTCGCCACGCCATGTCGCCTCTGGGTGTACTCATATATCAGTGTCTCCGACCTACTCTGCACGACTTGTAATGCTATATCAAACCCTCGCCATTGCAGGAAGGTAGACTACGGCGGCGATCACAATCCAGCATCACGTCTCAGGTATCCTGCCATGTTGTTGAATCACTTGTGTCTGACACTGCCGTGTTCCTACGTGGTCGCGACAACGACAGCGCACAGATGGTCTGTATGATGCTCTGTCGTCGCTCGCAGGACGGAGGCCACGCTTTCACGCGCGACACTGGAAGGGTACTGAACTCAATGCTTGCCTATGCGAGTCGCCACGCTGCGGTACGAATAGATCGCCTTCGTCTGTCCCGTTGTCGACGGCGCACAGAGACGCGTCTTCAGCCGCAGGACGTACGACCTCAGCTGCCTCAGCCGCGTACGATGCTTGTCCGAGCGAGCGTCCGGCCGTGACGTCACGCGCTCTGTACGCGTACGCCCGGCAGGCCACCGTCACGCTGCCCCGTCCGCGCCATGTTCGCTCCCGCCGCCAGCCGTCGTCCTCTCCACTCCCATGCACCCGCCTCTCTGCGTCCCATGTCGGAGACGGCCACGCAAGCATCGCACAACTAGACTAGAGTAGCCATCCCTAATTCTGCCATACTGAGATGGTCTTGTCTTTCACCCGCCTCGCCGCCTCTCGCGCCCGCCCTCACTCGACCAACGCTTTCCAATCCAGCCTCACGAGCCTCAGCCTCCGTCTTCACCAACAGTCCCGCTTCTACGCTCTGTATCGCATCCGCAACCGTCAATACCTCAGTCGGCTCTCGACTAGCCAAGTATGCTCGTCGGACACTGTACTTCTCAGGCACTCTCGGGGCTTTGTGGTTCGCGGACACGGAGTTCAACGCATCAGCGGTGACGAGGAATCTCCGCACGTTCTGGACGGTGAGTTCTTTCCTTAGTGTCCCCGTCCGAAGGCGACGGGTCCTCGCATCGCGTGCCCGGCTACCTTCCCGCGAAGGACATCGCGTAGCTTTGCTTCCTCTTCCATCCTGTCATGCTCCCCATACTAAGGGCTGATTCCCTCGTAGTGCGCCTTGATCGCCCTCGATACAAGCTCAACTTCAAGCCCGAGCTCAGCGATCAGATTCCCGCCCTCCACGCCCGCGTCGCCGAGCGTGTATACGACCTCTTCACCTCCAATGGTGGGCTCTACATCAAGATCGGTGCGTAAACAGCCGTCCCTTCATGCATGCGTCAACTCACCCTCCTTTTGCTCCGTAGGCCAGCCTTGCCAACAATGCCTCCTCATGCCGCCCCCATGCAAGAGAAATTCGCCAAGTTGTTCGACGACGCCCCGCAGGTACCCTACTCCGTCGTCGACAAGGTCTTCCGCCGCGATTCGGCCGTCCACCAGCCGGGCCCGATGGCGTCTTCGAGGTCTTTGACGAGCGCGCCGCAGCGAGCGCGAGCATCGCACAGGTGCACCGTGCCAAGCTCAAGCCAGAAGACGGCGGCGAGTGGGTTGCGGTCAAGGTACAAAAGCCGGACGTGAGCCAGCAGGTTGAGTGGGACCTCGGTGCGTACCGCATCGTTATGTGGATTTACGAAAAGTACATCTTCGACATGCCCGTCTACTTCACCGTCGGTGCGCTTCCTCCCTCCGTCGTCCTAGCCCACATATACTGATGCTTCGTTGCAGACTATATCTGCGACCACCTCCGGCGCGAGCTCGACTTCGAGCTCGAGGCCAAAAACGCCCAGGAGACCGCCCGCTTTGTCGCCGCCGAGCCGCGCCTCGCAGACAAGGTCTACGTGCCCGAGGTCTTCCCCGCGCTCTCCACCAAGAAGGTCATGGTCGCCGAGTGGATCGACGGCGTCCGCCTCTCCGACCGCCGCGCCATCCGCGCCCTCATGGGCGAGGCCTCCTCCGCCGACGCCGTCTCGCCGACGCTCCCAACAGCCGGGCCCGACTACTCACGCATCCTGCAGAGCGGTCCGCTGAAGGGCGGCGTCGCGTGGATCATGCGGACGATGGTCGAGCTCTTCAGCGCGCAGATCTTCGACTGGGGCTGGGTCCACTGCGACCCGCACCCGGGGAACATCTTCGTCCGCCCGCACCCGCAGTTCCCCGGCCGCCCCCATTCGTCCTCCTCGACCATGGGCTCTACGTCCGCCTCCGGCCGCACTTCCAGAAGGAGTATGCAGCCCTCTGGCGGGGCCTCATCACTCTCGACTACGGCGAAGTCGAGGCCGTCGCGAAGGAGTGGGGGATCGGCGAGACGGGCTTGTTCGCGAGCGCGACGCTGATGCGGCCGGTGAAGCTCAGGCGGAACGGGAAGGACAACGCCGGAGAGAGCGAGAGGAGACGGTGGGGCGAAATGTCAGAGTACGAGCGGAGCGTCCAGCTGAAGGAAAAGCTGAGGATGTTCCTCACGGACACCGACAAGATCCCCAAGGAGCTGATCTTCATCGGTCGGAACATGCGGATCGTGCAAGGTGCGTGTTTCTCGCGTACGCGTCGACGCTCGTCACTGAACAGTCCCTGCTGCGGTCTGACAGGTAACAATCAGCAGTACGGCTCCCCTGTGAACCGCATACGCATCACTGGCTCGTGGGCCTCTCGTTCCCTCACCGCCGACCCGTCCCTCACGTTTGCGGGGCGCCTTGCCGAGTATCGCAGATACTTCGCTTTCGTCTTTGCCACTTCGTTGCTGGACCTTATGTTCTTCATCACGAGGAGTCGGCAGTGGGTGCAGCATTTCTTAGGCATGAAGGGTGAAGGTTTTGAGGACGAACTAGAGCGGACTATGAGAGGATTTGCGAGGACCAACTTTGGAATAGAGATTACACAGGGTGCCTTCGATGGTTAATAGTGAGTTTGCATAAATGGTACCCATGCACCCATGGTTACATTGTCCAACCTTAACACGGACTATCATGGAGACCATGCTGACTTTGTGTGCAAAGCAATAATATGATGATGTCTTGACATGATGTAGGAGGGCAGAATGATCAATGAATGAGCAAGATACCTGATTAGGGAAAGCACTGTCTTGTGTAATCATTCCCAGGCCACTTCTCCAGCCAAAAGCTGAGAATTGGTTGAGAAGTGGACTGAATTCTTTTCTATTTGATTCCATCAAAATCAGTTGAGAATCAGAAGCATGTTCAGCAGGAACAGTTTTCACACTGCTTCCAATTTGCCGGGGAATAGGCCATGCCTGGCAATACAATCCCAGTTATGGTGTTTGGGACATTATCTTCATGAAGGCTCATTGATACAGTGCTTGAACATCACTTAATACATTTGTGAATACTAGTCTGATAGACTAACTTCCATTCTTTATCAGACCATGCAATTATTGAAAATGTGAGCCATGTGCACAAGACAACTTGAAAAGATTAGGATCTGCCAAAGTAGTATGAGAGACATGTACACAGTTATGGAGCTCAGCTCTCAATCCTCATTGTGGCAATACCAGAGGACTGAATCATGAATACTAAGTGGAGAGGATGTAACACTTAGACATGAATGTGCTGTGCCACTCACTATGTACATCCCAGTGTACATCATAGCATGTACAGTACATTGCTGCATACATCAATCTTGACCAGGCAGGCCATGCTCTATTGACTATGCATAGTGTACATCCAGATGTGCATTGTATTTATTGAGGTACATTAATGTGCTGTGCCACTCATGATGTACATCTCAGTGTACATCATAGCATGTATGGTACATTCCTGCATATATTAACCTTGACCAAGCAGGCTATGGTCTATTGGCAATGCACAATGTACATACAGATGCACATGGCATTTGTTGAGGTACATTAATGTGCTGTGCCACTCACAATGTACATCCCAGTGTACATTGTATCAAGTACAGTATATTCCTGCATATATTGATCTTGACCAAGCAGGCTATGGTCTATTGGCAATGCACAATGTATATACAGATGCACATGGCATTTGTTGAGGTACATTAACATGCTCAGCCACTTGCATTGTACATCCCAATGTACATCATTACATGTACAGTACAATCTTGCATACATTGGCCTTGATAAAACAGGCCATGCTCTGGTGACTATGCATAATGTGCATCCACATGTACATTGCATTGGCTGAACTATATCAATGTGCTGTGCCACTCACAATGTACATCCCAGTGTACATCGTAGCATGTATGATACATTCCCACATACATTGGCCTTGACCAAGCAGGCCATGCTCTATTTGACTATGTACAATGTATATCCAGATGTGCATCACATTCATTGAAGTACATCAATGTGCTGTGCCACTCACAATGTACATCTCAGTGTGTATTGTAGCATGTACAATACATTCCTGCACCACACACTACACATGGAAGTAAGTTGTGTTGTACTCTGCACTTCTGTGTACATTGTGAATGGGGGTAAATGCTGACCCTGATTGAACAAAAGAGAATGACATATATGGAATGCATGTGGCACAGACCATTCATAGCCTCTGTTTGGCAGGGACCACCACAGTGGCACAGTGTCCACAGCTGTACATGATTGCTGCTATGATGGCTCTATTTGTGACTGAATTAAACCCCTTGCAAATTCACAGTCTGTCACAATCATTTATGTATCTTTTGAGGAAAGTGATCACAAAAAGATTCATAACAGGGTGTGACAATCATTTTGACATCCTTCATGGAACATGATGGCAAAAGGATTCATAACAGGGTGTGACAGCCAGTTACATCTCTTTCGAGTACATGTTACAGCTGTAAGATTCATAACAGGGTGTGACAATCCATTATGTATCTTTCAAAGCTAATGATCTCTGAATGAATGACGGCTGGATCACAGATGTAACATACAACCATGATGCCTGGCCATCTAGCATAATAAAGTGATCCTTCTTGCCAAAAGATAGAGAAAAATGTCTGCAATCTTTTTTAAATCATTCATGATAAAACCTAGTAAACATATGCAGAACATGACACAATATGCACTGTAGCAAGATGTACACTGATAGAGACTGGATTTATAATATCCTTCTTATCATTGGCCACAAAATCTGTTCATAAGATTTGAAATCCTGTTCTATGATCATTGTTTACCATCTTTCTTCAATACTTCAAGGCCATAAGATTCAAAACCAAATCACTATCATTCTCAACAGAAAGTTCAAGCAAGGATTGACAATCAGGACTTCAAGTTCTGGTTTTGTATCTTTCTGTAATCATTAGAGTCAAATTGATTGCTAGTATGTCTCATATACTTATTGAATCATTGAGGCAGAAAGACACATGTATGACAGCAATCAAATGATTTCAAAGCTCTCATCAATCCTTTTCCAATCTGTCACTAAGAAGGAGAGCAAAGATATTTTCAATCATTTTGAAGATCATTCTCAGATGAAATACACAAAAATTGTTTGGCCTCTTGTTTACAATCTTTCACATGAAAATATCGCAATTTTCGTCCAGTGCGACGGAGCAGTCTTCAAGGTCGACATTGAGTCGAAAGTGGTAGGTGCCCAGCTCCCAAACCTCCTTGTCAACCTCTCCCGGGGCTGGGATGCGAAGGGGTCTGACCGCCTTGTCCGGATGCGGCCCAGCACTGAATTTCTCCAATACTGCAATGAGATGCTGCGGTGCTCGGAGCCGAGACTTCCACATCTTGTGTTTGACCGCAACTCAAGTCCCCGGTGGTCGACTGAGGGCGTCAACGTGAGTGTGGCGAGTTTTCAGCCATCGGAGGACGGCAATGTATCCGTTGTCGCCGCTGGCTTGTAGGAGGTGCGGGGACGGCATGAGATGCTCATTCTCTGCGGGAAGCTGAGGTTCTGGTCCCGCGCTGATTTCCCAAGGCATGCAGGTGACTGGGATGCTTCCGTCTCGCTCGAAGGGACGACTGAGGTATTCATCCACTTCGGTGGCAGAGAACAAGGCCAATTTGGTCCGAACCGGTGCTCCCGACGACAGGAGGACAATGTGGAAGTCGTCGAAGGTGGAAATCTCGGAGGACGATCGTCTTTCCGCGGGTGCGGGTGTGGCCGGGTCATCGGAGAACCTATTCATGAAGGGGAGCCCTGTGCAAGCGAGCAATGAATGTGGTTCTTCCAGTGGGTCCAGCAAAGAGGGGGCAGTGGCTCGTTCAAAAGGGGCGGGGTTGGAGCGTGACGGGCCGCCTGAATGTAAGCAATCTGCTAGGGACCGCGACAAAGAAGCCGCCGTTGAAGGGGTCAAACACTCAGCAAGAGACTGCACCCGTGAACCCGTGGTGGGACTGTTGACGAGGAGCGGTGAGGGCGAAGCTCTCGCGGAATAGGACTACGACCCCTACAGCCACGAACGGATCAATCACGAGTGGGGCCTCGCCGGGGAGAGCTGTGTGACGGGGACTGGGGACGTTGATGACTCAAGCTCGGTCGGTAGGAGTCACCCATTCTCCTATCGCGAGTCGGCAAACGGCCACGGAGAGCGCGGCGAGAAGGTGACCGGTGGGGAGATGGACGAGAGTACCGGGGATACCGCCTCAAGGGTTCTTCGTGCCCCGGGGATTGCAGCGGCGATGTCCTACGGCGAGGAGACATAGAGCGCGGTGATCTAGGGCGAACACGCCTGGGAGACGGCGAACGGCTGCGTCTCGCTGGTCGCCAGGGACGTGCATGTTCGGGAGAAGCGGGGCAAATCTCCCTCCACTTGCCCTTGTCGTCGCTCAGCTTCGGCAGCGGCGATGAACATTTCTGGTGCTCTGAGACCTCCGGGAGTGCTCTTTCGAGCGACCTGGGCGAGGAAATCACCATGGGCGAGTCTTCTCAAAGGAGCAAACTATTTGAGTCACTTCAAGGTGAGCTCGTAGGGGAGCCCATGGAGAAGCCTCCTGGCGCAGGGGCATCCTAGTCTCCCAGGTATAATTGGTCAACGAAGACGGACGGGGCCTTCGGGGCCACTTCGGGGCCAGACCTGGAGCAGGAGCCGCCGCGCGGGGGGGGGGGGAAGGGATAGGTGTCGACGCCGTGGGGGGAAGGAACAAACGTGGGTGTTGCGGGGGGTGGGGCGGACGCAATCACCACGGCTGAGTTCCTCATGTAGTTGATACAGGGTCTTCATCGGCACTGTCGAGCTCAACCTGGAGTCGCCGTTCTTGTTTTCTGGTCCTTTTTCCAGCGAGGGCTTTCGGTCCGTGCTTCATCTCCTCCCAGGGCTTCAGCAGCAGTCGAAGGTCGAGGGACGCGAAGATGGACTGGATGGTGGAAGCAGGCAGAGGGACGTGAGTGACATACCAGACCGGTACTCCAAACCAGACCAACCATTTCTGCACCTTCTCGTCGTTCTCCTCGACCCAGCTTCCAATGCCCAGAATGTCCGCAGAGGGCGCGCTCATGTGTCCCTCCTCCAAGACCATCTGCAGGTATCTTCGATGAGAGTGAGCACGTAGCTGCAAGAGGTGGCGCTGGATGATAGCGATGTCCTTCCGCAGGGGGAGAGCTCGAGGGTGAAGCGCCGGAAGTGATAGAGGGCGTTTTGTACATCCGCCGGGCGCAGACGGAGGCTCCGAGGGGGTGACGGGACGTTCAGGAAGTGGTCGTTGGCTCGAGCGAGTTCGGCGTCGTAGAGCGTTTGGAGGGTGCGAGAAAAGTCGTTCGTTGGCACACCCTTGCCGTTCTGGTATCTCATACGTGGAACCTTCCTCTGGTCCTTCCCCGCGTGGAATCGAACGTCACGTAGGCGGGGTCAGCACCTTCCTCCGAGGTAGGGACTTCGAAGATAAATGGCTTGTGGCCCTGAGCACTAGACCACTGCTGAGGGTAGAACACAGGCTTGAAGAGACCAATTCTACCATCACCAATATTTATTCCTGGGCGTCTTGGGACATGGGAGCGAGGGGACATAAAGGGCGTTAAGCGAGACAGCGTAGTATCCGTTCCCTAGAGCTATGGCAGAACAAATCTTCCAATGACCGCGGTAGAGTGTCCAGGTCGAGTCCCGGGCCGCTGGCATAGCTGGCGCAACACAATAGTCGCAAGGGAGGAAGATCGACTCTCGGAAGCGCGGAGGGCTGGAGGAGATGCAAGACTGGAGGAAGCTGGTGGATACTCGACGGTGGTTGTTGACGAGGAATCTAGTGAAGTCGGCCGTTCCAAACGTTCACAGAATTCAACACCAGGAATTGAGAAGCGACCAGTTCGCTAGCTCGATGTGGAGGGGAAAGAGAATGAGACGAGCGCTGGCGAACGGATTGTGGCTGGGATGTGGTCACATGATTAACGTGTGATGTCTAGAAGTGACGAGAGTAGATAGAGGGAAAAGTGAAGTATGTTACTGTTGGTCTATAATCTCAGAGGGATACTATGTACTACGGGATGCGAGTGATAAGGATGGAATAGTTAGCGGGTGAGACCTCGTGAAGCCTTGTATTTGCAAAGATTTCGTGCACGTTCCGGAGATGGGCTGCGGGCTCACATGTGTTATGGATGGAACTATAACCCTTCTCTCCTCCATGCGACAACCCATTCGCCTCCATACTCTACCGAGGCCAGCAGGTCAAAATTCCGAGCATCCGGTAGACTGGGTCGGTCCAGATTGCAGAGGTCCTGCTCGAATTCACGGTACTTCCGAAGGTGCTCGATGATTTCTGGTCTACACCCATTGCTTCCCGAGCCCGTTGGCGATTCGGTAACGAGTTTGGTCGCGCGCTCCCTAGCAAGCTGCGGGCGTTCTACGTACCGACGTTCTTTGCTCAGGAAATCAATGATGCCTTTGGGGTCGAAGCTGTAGAGAAGGAAATAGGGTGGCTGGCCCGTGGCTGAATGGATAGACGAGTTGTAGGCGTGTGCGAGCCTGGGTAGCCACTTGTACCAACCGTGGCTGTCTCCTTGAACGTAAGTTCTCAGCATGGTTCCGGTGCGTTGATTAACTATCTCCGTCTGTCCATCGTGTTGTGGATGGTGAGACGAAGATAGGTGCAAGTGTATCTCTAGCCTCGCTGATTCTGACATCCACCGTCCATCACAATCACATATGAACACTTGAGGAGGATGTCAAGCGGGTGGGGCACGAACTTTGATTGACGCCATCCGGAACGAGATACACTGCACACAGGAGACACAAAGAGGGACGGATACATTCGACGGACATCTACGAGGCTACGCAAAGTATCTACTGACTCTCTTCCCACTCGAACTCTCGCTTCTACTTCTCGGGACCAGCCATCTCGATGTCCTCCTCGAGCTCGTCGCGCTCACCCTCGGGATCGGGACCCGCAGGAGCGCCAAGCATACCAGGGCGGCGGAAGAATTGACTGACCTCTCCGGACTCCTCGGTCATCCAGTCGGGACAATCTTGAACGGTTGAAGGGCGGGGCGGATGGTTTGATGAGTTTGAAGGGGCGGGGGAAAGTTGTGAAAGACCGGCGACTGGCTCAGCGGCGGGCGTCAGGGCGGGAAGAGGAGGAGGGACCGAGGGAGCGGCGGCGGATGGGGAGTCATCCCACATGTTGGCCGGGCGAGGGCCGAAGAGAGTTCCCTTTGGCTCGGTAACCCAGTCGTACAGCTCAAGGGAGCCGCTCGGGAGGTCCGGATGGTGACCGATATCTGAGTACTCGGGGGCCCCTTGCTCTGCTCGTAGAAAGAAGAATCAGCGCTGAGAGGAAAAGGGCAGACAAAAGAGGAAGAAGGGACTTACTGAAGTTGCCGAACGTGCACCTCTTGTTCAGTGAGATACACACCACACAGGCTTGGCCCGGCAGGGCGTCAATCCGGCAGCAAAGGCGGTGCTGGCGACAGCCATCGCAGGCAACGGAGGGCGCGTAGACATATGCTCCGTATTGAAGGCAGTCGGACTGCGAACTCCACTGGGGAATGGGCGGGACCGTGTCTGGAGATGGTAGGGCGACCGAAAAAAGAGCGGGATCTGCGGCCCTGGGCACTTTGAGCTCAACGCGGTGGGGCATACAACGCGCAGGAGAAGAAGTGTCAGGAGACGAGGTAGGGGGCGGGGGCAGAACAAATGGCCGCGTGCCGATGCTGCTGGTGAGGACGCCTGTTCCAGCGCGTGAGGTGACATGGAGCAGACCCCGACGTCGTCCTCGATGGTGTCGATCAGGGGCGGGGTGGGAGGCGCATGGGAAATTGCGCTACCACGAGGCGGACCAGGGGGCGGAGAAGGGATGGACACAGCAATGGAAGGGGAAGGCGATGGTAGAAAGAGGGGGAGACGAGCAAGATGAGTGGTGGGAGCGGCAGCTGGGGACGGCACAGGCTGGAGGGCAGAGTGGTCGGCAACAAATGGGAGGGGCTCGCAAGGCGACGTGACTGGCGGGGGAGCTGGTGTGTCCACGATCGTAGGCACCGGAGGCGGACTATGTGCGGGGACAGGAGGCAATGATGGGATGACAGGGGATGGCTGCGGATCCATGTCGGCATAGTCGAGAGGAGACACCGGGCAGTACGGAGGAGACACTGGGCAGTACGGAGGAGAGGCAGAACCAGACTTTGGCGGTGCGGAGGGGTCAGGGGAAAGCGTCTGCGTGGCACAGGGAGGGTCCTCTCTGGGGATGGCCACAGCAGGGGAGAGCACGAAGGTTGTGCCGGCCCACAATCCGAGGTTACCATTGAGGAGGACACCTTGGCGTATCTCTTCCCGAAGATTGCGAATGAGTTGCTGATACGGGGACTCCTGGGCTGCAAAGTGCTCCAGGCGCTCGTGGAGGGCATCGAGAGCCTTGAGAGTCGGGCCCCGCATGCGAGTCTCGAAGTGGCCCACTTCACGAGTGTATTCGGCATGAGCTTCAAAGACTGCCTGGTGAACAAGAGCATGAGCGGCACGGCAGGAAAGCAGTGGAGAGGACTCACCCGGGCGTAGCAGACTTGGCGGGCCCAGAGGTACCAGGTGCCAAACTCGGGTTGTAGCGGATTCAAATCCAGGGATGGCTTTTTGGCGGCAACAATCCCGATGCGAGCCTCCAGGAGTACCAGCTTGGCGGAGGCACCGAGGCGAAGACCATAGTGCTCGTCGGGGAGACCAACGTGGATGGCCTGGGACGGGAGGGGTGGCGAGAGGGAGCATGTCATTGCATCGATGAAAGGCGGTGATGAGCCAGCAGAAAGTGAGAACAGGAGAATGAAGCGAAAAGGCTGACAGCATGACTTATACCTACCGGCGGGTGTGGGAACGTAGCTGAGCCACACTGATCGGAGCGAAAACACCATATCAGAACGTATTCCCAGCCAATCGGGACACAGAACTGAGCGCCAACAAAGCACAGCCACAGACAACGGATGTCGGGAGGTCCCGATTATGGCAGCGCTTAGATGTGCGGAGGCCCAGGAATGGCAGTTCAGCGAGGAGAGTCACACCGGCACCGGTAAGCCTTGTGAGGTCTGTTAAGATGTGAGGTGGGCCCACATACGGTGCCGCCGGATTGGGGTGATGCGGACCAGCGGGGACCGACACTGACCCCCGGAACGAGGCCGCTGGGCCGAGCTCAAGCCGGTGGGAGCGAAGTACATGAGGAACCACTACAAAAAGCTACGCAGAACTGACAGAGGGAATGCAGATGGGAGGGGTGAAAAGACGAAGCGGTACTCGATGTTGGTGGGACTATCGAGTACACGAAGTGAGAAAGAGACGACGGGGTGAGAAGAGAGAATACGAGAGGTATTTATACTACGACAGCCCATGGAGAACAAAGTGAAGGTCCGAGATCGAAACGTCAAAGCGAGGCATACGCCGCACAGGGGTCGACTGCCACACGCTTTGGCAAGAAGTGAAAGCGTGTTGTGTCGCGACGCGGGATGCAATCGTCACGTGTCGTCCTCCTGCAGACCCTGGACATACTCGTTTGTCCAACCCAGCAAGAACAACTAAACCCTCTGGTCTACCGACCCGCCATCCCGGACACTTACCCCATGAGTCCTGTTATCAATATCGAGCATCTCCGATGGTATGAAGAAGCGGATAAGCAATTCGCAGGACTGGATCGCCCTGTTCTGCCCGACCACAGAGGATCCATATTCATGGCATCCGAGGAGTACGAAGTGGAGAAGATCGTTTCTTGGCGTGGGAATAAGGCCAAGGGCAACAAGCTAGAGTTCCTGGTCCGATGGAAAGGATCCAGCCCTGTCCACGACACTTGGGAACCGGCTTCACATCTCCAGAACGCGCACGAGATTTTGAGGGAATTCAAGACCGATAATCGACTGACCCGCTACCCGCGCCTCCACAGGCCTCAAGATTGCTTGACAGCAAAATCCGGATCTCCCTCGTCGGGGTTGACTCAACGAGGCCGGTGCGCTGGTGGTTCCAGGACTTCAAGACAGGTAGACTGCTGGAAGAGGCGAACGAGAGGTAGAGGAGGAGGATGGACTTTTTCGTGTTGTTGTTACTCTCGGTCGCGCTACCCTGACTCGACACACCCTATGCTGCCCTACATCACTGCCTGCCCATTACTATATAAGCCTCATGATCACACCCGACGAAACCACCACCGATTCTCCTGTTGTACTGTAGTATGGCGGGACCACGTCTTAGCACATCTGTTCACTTGTTGCGATTTATAAATGCTGAATTCATCATCATCATCATCATCATCATCATGACCCGCTACCCGGAAGTCCATAATTAGAAGTATCATACGTGTCCGGCTCTCTCCTCAATCAGTGCCTCGCATTTACTCGCTATTATACCCTTTAATCACGTCTAGTCCAGGACCCGCGTCCGTGGAGGCGTGCGGACTGGTGTGCACGTGACCGCATCACGGAACGCGCTGCCACAAGTTCGACTCGAGCGCCTCCGGTCCTCATCCCTCTTCTTTCCCTCGGTGAACGGGTTCCCTCTATTTGACTTCTAAAGTAATCTACATTCACTCTATTCTAGTAATCATGCCATCAAGCAATTGGCTCTCGCACTCAGAATGGTGAGCTCTCAGTCCATTCCAAGCTCTCGCGCCAGCGAATAGCTCGCGCGCCTATGGCGCCAGTTCCTATGCCTCGTCGATCGCGCCTCGAGGCTCTCGACCACTTCCTTTCCCATCTTGCGGCCCACCAGCTTCGCCAGCTGCTTGGTCCGAGCCTATACGGAAGTCGGTGGGCGCTACATCGCCGAGCGAGTGCCCGCGGGCATCAAGCGCCGAGCTACTTGCTCCTGACTTCCACCTCGCTCCTGGTCCCACCTCGCGCCCCAGACTCCACTCTGCTCGAGGCACCACTCTCGCGGGCGACCGTTGAGATGACCACCGAGTAGTGCAGAACTGCCGCGCGCTCGGTAGTCACCCCGCTGACGCCAGTCCAAGGCCCAAAGTCGAGCAACTGCGCACACACCCTCGAGAGTCCGACTCGTCAAACTCCCGACTCGAGGTCCCGTCCACGGCGCGGACGACGCACGCGCAGCGTGTCTGCAAGTCCCACGAACAAGCCACGTCGGCGCATGCAAGAGCAAGCACCGAGAAGGCCGTACAGACAGCGCCGGCGAGCAACGCGCTTTGCATCTGCAGGACCTCGCAAGACGCGTCGATGCGCGCCCCAAGGCCCCCAGAGGATGCTTCCGCCAGCTCGAGGACGAGCCGCTGCGAAAGGACGAGCAGGGAGGTCGACGGGCAGGAGTACCGCGTCAGGTCGACTCTGGTGAGTACCTCAGTTCCCCAGTTTCCACCTTCCTCGCCCTTGCACACGTGTTGCATGCTTCCGACCCCGTACTCTCCTCGTCCTCATTCCGCGAACACGTCCTCGATCGATGCACTCGCCTCCAAGCGCTGCCCTCATCCTCACACTGTCATCCATCCGCTGCCCTCTCCTTTGCTCGCCGTCCATCCATCGTCATCTTCGGATCTTGGCTTTCTGTCGCGCGAGGAACGTCAAGCCCACGTCCGCGCGCTCCACGCCTGGGTGAAGGCCGCTGCTGAACGGGCGGCGGTCGCACCAAAGCATTGAAGGGACACTCCGCCCATCTCGGTTCTTGATCCTTCCACGGCCTATGCAATCCCTCTCTCGGAAGGCCCCCAAGGCGATTGCCAAGTAGCGCGATACCGCCCCGCTGGCGCAAACTCGTTGCGTGAATACTGGCAAGTCCGTGTCGGCGCGTTCCATGCCAGAGAAACGGCCGCGGCCGAACGAGCTGCTCTCGAGCTTGCCCCAAGGTTCCCGGAGGATGCCCCGTCCGTAGCAAGACCGAGCAGACGTGAGGGAGTATGAGAGAAGGAGTCAGGCACGAGGGCGTTGGATTGGAAGGTCGACAGAGAAGGGACGCGAGCAGAGTCGACCGCAGCCGACGCCTCGACGCCCCCATGCCATGCTCGCTCGCCTGCTTCCGGACCCGTTCACTCCGTTCCTCCGTCCCTCCTCGTGCTCACTTCGCAACCCGCGTGCTCTCCCCGCTCCACGTCGCCCGAACCGCACCCTTCACCGCCGTCGACTGAGAAGTTGGTTCTGTAGCATCCAGCGTCCTCAGCGTCGAAGGGGCGGCCGTCGGGAGCGCGGGGGAGAGGCTAGGACCATTGGCGAATCCGGACGAGGAGGAGGCGTCACGGCAATTCTGGGCGGCGAACGCGAAGCTGGAGACGGAATAGTGAATCCGCCAGGTGCGGGGTCATTGACCCATCCTTCTTTGATGTTTTCGAAGAACGAGGCGGCTTGTTCGGTCCCCGCTGCGGCGTACGGCGGCGCGGCAGTGATCGCGCTCGACGCAGCCTGAGGGGACGGGACACGGGGCTTCGCCGCCACAACGTCCGCGCGGCAGGTATCGCGCCAGACTCAGCTGGGAAAGCGCGTTGGAAAGAGAGAGGGGGTTGTCGTCTGTCATTGCCGTCATTCCGTATTTGACTTTCCAGCTTTCGATGAGGTTGTTTTCGTCGCTGTCTTGGTCGGCTTGCTCCGCTTGTAGACACTTTCGAGTCTTCTTACCAATGAACTTGGGAAGAGCGTGCATCTCGTCGTCCCAGTATTTGAGGAGCAACATCAGGTCAAGAGGCGCGAAGGGAACGAGGGTAGCTGAGGCCGGAGGCGTGAACTGTCTTACGTACCAGACCGGGACCCCAATCCATACCAATCTCTTCCGTACTTCAATGTCATCCTCGTTAACCCAGCACCCTACTCCCATAAGATCCGGGCTTGGCGTAGAGAAATGGCCTTCCTCGAAGACTGTCTGCAGGTGAGCACAGCGTGAGTAAGCCCGCAGTTCCAGTAGATGGCGTTGGATGACCGCCACAGCACTTCGCATCGGGAGCAGCTCCAGGGTCTGGACGTTGAACAGGGCGGAAGCGTCTTGCACGGCGACTGGTCTGAGCAGGAGCCCACTAGGAGGCGCTCGGTCGACTTGCCAGAATTCCGCGGCTTGATGAAGTTCAGCCTCATAGAGGGTATGCAAGGCCGCTGCGAATTGACTGGACGGGACGCCACTGTCCATCTGCTTATTCAGGACGTGGAAGGTACCCGATTGTCCATGTCGAGGGCAGTCGATAGTAACATAAGCCGGGTCAACACCTTCGGGGCTGGCGGGGATCTCATGAATGAAGGGCTGGTGCCCAAGCTCCCGCGACCAATGCTGAGGATGGTAACCGGGTTCGTACAGCCCGTTGCGGCCGTCCGCAAAGGTTTCTTCTTCGACGTTCGGAGCGAGGGGCGGTGAGGGGATGTACGACATGTTCGGGGATACAGCGTAGAGTCCGGGCTCAATGAGATATACGGAACGGACTGCACGATGCGCCACGAAGTGGGTCCAAGCTGAGTCGCGGCCGGAGGGTCTGGGAGGTAGATCCCTGAAGTTGCGAGGGTGCCAGAGGGACGATCAGAAGCGGAGAGGGCTCGTAGAGGAGGATGAGCTAGCCAATCTAGTTTACAGCGACAAGGGAGGAAGAAAATCTGAAGGTAAAAGACCCCACGAGGCTCGGCAGTTCTGAACACTCGAAGAGCTATGTAACGAAAATAGGGAAGGGATCGAGGCTCGGCAGTATCGCGCACTCGGTCACCTGAAGAATGGGAAGAGAGAGGGAGACGGGTCGGAAGCGCCGGCGCTGAACAGAGGCTGCAAGTCCCGCAACACGGTCACGTGAGCATAGCGTTATGCGCATCAAATTATGCGAGGGCTCTATTTGCGTACGCCGTAAAGTAGGAGGCGACGTTAGTTTAGGAGCGAGACTTATAGTACTGAGGAGCTCGAAACGTATGGTACAGCTACCTACAGTCAACCGGCTTAGCGTTTGAGCCGGTGGTCGGCCTTGAATTCCCTCAAGATCTCGTGCGCGTTCTGGAGATGCGAGGCCGGACGGGACTATAACCCTTCCATCGCACCAAGAATTCAAGCCGGTTACCCTTGGACTTGTTCCTTCGCCAAGCGATTATTTTCTCCACTTCGTATTCTTCGGACGCCAGTAATTCAGATCCTCGGGGGTCAGGCAGGACAGGACGGTCCAAGGCCGCGAGATGCTTGTCTGCGTCTATCACCGAAGGTGCTCGATGTTAATGACGGGATTCATAGGGTATGTGTCGGGAATGGCGAGTCGGTAAACCAGGGGGTTGAGTTGTTCTTGCACGGGAAAGGGGCCAAGCATACGTTGGACTAATTCCTTGCCCGTTCCTTTCACGTCGACCAGCTCGAGCGAGTGAGGGTTGATCAGTACTCAAGAGCCTACGGGGAAAGTCTCGGTACGTCGTCCTTTGTTGAATTGTCGAGCTGCTTGTTCCTGAGCAGCAGCTATGGCATCTCGAGCTCTTCGTCGGTGAAGCTCCATTTCGTCGACGAAGTCGGTCGCGCGTTCATTGGCAAGCAACGGATGTTCAACATAACGGTCGTCTTTGCCTTGGAAGTCCAGGGCGCCCTTCGGTTCGAATCCGTATAGAAGGAAATTAAGGCAAGTAGCCCGTAGCAGAGTGCACGGATGAGTTATATGCGTGAGCGTGAGCGAGAGCGGGGAGCCATTTGGACCAGCTTTGTCGGTCTCCTTGTACATAGGCTCGGAGCATGGCTTCTATCCTTTGATTGACGATTTCAGTTTGGCCGTCGTGTTGAGGATGGTGCGACGAAGACAAGCAGAGATGCATGTTAAGTTCCGCGGCGACCGCTCTCCAGAATTCGGACACCCAACATCCGTCGCGGTCGCAGATGATATGATCCGGGATGCCGAATCAAAATATCAACTGTTGGACGAAAAGGTGGGCGAATTCGACTGTGTTGAGGGTGCCTTGACATTGGATGAATGGGCCATGCTTCGTGCATCTATCGACTACCACTAGTACAGCGTTGAACCCGTCCGATAGAGGTAGCCCAGTGATGAGGTCGAACGAGATCCATTCGAAGGGCTGATGGGGAACGGGGTTAGGACGGAGGAGTCCCGCCTTAGCTCGTCTATCGGACTTGGTCTTCTGGCAGATGTCACAGGACATCGCGTAATCTCGGACGTCCCTTCTTAGAGAGGGCCAAAAGAAACGGTTGCTGATCCTCATAGCTAGCTTGGACGGTCCTTCATGTGCGGATTCATAGGGCGAGTCGTGGATTCGAGCAATTAACGGAAATATCTCAGCTCGCGGAACACATAATCTCGCAGGATCCGATCCAATACGTAGGTATAGCAGTCCTTGCTGATCCGTGAAGAAGCATTGGCCTGCGAACCTCTTCACACCTGGTTCGTTGGCTTTCTTCCACTTGTCCCGGAAGAGGGTGTCCTTCAGGTATCCCTTCACGAACTTGTCGCGATACTCGTGGCTCATTTCTATGAGCATGGACGGAGGAGACACGTCGTCCTCAGGGAGATACAACGTGCTTGGGTCAGTTTTGAGCTCGGTCGTCTGGGACTGCAACGGGTCTTGCACTTGTCCATTTTGCTTGACTGATTGCTTAGGCGACGACGTTTCTCGAGTACTGACGCGGTGAGCGAGAACATCGACTTTCGAACGAAGAGGCGTTCCTCTCACGTCCGGGTCGTTCCGTTTGGTACTAATCTGGTGAACAGAGGCATCGGGTCTCGGACGAAGAGGCATTCCTCTCGCATTCGAGTAGCTCCGATCCTCTGCCTCGTGGGGGTCTTCCTCTGGGGATGTGTGTGGATGTCGAAGTGGGTCTATCGTTCCTGTTTCGTTCGAAGTCTCGGCGTCTTCTAACACTTCCAGTCGCTCGCCCCCCACGCTGAGACTCGAATCATCAGCGCGGGTGTTGGAGAACCAGCCGGAAGGAGGGGTGGAGTCCAGTACGTCTTCCCATGACTGGAGGAGTGATGCTGAAGCGGTCATTCGCACTGCCGGGGCTCGTTCTGAAGGGTCGGTGACGATAGGAACCGAGAAATCTTGGAGCGGCGATTGATGAGGCGGGGGATCCCTCGGTAGTCGAGACAGCGGGTCGACGTTGGGGTGAACTCTTCCCGCTCGATGCACGATGTCGAGCTTAGGCATGAATGCCGCGAAGACAGCCCCCCAAGCCGCCAGACGGCGGTTGGTATTCTCGTACATCCGGGCCCATTGCAGGGCCACGTGGTCGGTGACTAGGGTGACTTGTTCTCCTTCGATGAATGGTTGGAACCATACAAGTCCTTCTTCCGCCGCTAACGCTTCTCGCTCCGTTGCTGAATAATTCCTTTCCGCCGGCTTACAGGTTCTACTCCAATAGGCGATAACGCGTTCCACTTGGATGGCAGTGTCGTCCAAAGTGGAAGCCCAGACGCCTGGCGCAGGCTGATCATCAAACTTGCGCGATATCTTGGTGACCAATGATGGAACCACCACTTTTTCCTCGAACACTTTGGCTAGTCGGTCATATGCGCGAGTTCCCCGGAGATCGCAAACTTGAATGGACTGGACTTGTTGGAGGCAGGTGCCCAACACTATGTCGGAAGTGTCGGTGTAAAGACGGTAAGGTTGGTTGGGAACTGCATGGGCCAGGACCGGAGCGGATTGGAGGGCTTCTTGAGTCCGGTGCCACGCTACCTCGCATTCGGCCGTCCAGGCCCACTTGTGGTCCTGTTTCAGGAGCTCGAACAGCGGAGAGACAACGAAGGAATAATAAGGTATGTAGGCCGTGAAGTACACCATCATGCCTAGGAAGGTTTGCAGGTCGGAGACACGCTTGGGACGGGCAAGTTCCATCACCGCGCATACTTTCTCCCGATGGGTAGAGAAGCCTAGCCTTGACCTTCTGTCCGAGCAGGAGGATAGACGTATAGCCAAAATGGCATTTCGGGGGCGAGAGAGTGATCCCTGACGAGATGATTGCTTTAAGTACTTGGTCAAGGTGGTTGATGTGCCACATAATGGGGTCAAAATAACTAACCCTAACATATGCCTCGGCGTAGACAAAACCGTCAAGCTACTGCAGCTCATCGGAATTGGAAAACACTCTTTCTTGTGAAGCATGCGAGCGGTTGCTTTGGCTCCTACGGGAGGCCGAGTGATTATTGCTGTTTGCAAAAGTCTTGTCGCAGCGCCAAAACCACAAAAGGTTCGCACGACGCGACCTCTGCGACCTCTTGCTCAGAATCACCGTTTCTCGCTCAATTTTCAACGTATCGGCTCGGCAACTACAGCGTTCGATTCGTCTTGGTGAGACGCAGCACCTGGTATGAAGAACATGGCGAACTTCGCGAAACTCAAAATCTCGATTTTCAGGTGCATGCGCAAAGGAGAACGGCGGCGGCGAGCGGAGGAGAGGTCAGAGAGCGTCGGGAATGGCTGGGATATGTCTGGTTGGGTAGTGTGCAGTGCTCAAAGATGTGATGGTGAGTTTTGACCGCTCCGATCTGTTGTACTCACCTGCCCCCAGTTGCCTGCGAGGTCTTCGGCGTGAAACACGACATCTTGCTCAATTCTCAATGTATCCGCTCGGCAACTACAGCGTTCAAATCATCTCGCTGAGACGCAGCGCCTGGTATAGAGAACACGGCAAGATTCGTGAAACTCAAAATCTTGATTTTCGGGTGCACGCGAAAAGGAGAACAGCGGCGGCGAGCGGAGGAGAGGTCAGGGAGCTTCGGGAATGACCTGTGCCCTGACGACTTGAACAACAATATATTTCTGTTATGTAGCCTAGCTATTGCGTGACATGGCGATGGTCAACCTATATGTTTGCGCTGTTGAGAGAGAAAGCCCTGCGGTTACGTGTACGGCTGGGATTGCACCCAGCATAAGGATCGCTGCACAGCCGAGTCGGTGTTTGCAAGTTAAACTTGACACTGCACATACTCTACCCTACCGTACCACATTCACGCGTACACTCTACACACTCCTTCTATATTATATGGCAGATTAACGAAACAAATCGAAGCGGAAGTCAGGGAGGTCACGCACATCTCGGAAGACTTCGATGTCCTCTCAGCCTCAGACCGCCCCGGACTCGCCGTTGCCATTGCCTCCGCCTCCCAAACCTTGTCCAGGGCATGCCTACAAAGGTGCTTCGAGGATTGGTGATGGCCAGGAGTCTGTGGCTCCCGAGAAAAATGAGCTGGGAATGTCACTGGCAGTTGCCCCGGTTGCCGCACCATCACGGGAAGGTATCTCAGCGGTGCAAAATTGTGCTGCATACCTCTCGTGGATACTCGAACACAACTGTACAGGCCCAGGTGAGCTATGCAGACTACCGCCAAGCCTTTCTGCCGTACACTGCACTTGCAGTTGCCAACTTTTGTTGCTGCGCAGGCCGGCGAACGAGTGGGCCTACGAGGTCAAGAAGACCTTGTCCTTCTTGCTGTCTTCGATGCAGTGTACTGCAGCCTACTGAGAGGCATTGAAAGGCATAGAAATTGGGTAGATATGATGAGAGCCGGGTGGGCTCTGCGTGTTTCGCGCCGAAGACCTCATAGGCGACTGGGCGCTGGTGAGTACGACAGAGCAAAGCAATGAAAACTCACAATCACATTGTTGGGCACTGCATGATACCCAACCAAACATGCCCCAGCCATTCCCGAAGCTCCCTGACCTCTCCTCCGCTTGCCGCCGCTGTTCTCCTTTTCGCGCGCACCCGAAAATCAAGATTTTGAGTTTCGCGAATCATGCCGTGTTCTCTATACCAGGTGCTGCGTCTCACCGAGGCGAATCGAACGCTGTAGTTACCGAGCCGATACATTGAGAATTGAGCGAGAAACAGCGATTCTGAGCAAGAGGTCGCAGAGGTCGCTTCGTGCGAACTTTTTTGATTTTGGCGCCGTGACAAGACTTTTGCAAACATAAGCCACACGCTCAACATTCAACGTTCAACGTTCAACGTTCATCCACCAATGTGGGTGCTTAGAACTTACTCCTACTCAACCCATGCGAGTCTGAAGGAATTCTCCAACCTCGGCTGTGTCGTGCCTGTGATGCCTCGACTCGCTCCTCAAGAAGCCATGTGTCGTGACGCAGGTGTTCTGACCGAGTGGAGGGGAAATAGGAAGGACGAGGAGGAGGCTGGGTGTGGAGACTCAAGAAGGTGAGGAGAGCTGGTGCATGCCAGTCCATGAATGCTCATGCATCCGTCCGCGTATACAGGCTAGCAGCAGGGCGGGAGGATGAGCGGGGACACGAGCACGCGGACAAGTGGGCAAGCGGTCAGGCGGTCGGCCAGGCGGTCAGGCAGGCGAAGGGAGCCCATTCAGCGGATTTGCCTATGACCATAGGCCAGCCGACTGGGAAAAAACCGAAGTGTCGTTGGACAACCGAGGCCGGCCGACGGCTGACGGTCTTTCGTGGGCCGACGGTCGTTTAGACGCATGAGCATTGGGTCGGCCGACGGGTCAGTAAACTACGCTAATCAAACAATACATTTCTTGTGCTATGGTTATCCGTGACACGACGTCGGATGGCTCAATGTGCATTGAGTACTCGAGTCAGCTTATTGAAGAGGCGTACAGACATACGGACGTACCCATTGTGCAATTGATGCTCGGTTGACTCAATGAGCATTGAGTCCACCGAGCATCAATTCACCCAATGGTCATTGTCTCTACCGAGCATCGGTTTAACCAATGAACATTGGTAAATCCGAGCTCGTTTGCCCCGACGCGCATAGGGCAACCGACGTCGGATGGCTACTCATGCCCAGCCAGGGCTTGTGGGATGTCCATCCAATGTCGGCCGCGTCTATGAGCATTCACGACCCGATCTCGGGTCCCTGAATGCCCATAGACACAGCCGATGCCCGCCTGCAGCGGTGAGAGCCGGTTTTGAAGAAACCGCCCGCTTTTCGAACATAAGCGCCTGGTTCAGATCCGATCGGGCGCCAGATCGACCAGCCGTTTCACGCCTCTTTTCGTCTCTCTCTGCTTCTCCTCCTCTCATCCTCTGCACTCGAAACCACCCCCACGTCTGCTCACACGATATACATTGGCCTCTGCATGTCTGAACCATCCACCCTCGACATACCGCGCGTAGTTCACGCCTCCAGGCGGCACACTCGCGCCGTGTCTGCGCCGGCCGCATTCGAGGTCTCTCAAGCCCGCTCTCCAGCGGCGACCGCGGACAAAACCCAACACAATCCGCCCGTGGCGGATTCCTCCAGCAACCAGACGGACGGGCTCGCTACACGTCGGGAGGACGGAGACGCGCCTACACGCGTCTCTTGGGAGCAAGAGACGTGCGTACCCTTCCCAGGTACGTTTTTTCAATCTTCCGGCGATCTCTGCGTTCTGAACCAGTCCAGGCGCGTCGGACGCCATGCCCGAGCCAGCTTCCAACGTGTCTCAGCACGTTGGACACGCTGTGGAACGCGGTACATCCTTTTTTGACGGTTTCTCTGCGCTGCTGATCCTCCCTTCGCGTCTCCAAGGCGCCACCGGCCCACAAACGCCTCTTCTACAGGCCGGGGGCCCTGCTCAGCATCCAGGTGAGTCCGTCCACGCGTCTGGCTCGCCCCGCTGTCGAACGTCCCGCCCACCAATGCTGCCAGCTCACCGCCAGCAGGCGGCAACGCTGCCGGTCCGTCGCGATGACGTGGCGGCGCCGCGCGCCGCTGCGCCTCTCTCTCGAGCGCAGAGCGAGCTCTGGGAAGGTACGTGCTACACCTTCCTTCATTCCTCCACCACCTTTGATGCACGGCCTCTTTCAGGCGGCAGTACACGTGTTGCTGCGGCAACATTGCCTGCAGCTGCGTCGCTAGACACAGTGCAGGCTGCGCTGACTGACGGTGAGTGCGGTTTCGATTGCGGCACTCCGTGCTCACTTCCGCCTTCTCAGCCTGCGGCAACGCTGCGCACGCGAGCCGTGGTTGCTCTGCGCCGGCAGCGCCCACTTTGCGTACCGCAGGTAAGTCGTTTCTGCAGGTGTTCTGCTTGTCACTGACGCGTCTTCTTCCTCTGCAGCGGGGCGCGGTGACGTGGCGTCTCCGCAAGTGTTTGCGCCGTACGCAGACCCCGTCGTCGCCTCTCGAGGTCGCAACTCTACAGCGCCGCTCCCTACCACCGTTGTGCCACACCCGCCCGCCGCTGGACTGTCGACGGTGGGCGACGCAGAGCTGCGAGACCGGCTGGTTCCGCTGGGCGTACTGCGGGCTGCAGCGGAGTCTTCTGCCTCCGCTGCGATTGGCGTGTCAAGCGGCCACGCTCCAGGTACGTAACGTACCTTGCGTTTTTACCGTTTCCTGCTGACTTGATCTCCCAGTCACTGCGGGCAACGAGCTGCCGCCACCGCCGTACTTGCCCCCTCCGTACGTGCGACACGTTCGTCGACCCGGCATCTTCCACATGCCGCTTTACTTCCCGCCCATGCGCGACGTGGACAACGGTGGCGCCGCGCTGCACCGTGTGATGCCCGTCCTGACGCGGATTCAGGCTTGCATCGACGATATGGAGCCTTATTTCCTGGGATCGACCGGTATCCCAGAGGCGCCTGGAAATCCCTGGTGAGTACCGTCTGCAATTCATTGGATCCTGCTCACCTCGAATAGGGTTCGTCAGGAGTCGAATGTGGGGCACTTTGACTCCTTCGTTGTTGCCTGGAAGACGCTCTCCCGTGAGCAGGGTGAGGTATTTGCGTGGTTCATCGTCATTCCTGTCGATGATGAGGGACAGCGAGAATTGATTAACGCATATCTTCAAGAGGCATTCGAGGAGGAGCAGGACATCAGGGGAGTAGAGCAGGAGCAGGAGATAGAGTGAGGCGTACATTACATCGTACAATGTATTTCATCGACTCAAAGCATCATTTCGGTTGCATTAAACATATTCATATTCAAGTATGTATAGTGGATGTCCTCAGCTCCAGAAAAGAGAGGCGAGCTTGCTTCGCGCCAGTGCAAGCCCGAGTTTGAGAGGCGCATCGCCTCTCTGCTACGGGCTGTACTACGCCTCTCGCCAGCGAACCAACGCTCGGTCTGCCAATACTCTTACAAGGCTCGAGTATCCAATCAGTTGCTGCCATGTAGATGTGATGATGCTCCGCTCGTACACCCCAGAGCCTCAGTGCATTCTTCTCTCACCATGGTGTCAAGAAAGTGGCGTAAGGTTGAGCTCTCCGTCGAGCCGAAGGCCGTGCGCACCGTCGTGACGCAAACCTCGAAAGGCAAGAGATATCGTTTGGTCTCCGCTGAATTTGCGAAGCACAGAGAACCCGCTGTGTCCGATGCAGAGCCATCCGACCCGGGGCCATCACGGCCATCTAGACAGCTTGGAGAAACATCAAACGACATACCCGTCTTCGACTTTGGGGCTCCAGAGAATGCCCATTTGCTCAAAGGTCGTCCGAAGAAGCGAGCAAAGACGAAAGCATCCGGCTCCATAAGTGGCGTCATCGGACAGACTTTCTTCGAGCTCATTCATGTCCACCAGACCCAGGCTGATTTCATGCGCCAATGGCTTCCGCGGCGAGATGCATTTCTTCAACTCCTGGTCGATCTAGAGGGTCCACGGGAAAGGCGACAGTGCTCCGGGTGCAATGCGGAGTGGAGTCCTTGGCGGTGCATTGACTGCTTCGCTCGGCCGAGCTTTTGCACGGCTTGCTGCCTGAGTGAGCACAACCGAAATTACCTCCACCGGATTGAGAAGTGGATACCCGTGGACGGAACCAATCTCTCCAGCGGACCAGCACCCGAGGAACCCGAGGACAGCAGAAGCGACGCAGGAGAGTGGGAGGATGTCGAGAGCGAGATGTTGGCAAGTAGAGCAGAGCCGTCAACTAACCAGGGACCCATACCCTATGAGGAAGGTATGTACCTTTATTTCACAATGCGTCTGCTGAGCTTGGCGTATTAGGATATTTTCAGGCTAGCTCGCTCTACGCTGTGGGTGCACGCCTCTTCCTGGGTCATGGAGGCGCTCGATGCCGCGTTTTTGAACTCATCAGCGGAGATGACCTCTGCCAGAAGCTCACAGTTGTTGACGTGACTGGCGTGCACACAATTCGCGTAATGTTCTGTCAGTGCAACGAACCACCTGAAAAAAGCATTCAGCTTCTCTCCCTCGGTCTCTACCCCGCCTCCATGCTTGCGCCCCGGACCGCCTTTACCTTCCACGTATTGGACGATTTCTTGCTTGCCAACAAGATCTCTGGTATCGCCGCTCAAAGCTACTTTGAAAGACTACGTCGTCTCACCAACAACGCGTTCCCCACTCATGTCGCCGTAGGTCGTCTGCGTCACTAATCTTGCAGTGCTCTGATTGTGCACTAGGACCGATACCGAGAGCTCCTTCGAGCCAGTCGTCAATGGCGAAACCTCAAGTATAGGAAGTGGCATGGCTACGGTCATGGTCGAGGCACAGTAGGGCCTGGTGATCTCGCCTTTGGATGCGTCGCTTGTCCAAGGCCGGGTATAAACCTCAAAGACGACTGGCAGCAAGACCCCAACCAGTTTGTAATTCACCCCTGGAGACAGGCCGCTGGCTGACAGATTGAAGGTGGAAATTCACGCAAACATTCGTCATGGACGGAAATTTCAGCGCCGAGCATCTCAAGATGCGAAACCCTCGAGAAGATGTGTCTTTGGCTGATGGTCATGGCTTTATGGTCACCGACGACCCATACAAGCGCCATCTGAAAGAGGCGGTAGACGATCGTGAGGTAGGCCGCTTCCGTTCAGTAGAGAGGCGCACACTGAGAGGCGGCAGAAATCGAGTTGTCACGCCCATCGAGCCGTAAGCCAAGCAAATGCGGACAGACACGATATGGAAGCCACTGGGATTGGTGCGGTAGCCTGCGGGCGGCACGGCTGTTTCGTGCCTCACGCTGTGGTTGACTTTCAGAAAGGCGAACGGTCTGTCGTTCAGGGTCAGTGCGCTTCTTCGACTAAACTGTCACTCGCAGGCAAATGAACATGGACTACGCGCTGTCTCAGGCTCTTCGTTTCTATCAAGGCTTGGGGATATTCATCATAATGTATGACATCGCCTGTCAATACAGCAAGAAGGTGGTCGGACGGTTCACCAAGGCCGAGGAATATCTTCTATGGCCGATTCTCGCCCTAATTTACTGGGGCATCGGGCTGTTTCATATCCACGGGCATCAATGGGACTGCTTGCCGAAGTACTCCCCAGACTTTATACCGGGAGCCGGTCGAGTAGACGGGGAGGTGATCGAGACACTGTGGTCACCTCTGAATCGCATATCGGGAAGCACAAGGGCGATGTCAACCTCCCATCGAAAAGAGGTCATTGACGACCACATGAACGATGCTAATTGGAGGAAGACTGTTGGCATGGGTAAGTCATGAGAAGCGGACGAGAACGGCTGCTAACTGGGACACAGTGAAAATGCTTTCACGGCGATACAAGGAGGCATCGACGGAGCGTGTAATATCAAAGGACGTGCTGAAAAAGCTGGAGGAATCCAGTGATCCAGAGCGGTTGCGAGAGTGGAAGGCCATCGAGGCAAGGGCTCGAGCGAAGAGGCGTACCGATTTGAGCGTGATGGAGCCGTATGAGATCACACAAGAGAAAGGTATGACAAGCAATCCACATTACTCCGCTGTAGCTGATATTTGTTCAGCACCCAGCAAACGAGAGATTCAGCTTTTGCTGGAAAAGGAGGAAGGACGGCTCAAGCAAGAGACCGGCCTCGCCTCTTGGCTTGCGGAAGGGCTTTCGCTTCAGGAACAACAGTAAGAGACATACTAAGCGTAGGTCCTTCCCAGTTAACAAATGCCCAGGGTAGCAGTCTCTGGACTGGCCAGGCGTCAGAAGAAGGACCCGCTCCTTGCCTCACAGCTGGAGCTGGTCGGCAAGAGGAACCGGCTGCAGAGAGGCGTAGATCGCTTCTCTGCAAAAGCCAGCGCCTTTTGGACCGCTGAAGACTCCGAAGATCAGGACATAATTTGGCCCGGCGACGACATTGAAGGACTTCCTCCGCCCTATACTGGCGATGATTGGGAAGATATCGACGGCGATCCTGACGTTGCTGATTCCATTGTCGTTATTCACGAGGCGGAGGACATCATTCAGCCTGAGGCGGTTGCGCTACCTCTTCCCTCAACTTGGGGAATGCAGAAACTACGCGACCTTAAAAAAACAAGGCTGGGCGAGCAGGAACTCCGCCTGCGGGAAGGGCAGGCGAATGATGCTCTTCACCGCCTGCGAATGGCGATCGGACTGAAGTCGGTAGTCTTTCGAACTAATGTCCGTGACGGCGATGGTCAGCATGCGAAGACTAGGGCATGGACGCAGATTCAAGCCATTGCAAGGACCGCGACCGAACAGGCGCGTCTGTACTCTCTGGCAAGAAACACAATGAAGCGCCTAGTCTTAACTAACCAAGAGTCCTTGGAGATGGAGAGACGTTTCCAGGAAGAGAGGCGTGCTGCGAAGCAAAAGGACCAAGCCCCGACCTCACCAGCCGCACCAAGTGCGCCTGCCTCTTCATCCGCGTCTACCGTTCAGCGAGACGCCTTTGACACATGGGTTCGGACTCTTCCAGAAGTAATGCAGCGCTATCGACCCCTCTACAAGGAAGATCTGAACGCTACTACGCATCTTGTCGACAATGCAGAGCGGAACTCCCGCCACAAGGTCCTGTCCTGGATATGGTCGGTGGACGTTGGTTTGGATACAGAGAACTCGGATTGGCTGCTGGAAAGTACGTATCTGCGCGCCCATACCTTTCAATAACTGATCTTGCTTCAGTTCATAGGGTGAACTGGCTTCGTGAAAAGGCGAAGTCTGATCGCTGGAACGAGCAATCAGCAATAGTGGGAGAGGAGATGAAACAGACCGTTCGCTCCTTCGAGTTCAGAGCTACTCAGTGGAAAGGCCGACAAGTGGGCACGGCAGGACAGCAGTCTTATGCACTTCGACAGGCGGCACTCTGGCAAAGTCTAGCTGATGATGCGCGAGCGGCATTCACCAAGCTCCTGCCGAGCGGCCTGTAGTATTTCAGTATCGCTTCTATTACATAGACGCCATTTGTCGTCACGCTTCCTACGCATACAGTCCTTTCATGATGCCCCCTATAGTACTCCACGAAATCTCTCGCACACCTGCGTTTGTGAATACGCGGTCCTTCTCGAACCAGGCGACCGTTGTTCGATCACCGACAAACTCGCCGACAGAATGCCGGAGCATGTGTCCAGCGATCCCAATGACCCCGCCTGGCCTCTGGTTGATTTTAACAGGCGCGTTGTGGATCTGAAATTCCCCGCCTGTGTAATCCCCCACGGTCGCCAACACATCGAAGGCGGCATAAGGCGTCCCGCGGTCAATATGGTCGGGGCTAATTCGATTCGAGATGAGCTGGAAACCTGTGAAGCAAGACCCCCACTTAGAAAGGACGTTGGCGAGGTCGGGTTTTTTCGACAGCTTGGCCCTACACTCCATCCCGAGCTCGAATTGGTTGGGGTGCATGATCGAAATGACCGCGGACATAAGCGCATTTACCTCCCTCATCTCCTGGAGGAATTGGGAGCCGGACGCCTGTCGTTTCCCAGTCAGAGTGGCGGATGTTGTCGGATCTTGACCCTTGGTGTTGTTCAAGCATCGGAGATGTAGAAGGCGGGGAAGAGGCGTACCTTAGGCATCTTCGGATACCACGCCGGTGCGAATGTAGGTGTGCCCGCCGGCGGGCCTGTTCCCACCACTTCACGGAAGTTCTCTTCATGCTCCCGCCAGCTCGGCGTTGGAATAAGATTCGCGGACTTGGGTTTGTTGTCGCGCCATTGACCCGGGATCCGCAGCATCGACTCGATCATTTTCTCCTACACCGGATTCAGCCGTAGACAGGAGATGAAGCAGATTCACAAACCTGTCGTTCACGCGATAAAAGGCCGGGAATATACCAGAGAAGAACATTCTCGTGCTTGTCGACAAGGACAGTCGGAAGCGTCCAAGGCGTGCCGTACGTCTCGAACTTTGCACTGTGCGCGTCGATTTGGTTGTCCTTCGCCATTTTGTTAGGATTGTCGCTCAGCGCCGTCATTCGACGGCAATATCGCACGGCATCGGCGTCCACTGTTTCTGCCATTAAAGGTCAGTGAGATCGTCGAATTGATTTCATCAATACTCACCGATGTTGCCCATAGCTTCGGCGATGAGGACTGCCGCGACCGCCACTTCGAAATTGAAAGTTGCTGAGAGTCTGCTTCTCCCAGGCGGGTCTAACGATGGCATTGGCGGTGCCGGTTTCCCATTCCTCTCAATGTTCATGCGAATCGCGTGCATCGTCTCATGTCTAAGCACCGCAGCGGTGATTTCGACCAGCTCCGTCTCTTTGAGCATGTGTTGTTTAGACCGTGTCCCCACGAAGACTCTTGCCTCACCTGTTAACTCAGGAGATGCACCGGGCTCCATTGCGAAGGGCTGACCAGTCGATCGAGTCGCGGAGGGAGGGTAAGCGCAGTCTTGGCCGATCGGGCGCGATCGCGGTGAAACTGGGCGCGATCGCGGTGAAACCGATCGCCTGGTCTGGATCCATCCACTGATGCCGAAATGAAAGGGCGTATCGCGTGACACCATGTGTGTTGCCGTGGGCAGCCCGTCTGCGTGGCAGAGCACGTTCCGCCGGGCCGAGGCAATCTCCAGATATATGCGCTGCGCAGCCCTGCGCATATCGGCTGTCGGACAGAACGTCGGGTAACATACAAACGGAGTGATTGCGGCAGCTCAGTAAAATGACAGAATGATTATTCCGCGTCTCCTCCCGCTGATGGCGGTCGAGAAGTGACGGCTGTTGTGAAGAGTACTTGTTACCGTCCTTCGCCAGCAAGTTCGCCGCCTCTCGTCTTCCAAGTCCAGTAGCCATGAAGGCGACCGACGTCGATTTCAGCGAGCTCCAGCTGGGCGTCCTTGAGGGCTTCACGAATGCCTTTCGACTCGCCAAAGAGGCGGAGAAGGACAATGTCGTGGAAGAAGCCGTCGGTGAACTGCGCAAAATGGCCCTCGGTGCGCTAGCAAGCCTCGCCCCGAAAGACCAGTCAGAGGTAACCGCGCCATCGCTGGTAAGCTCTAGCGCATCTTATTTGCATTTTCAGGTAGTCCGCAAATGGCTCGTCAAGAATTCTCAGAAAAAGAAGAAGAAGAAAGGCGGTTCACGGGTGAACATCCGAGGCTGCGACCTCTGGCTGAAAGAAAACAAGGACGATGTACACGGCCGAGCATACGATGAAGGAACAAGCGGACCGCTCCCAAAGTACACTCTCGCTCGCTGGGGGGCCTGGCATGAGTTGTCGGACGAGGAGAAGGCAGAGTATCGGAAGAGGGGCGAGGCATTGAGGGCGCTGGTAGACGAGGAAGGAGCACAGATTACTCCGCCTTCAAAGCCGTCGGCGTGAGTCTCCCCGTCATGCGCCTCTTCCACGGAGTCTCAGCGTACATTTAGGTCGCTAGGCAATGCGGTCGACAAAAAGGTCCTCGCCTTCGCGAGAAAGATGCTCATCGAGGAAGGCGTGTACATGACGGTTTTGTGGGGATCATTAAGCACAGACCAAGGGCCGGTGCTTGGATTGTGCGCAGCGTGTCTCCATGCCACCGCGTCATACGCTTACACTCCATGACAGGTCGGACCACAGCCTGATTAAAGGAGTCAAGGAGACGTTTTCAGACCGGATGAAGAAGCCCGACTGGGACCCCGCTCGCCTGTGGTACGACTGGAGCAACTTTCTGAAGGCGATCTATCAAGACATACCGGCTGTCACCGTCAAGACTCTCAAGGAGAGCAAGGCCCAACGGAAGACCGCCTTCGGTTCCGTGCTCGAGCTCGATGAGGCGACCAGCCTACCGACAATCCCAGACACCTCTGCGCTCAATGCCTCGAAGGGAAAGACGGTGCAGTGGTGGCAACACGCTATCAGGGAGTTCCTGACGGTGCACTATGGTGCGTCCTGTACTCGACGACAGGAAACAATAAACTTACCATTCCTCGAAGCCGCTGCCTCCAATGGGAAGAAGGCCGCAGTTCCATACGCGAGGCTGAAGTCCCAAGGGTCACCGAAGTGCCTCGATCGTCAGTACTGGCTCCACGACATCGACTTCGAGGACCCCTCGAAGATCAAGAAGGGGAACTGCATTCGTCTCATGCAGTTCTGGAGGGAGCTGCAGGAGGGCAAGGACGGTACGACGTCGTTCAGGTTCAGGGGCTTCCTCGACGAGGTTGACGGGGACTGGGAATTGTTGCCTGCGGAGTATGAAGAACACCAGGCGCGATGGACCGCAGACGCGGCGGAGCGAGAGGCGGAGCTGGAAAGGGAAGCTGCGCGGAGGACGGAGGGCGGAGAGGGAGGGCGAGGGTCATCTGAGGACGCTGTCGCGCAGGAAGGCGTTGGCGGCCAGAGTAGCGTGACAAGTCAGAAAAGTTAGTATGCTCCTTAATTGATGCACGAATGGCGCTGACGGTCTGACAGAATCGAAGCCAAAGGCCGTGCGCAAGAAGCCCGCTCTGTCCCGAAAGGCGAAAGGAAAGCGCAGGGCACGGACAGCGTCACCCAGTGACTCGGGTTCTGACACGGACGAAGAGAAATGGAAGAGGATGGTTGATGGAGCCTCCGGCGACCAGGCATCGGATGAGGAGCGTAGAGGTGACGAGGAGGACCGGATGAGCAGCGGCGCTCAGGATCTGGCTGATTCCGACGACAGCACCGTAATGGACTCGCATGACCAGCTGGAGGCCTGGGCGGAGGTGGCCAAGGGTCGCTATGTCGGAAAGGCGCCTCTGGATGTTTCGAGCTGGAAGAAGCGTGTGTTGTACTTGGCGGGCATGAACTTCGACAAGCGGTATCAGGCTGCGATACTGAACTACTACGCTGCAGTCGAGAGGTATTCCAGGAGCTCTAATCGGCTTAACAGTTGGTTGCCCCAGCTGCTGGAAGCCGTACCTTGGGCGACTTGGACGTGGGGCGAGCCTACTCTGCCTGAGGAAGTCCACAGGAACCCGGACGGCCTGGAACCGCTTCTCCGTATTCTCGAGCAGAAGCCGTGGATGCGCGGAGAGGTCGCGGCGTTGAAGGTTGTGGAGCAGGTGCTTCTGGCCGTGGGCCTTTCGCTGCGAGATATTGCGGACAGCCATTTTAGCAACGACCCTGACGATGAGGCTCCGGTCGGCATTCCTGCCTTTGTGAACGACAGCAAGATTGGTTTCGCTACTAGCGAGAGGCTGCTTGCCGTCATCGAATCCCTGGGAGACGCGATCATCATTGACGGCGAGCCAGGGTCCAGCAGCTTTGATCAAGACGTCCAGTCTGCATTGGCCTCGACAGGCGTTAAACCGCCGGAGAGGCGGGCGCAGGACGAATCAGCTGCGCCAGCCCCGCCTCCTGCACAAGACGTACCGTCTACATCAGAATCGGAAATATTCCGTGCTCAGTCTCCACTCCGAGCTCAAGCACTTCCCCCACACGATGGCCCTCTCAATGATCCGCCCGACATGCCGATCGCTGAGAAGCCTCCTGTGCCCGACAGGGAGGTGGAGGCCCCCGGTCCTCAGGTTGCACCGTCGGCTCCAGATAATGGCAGTGAGCCTGGAGTATTTGCCGCGCCTGCTGCAGCGGGGCAGGCAGAAAAGACGCATGGCACACCCTCATATGCTGTGCCGGAGGAAGAACGGCGTGCGGGCCAGCCTCCTGTTCCGCCCTCTGCACCGAACTCAAACGACGCTCGCACATTCCAATCTGCGGACAACACGCGTGAGGAGCCTGCGTCTGCCCCAGACCATGTAGACATTGGAGAGGGACCATCGGATGGTGCCGCAGACAGCCTCGGCGACTCGTCTCGCAAGCGAAAGCGCTGGCTGTCGCAGGCCAAAGAAGCGGGCGGTTTGTCGGAAGAGGCGAGCAGCTTGTTGCAGCAAGCGGGCGGCTTGTCGCAAGAAGCGAGCGGTCTGTCAGAAGAGGCGAGCGGTTTGTCCCGAGCGGGCGGAAGTTCATCTGATAAGCCGCCTTCAAAGAGGCGAAAGTCTGTGCCGCTCCCTGAGCCCATTCTGAACGGGAGGAGATCCAATAGGTTGAAGGAGGGAGGTGAGGGGCTTCGGGAGATGCAGCGAGCGAAGACGCTTCTCGCTGCTGGTCGGGGACGCTGACGTAGAGTCGTTCGCATGTCACACTGCAGGAGTATCCCAGAATATAATTTTGCTCGTGCGTCATTACATTGAGAATACATGTTCGTACAGGGAATTGGAGAGGTACATTACTTCGATACATGCATGTTCACTCCGACAGGTCCATACCCAGCTCGCCGCCTGACTCAACCGGCTGCTCACCTCCGAGATCTTTCGCCGAAACGTCGCGCCCATCGTCGTTTTCGCTCTGGTCTCCTCCACCGTTGTCAGCGGCGCCCACGCCTTTGTCAGTCGCCTCTACGCCGAGCTGGTCGGACTCCTCGACCGTGCGTGCTTCGATGGACTGAGACCGAGAGGTTTGGGGTGTCTGATCGAATGTGGGCGAGTCGGCCTGTTGCTCCGGCTTGGATGCTCTCAACTCGGCGTCTGAGGGTGATGCCGAGCTCGCACGTTCGGACGAGACCAGCGACCCGTAGCGAGCGAGAGCGGCAAAGGTGGGAGGCGTCACTCGGGGCGCTGAACGCCGAGAAAGACGGCTTTGGTCGCCGGAGCCGGGGGTTCGACCGGGGAGACGGCGCAGGCAGGGGAACATTGTCGCCTTCGGGTACAGGCTGGAGCTCACCCATAGCGGGTGGACTGGGCACGGCTTGGCGGGATGTGGTGGCGGCCCACGGAGGTTGGCGACGCGGAGAGGCGGGAAAGAAGGGCCAAAGTGTGGCTGTGAGGGACCGGCAGGCGGCGCGCGGAGAGGCGCAACAGGCCCGCTAGTCTCCCAAAAGCGAAGGCTGGCGGACCCTGCTGAGCTTCGACAGTCTGCATACGCAACACTTCCATCTCTGCACGCATGCGGCCTTCGATCTCCTCAGTGCGGCGGATCGTCGCCTGCATCCCCTGCTGGACCGCGTTAGCAGTGACTTCGCTCCAGCGCCGAGCATTTTCTGCCTCTCTCAGGCGCGTCTCCACGGAGACTTGAGACCGGGCCAAGTCGTCCAGGCGGGCGTGGATCTCGTCGAACCTCTGAGCCGTGCTCTCGGCCGTAGTTCGAACTTCGCTCCGAAGTTCTCGAAGCTCCATCGTAAACGCGTCCACTTCGGGCGGACGTCCTTTCAAGATCTCCGCGAGCTTCGCCCTGATTTCGTTGTTTTCAACGACCTGGAAGGCGTACAGGCCGGTCCACACGCCATGAGCGTGCCAAAGAGCGTCTCGTAGGCCCGTCGTAACCCCTAAGTAAGTCGGCCATCGAGACGACCTGCGAGTTGAGCTGTTCGACGGAGACAGGCTGCCCGGTGCTTTGAGGCAGCAGCGTCCAGGGCAACGCGGCTTTGTCGAACGGAGACATGCCAAGAGACGGCCCAGCGTTGGAGTCAGCAGTGTGCGAGCGGGAAGGTCCTGGCGGTGGTGGCAACGGCGGCATCGGAGCATCAGGCGACCCTTCCTCGTCCAATGAGCGAGCCCGTTCGTGAGTGGGCGGGACGGCCTCGTCGTCAGAAATGGATATGACTGAGTCGCGGTCCATCTCACGGAAGCTCTTCAGCGGCTTCGCTGGCCGCTTCCCTGCGGCGCGGGCGGAGAGCGTCTCTGTCTTCGAGAAGTTCAGGCGTACGGCCAGACTGCAGAGCAGCAGAAGGGCACTCACCAAAACTTCGCCTGTAGGGAGGGCGGCCTCTTCCGGTTCCGGCTCGATCTTCACTTCAGCCATCTGGACATCGTCGTCCGCGGTCTCCGATTCTGGCGTTGGACGCTGTTCGACGGCTGGCGGACTCTTCTGCTGAGCCTGCTTCTTCTTCTTCCCAGACCCGGAGACTTGCCGATCCTGGTCGCTGTCCGTGTCCCCGTCGCCTTTCTTCGGAAGGTAAGGCGGATCGGCGAGCCGACCCTTCAGCTTCGCAATCTTACGCCTCTCTATCCAGTCCACCACCGCAGCGGAGACTTCGTCCTTCGTGTCATCCCAGGTGTCCAGGTCAGCTACCCACTGACCCTTCGCACCGTTCCAAATTGGAACTTCGGGATAGACCGCCCCCGAGGCCTTAAGGACCCGTACCATCTTCCGCCACTTGATTGCGGCTACACCGGCAACAGCGTTCTTGAAGACCGAGCCGTCGATCATGTGCCGAGGGACCAGCGAGCACGGCACCTTCCCTATCTTACAGGCCGTGCACCGAGCCACGATTACCGTCCCACTCGGGGCTTTCTTGCTCTTCTCCACCACGAAGAGGCACTTCTTACCGAGGTGGACGCAACGGTCGCACTCAACAGGCTGACTGAGTCAGTTTGCGGTCCTGCCGTAGAAGCGCACTGCTCACCGGAATGATCACGTCGCCAGCCCGCCCATTCTTTTCCGCCTCTATCTCAGCCTTGTTCACCTCCACCTCATCTACCTCTACTGTCGGCGCCTTTCGCCTTGATCCAGCGGACGCAGGTGGAACCTCGTCACGCTCTTTACGAATAGACGAAGGGCCCGCAGATTTGCCCTTTGACAGCGGCGCCTTGACCGGCGGCTTCACCGCGCCCGTCTTCATAACCGTCTTTCCAGCTGAGCCACCGACGTCCTTTGCGGGCTGCAGACTTGTCTTGTCATCGGATTTGGACTTCGACCGAGTCCGTAAGGCTTGCGGCGAGGACGCGCCTGACCTCCTCCGCCCAGTCTTGGAGGGGCCCGCCTCTTCCTCCTCGGGCTCGGCGTCTTCAGCGCGAGCCTCTTTCGACAAGGCCGCGTCGTCTTTGCCCGGCGGCGGGAGTAGCTCCTCCTCCTCAGAGTCCGAGACGAACTCCGGGGACTTGATCTTGGTCTTCCTGGTGTTCCTGGTGTTTCTCGCACCTTGCTTCGGGGCAGGAGCCTTCTCGGGAGTCGATCGTCGCCGCTTCTTCGCCTGCTCCTCGTCTTCGGTGTTCTTCTCGGGAACAGGATCTAAGATCCGTGCGCGCTTCTTCGTGCGGGATCCCTCGCCCGCTTGTCAGGAAAAGCGCGTGAGATCGCTTTCGGAAGCACGCTTAACCGCTTACCATTCGAGGGCCCAGGAGTGTCGCGATTGTTCGCCTCTGTTGTGGCGTCAGTGCATGAGACGTCTTTCGAGCACAGACGCCCACCTTGCCTCCACCAGCCGACAGAGCTGGCGGCTTCTCTTGAATAGTCGAGCTCTTGAATGAGCTCCCTGGGGATCAACGGTAGGGGCTCGTTCTTGGGCTGGGACTTGGACTTCGCGACTATCTCCGAAACACCGTCCAGGGTCTTGAAAGGCCAGCCAAGTAGGCCATCGCATGCAGCCGCTAGGACGTACGGGAGCCGTATTCTATTTGTGTCGGCCGCTTCCGCCATGGACGGCCAGTAACGGTACTGCGGGCATTGGATCAGTATGTCGAAAGTGATCGCCGCGCCTGTACCTACAAGTTCGGCGTGGAGAGCGACTTCCGCGACACGGCGCTCCTTGGCTGGCGCCTCGAGCGCCGCTTGGGCGCGGCCTGCGAGCATCAGTACGTCTTGCATCGTAATTGGCTGGGGAAAAGCGTCGGGTATTTGAGCGCTCGAGGGGTTGACGGGCGCGCCGGCGGCAAAGGCGCGAGTAAAGGCGTCCCCAGCCATCGCTTAAAGGGAGGCTGGAAGGCGAGGCAGCAGGGTCGAGTGGCAGCGTGAGTCTCTAAGTCAAGAGTGCCACGTAGCACGAGCGCCGCCGCCGTCGCAACGCGTCGGTCATGTGACACCATCCCACGCCACATATATGCGGCCGCAAGCGCCCGTAACCGTCTTGGCCAGCGACCACAACCATCAGTTCCAGCCACCTCAAGGTAAGCTTTCGTTTCACCGGAAAGACCATTTGTATGACCTTCTGAACTTACGCACACACAGGGAAATCTGAGCAACATGCCTCCAAGTCGCAGTGGAAACGAAAGGCGTTCACAGAGAAGCGGTAAGCAGCGGTCCAAGCTGTGCGAGAGAAAAGCTGATGCCTTTCAGTCCTTGACGGCCCGGTAGAGGATCCCCTGCGTCCGTGGGGGCTTGCTCAGCCTCTTTCGCCGCCCAGAGCGATGGTCCAGCCTCTCCCACGTCCCGCCATCCTGCTCTCGCCTCTCGCTCGCCCGTTCACGGCATCGCCTCTGCGCGCACCGCGCGGCGTGTGTGCGCCTCTTCCGCGCCCGGCTGCTCTCGCGCCTCTGCCCCGGCCTCAACAGCTGGCGTCGCCGTTGTATTCGTTCCATACGTTGGCCGACGCTCTTCCGCGCCCTTCCGCGCCTGCCCTGCCCCTGGCTCGACCCCCCGCGCCCGTGCGGCCCCTGGCTCGACCCACCGCGCCATTCCAACCTATGCCGCAGGTCCAAGTCCCCACGCCGCCGCCGTCGCCTGACAACATCGTCACGCCTCTTGGCCTGCCGATTCAGCTCCTCGCACCGCCTGGTGCCGCTGCCATGAGGCGTCGGGTCATAGAACCGCATGAGTCCGCGGTGCTCGCCAATCCCCTCGAGCTGCCGCCTGTCGAAAGCGACCGGGCCCCGACCACTCCTCGGTCCAGAAGGCTCGCGTCACTCAGGCCGCGTAAGCCCAGGCACATATTGGTGAGTATGTATCCGTTTTGCTACTCAACTCTGAGCTGAAGTGTCTGTGTCTTTCCAGATGCGCCTTGACGACGGCGGCTACTTGGAGGCATTTGCTTTGGGGGACCCCGCTAAAGGTATGCCGTCTCTTCCTCGACTCTAACTCGACCCTCATAAGCACCCGCAGGTCCATACTACTGCCAGTCTGACTCCTTCGAAGACGGTCCGGCGCCCTTAAACCAGGGCCCTATTTTTCAGGTGGGCAAAAACCTGCTTTGGGACGTCGAGGCCATCGTCGGCCATCGGGTTGTCAGGCGCGGCAACAAGCGTACGTTCAAAATCCTGGTGAAATGGGCGGGCTGGGTCGACCCGACGTGGGTCCCTCTTTCGTACGTAGCAAAGCTCCCGTTGTTTGAAGAGTACTGGCAGGGGAGGGGGGCTTAGTACGTGTACCTAGTACCTACGATCTGTCTGGCCATTAGGTGTGATTCAATGTATCTCGCTGCTCGACGTCTCGCCTCTTGAGGGACGCTGTACACGGTAGAGTAAGTGCGTCATGGGCGGGCTTGATTAGCGCGATCAAGCTCGAAAAGGGGTGCACCGTCTTTAGAAAGGCGTGCCGGTCGGTAAGCGCACGCCTCTTCGACGTCCCGCCTTGTGCGGACCAGACGATGAGCAGACAACTTGCGTTACTAAGTCGACCAGCACATGTTGTGTCCATATGCCACCGGAGGGCCGTGAACCAACCCATACTTACATCGGCTGGAGCAATGCTCCCAGCCGACCGTTGTACAACCAAACCAACCGCCTTTCCATTCAACTGACCCTACTTTACTCAACCGATGCCACTATCAATCGACCGACCGTACTTTGACTCAACTGACCCAGTCACCAATCAGCCGACGGTCTCAGAGAAGCCAACCCCATCCGTCAGTCCACACCAGCCGACCGATGGGGTTCGTACACGGCCGATACACGGCTGTTGAATACTCATTGACCGTCGGCCGCCGTCGGCCCATCCTATACCATAGGGCTTTTCGACCTGTCGGTTATCCTATGGTCATAGGGTAGAGCCGCTGCCTGGTGTGGCGAAGGAGCAGGCAGACGAGCGCATGAGCGGACGAGCAGGTGAGTGAGCAAGCGGGTGGGTGCGCGAGCCGGCGGTCTGATCAGGACAGGGCACGGTGTCGTGCAGCAAGACACACGACGGCCGCGAGCGCGCTGGGCCAATGCCCAGCACGCAGACACAGTCCACGAATGCGGGACTGGCAAGCCGGCGGGTGAGCGGTTGGTGAAAGGGTGGGCCCAGGGGGAGCTGGCAAGACCCTGCTGTGCATAGCGCCGACAAGGTCAGCTGGGGCGTCCCCGTTGGCAACGCATATGTCGAGTCGCACTTTGAGGTACGCTTCCGCCTTCAAAACCTGTCCCGTCTCATGCTGATCTGGCGATAGGAGTGCCTCCCACAGCTGCGCAAGGTGATCACCTGGGTGAAAGAGGGCGACTGGAGGAAGTTCGCAGCCTTCAAGTTTGCGGGCCCGGAGCTGTCGAAACTCACTGCCCGGGACGACAAGGTCGTCCTCGTCGGTGACTTGTCGCACACCCTGTCGGGTGCCTTCGACTCGGGTGCAGGCTTTGCCATGGAGGACGGCTGAGTGCTCGTGCAGGCGCTGCGGCACTGCCGGAACGACATCCACCGTAGGGCCAGGACGCCCACAACACACGCCGATTACGAGCACGTAGGGCCAGTGCCCCACGTGCAAACACAGCCGACGAACGCGCTGCGGATACGAGCACAACAACGAGCTGGTGGGAGGGGCATGCGGACGGTGCGTGTGGCCGGGAAATGAGCACACGCAAGCGAGCAAATGCTCCCGTCCACAGGTGAAGGGCTGGCAGGGACACGCGAGCGGATGGGAGAATGCGCGAGCGGCTGGGGAGAACGCGCGAGCGGGAGCATCAGCGAGCAGGGAGTATGGCGAGTGGGGAGGACAGAGAGAACAGCCCGTGCGGGTGCAGGCAACAAGCCCAAACCCATGCCGGTACCACCGAGGTAAGCTAACCCGCGGTTCACCGCCGACAGTGACCCCCCTTGCCCGTACTCCCTCGCCCGACGGTCGCACACTTACTCGTCTACCCACCCATGCGCCCGCCCTCGGCTTTACGCGCCCGCCCTCAGCTCATCACCCCCTCGCTCGTCCACCTGGCTCGTCTGCCCGACTTGTCCGCCCGCTTCGCTTGTGCATTCCCAACCCTCTCACAACCAAGGAATCGGACTTGGCCTTCCCGGAGTGGACGCCGGATCACCAGGCCGCCTTCGAGGGCATCAAATCTTTGGTATGTAGTCGAGAGGTGCTCACAGTCATAGACCACGACGACTTGACGAACAACCACATTTTCGTCTTGTGCGACGCCAGCGACCTGTGCACTGGCGCGATGTTATCCTTCGGTCCGACTTTGGAATCCGCTCGCCCTGTTGCCTTCGAGTTGTGCTCTCTCAAGGGTGCGGAGCTCAACTACCCCGTGCATGAGAAGGAGCTCTTGGCGATTGTGCGCGCGCTGAAGAAGTGGCGAGTCGATCTGCTCGGAGTGCCATTCACGGTGTTCACGGACCATGGCACCCTGGAGAATTTCGGAAAGCAGCGAGATTTGTCTCGTCGTCAGGCGCGATGGCAGGAATTCCTTGCGCAATACGACTTCGAGATCAAATACATTAAGGGTGAGCACAATGTTGCGGCTGATGTGCTCTCTCGCTGCCCTGCTGCCGACGTCATCGACGCCTCCAGCTGTGCTGCTGTATGCGATCTCCGTCTGGCGACTCAGGCGCTTCGGTGGGCTACTGAGTGTCTGCCACGAATGGCGGTTCCTGAGGCGCATGCTGCAATAGTAGGTGTGTCGGTATCGACTGACGCGTCTCTACTGCAGCGCATTCATGACGGCTACGTCGCGGATGCATGGTGCCAATGGTTGTGTTCGATGGTGGGGACCTTGAACGTTACCGAGCGCGATGGTCTGCTCTTTCTGGGGGACCGTCTTGTCATTCCTCGCATCACTGAACTCCGGGAAGCACTCTTTAGACTTGCGCATGACGCTCTAGGTCACTTCGGCTTTGACAAGTCGTACACCACTCTTCGGTCAGCTTACTATTGGCCCAACATGCGGAAGCATCTCGAACAGATGTACTTGCTTGCGTGCGAAGACTGCCAGCGCAACAAGTCGCTGTCCCGGAAGCCCACTGGGCCTCTGCATCCACTGCCAGTACCCGACGGTCGGTGCGAGTCGGTGACCATCGATTTTGTCGGACCACTCCCGGAGGATGAAGGAAAGAACTGTCTCGCCACGTTCACTTGCCGCCTCGGTTCTGCCATCAAGGTTGTTCCCACTCGGACCGACATCGACAGTGAACATTTCGCTGTCGACTTCTTCGACGGGTGGTATTGTCGTCATGGCCTACCGTCCGACATTATCTCGGACCGCGATAAGCTATTCACATCCAAGTTTTGGTCAACCTTGCAGAAACTGGCAGGTGTCAAATGGAAACTCTCAACCTCCTACCATCCGCAGACGGATGGTGCGTCCGAGCGAACGAACAAGTCGGTCATTCAAGCACTGCACTTCCACGTTGGACGGAATCAAAAGGGCTGGGTCCGCGCTCTTCCTCGTGTCCGCTTCGCTCTGATGAATACTGTCAACGCCAGCACCGGCTTCTCGCTGTTTCAACTGCTCACCGGGTGCTCCCTTCGCTTGATTCCCCCTCTTCTGGATGCAGACATTCGTGTCGCCTCCTCTGTCTCTCGTCTAGCCGCCTCTGTTCTGCGACAGATCGACACCGACATTATGGAAGCCCAGGACAACTTGTGGCTCGCTAAGCTACATCAAACACTGATGGCAGCGGCTCATCGCGGTCCTGAAATCGCTTACGAGGTCGGGGACCATGTCATGCTATCAACCTTTCACCGTCGGCACGAGTATATGCAGAAGGGGGACCATCGCGTGGCGAAGTTCATGGTTCGCTGGGACGGCCCGTTCACCATTCTCCACTCACATCCTGACTCCTCCGTCTACACACTCGATCTGCCAGCGTCCATGTCAATATTCCCGACATTCCATGCTTCGCTACTGAAGCCGTATCGACCCAATGATCCCGCCTTGTTCCCGGATTGTGAGCACGCCCAACCAGGGCCCATTGTGACTGCTAACGGGCAGGAGGAGTTCGAGGTCGAATGCATCCTCGACCGGCGGCGTCGAGGGCGCGGCTGGCAGTATCTTGTACGTTGGAAAGGCTATGGTCCGGACGCGGACTTATGGCTACCCGGCTCCGCGGTGGAAGACCTCGCGGCGTTGGACACGTTCTTGGCTTCATTGGTTTGATGGTACGGACTACGGACTTGCTTCTGAATGGACCCTTACTGTACACATTTACTATCCATCTCTCATCTCGCCTGTCCCCCCTGTTTGTGCTTTAGAGTGGGGAAGAGTGTAACCGTGCTCCCGCCCGTTTACGATCATTATGATATCACACTGACTTCACGTTACATAAGCGACACCGCTCCTCATAGTTCGTTTACCTCCTTCGTTGCTCTCCAGCTCTTACTGTCGTGCAACGAAGGTATGTTCTCATACTACTGTTCTCTTCCTGTACTTACAGAGCTCTTACTGTCATGCAACGAAGATACTCGGTTCTTGTTCAAACAAAAAGTGTAAGCCCGGCGTACCGCACGCCGGGTAATCACTCAGGAAGCAGAACAAGAACCGAGTATCCTGCCCGCGCCCGCCTTCTCAGCTGCTCACCCGCTTTTGTCCGCCCACTCTCGCTCATTGTTACGGATGCGGTGGACCGGGTAAAGTCCGCCTACAGCTCGCTATTCCGTTCTATGTACAATAACCGCGATCCTCACGTCTTCAAGTCGCGACCTTAGTTATGGACTAGCAGTACTTACCATTTCCGGATGTATTAGTAAGCGCGCCTCAGCACTCTTGACGCGCGCCACCGAAATAGACGCACACTCTTGCTTATTGAGTCCATAACGAGAGCGCTCCCTGCCTCTCGTTCCCCGCCGTGCGCTCCTCGTCACGACTGGGGTCGGCTCCTCGCCACCCTCACGGTCGTGCTCCCCGCTGACCGCCAACGCGGCTCCTTGCTGCGCGAACGATAGCGCAGGCTCCACGCCTCGCGCACTATCAGTGCTGAAGACCCTTCGGCCACGACCTCACGACTTCAAGCCCACACGTCGGTCGCAGAGTGACCACCAATGCACTCGTCCGCCGGTAGCCCGCCCCTCTGAAGAGAGCTCGCAACGGCGAACTCCAATATTGGTGGACATTCAGGGGAGTGTTCCACTACCCGGCGACGTAACACTTACCTTCCTCCATGACGACCCGTACGCCTTCCTCCTTGCCCCCAACCTCGAACGACACAGCGCGTCTGTCTCGAGTGTCCTCGACTATACCGTCTGGGTCAACTACGCCTTTCACGCCCGTCTGCATGCCCAGTCCAGTGCCTTCCGCCAGCCACGAATGTAAGGCTATTTCTAAGCCCCTTCAACTCAGCGAGACAACCCCTTCATCTGGGACGTCGGCCAGTGCGGCACGAGTGAGCGAGACCCGCCGCTCCTCACTGTCTAAGCTCGGTCCAACGTACCCTCAACCCTTCTTCAAACCATTTGAAGAAGACGTCCCCAACGCGGAGAAGTCCAGCGACGTTAAATTCCCGTCACTCTCGGACCTTCCTCCCGACCATTTAAGCCACGACAGCTCGGGAACCACTCTGCCCGGCGCCTGGGGCCCTAGCAGCCCGCTCCCAGCGAGGACTGCATCCTTCGCGTCCGCTAGCTTCATCGGGGTTGACATTCCGGCTCGGGACCTCCGCTCTCCTCTCCTCTCCGCGACAGTAAGCCGGACGCTACCTCCACCCCTTGGCGTTCGTCCTCGAACCGAACATAACCTCGAGGCTCCCCCGTTCTCCCTACCACGCCAGATACGACGGGCTGCCAAGGGAACGGCCAATAAGATACACTTATGGGACATCCTCGACGGCAGCGGCAGGTTCTACCAGCACATGCGAAGGCCGGAAGAGGCGCACCAGGTATACCTTGAACTCAAGGCCCCGCACAGCCTGGAGAGATTCGGCGCTCTGTTCGACGAAGGCAATAATTTCGTCAGCGAAGAACTTGAAGAAACGGATGTGCGCGACATGAAGAACACAGAAGACAAGGACTCCCGTTTCCATCTCATCACTCCGCTGATGACGAGGGTCGAATACATCATCGACGGCACCGAGGCTCTTGTGGTCTCTATCTTGGTCCTCGAGGGTCCTCCGCGCCACTGGAAGGCTGACCACGTGGACGTGCTCATGAACACACTGTGAGGCGCTTCGTCCAAAGGCATGATATCAGACGCCTATCAAACGACGCAGTACCGCGTAGCTAAGGCCCTGACCATCATCCTTCAACGTTGGGCCTTGCATAACGGTCAGAACTACAGCGGTACAATCAACTCCACCGCCTCCAACTTCAGCGAAGACCTTCGAACCTCAAAGACCAAGCGTGCAATGCTTGACAAATGGTTCAAGCATCCCGGCATCTATCCTAATCTCACGCCGGAGTACCAAGCGGTAGTACAACGCCAACTCAACGCGGCTCCAGAGTCTGATGACCCTGCTTCGAACGCGCAAGTTCTCTCCGAGCAACGATTTAGCAGGTTGCCGAAAACTCTACTCGACAATCCTCTATTCCGTCTGCGTATCCCCTCGCCTAGAGAAAGGACGGACCTCGAGTCGTCCGCATCCTCGGCCGACCTCGTCGAACAAGAGCTTACTCAAGGAGCTTCTTATCTTTCTGCCGAGCCCACGCAGTCCTTCGGGACTAGTGGTGTTCGATTGCCTCCTTCTACTGTCGACATGCGTCCCAGGTACACCCAACGATCCAGCTACACGAACCCAGATTTCCTGCTTCCCCCGGATCGAGACGACTTGCCCAAGCGAGTTCAATTCCAAGATGCTTCGTACGCTGGTGATTCAGCTTACCCAGCTTCTGTGTCAACCTATACTATTCCGGTACCCGCGACAAATCCAGCTACCTCGCAGGACAACCGACCGTCATCAGGCCCGTTCCCTCGAGGGAACTCTCGCACCCTACCAGAATCCGACGCTGCTCGCGTCGTCCGGGAAGCTGTTTATCCAGGAGGACCGCCGCTGTCCTCCCTCAAGTCGCTCTCGAATCTCCATATAGTCTTGACAGACCCAGCTCCGTCGACCTTCATTTGAGACTTGCCTCCTCACATGCACCCTCGACCTCCCCGTGCCACGAACACCAAGAGCTCAAGCAATGCACAATTCTACTATTACCAACCAGATCCCACCGCTCATCCGGTGTATGTTGGAAATCGTCCGACTACGACGGATCAGCCGGACCAACGACCTAAAGGATCCAACGATTCAATGCCTCCAGGCCCGCCCCGAGCCCCCAATCCCTCCGGCAATGGGAACGGAGGCCCCCCTCGTGGAGGCCCACCTTCGAATGGCCCCCCCTTCAGGAGGCCCGCCTGGAGGACCGCCAGGAGGCGGAGGCGGAGGAGACGGAAGCCCTGGCGGTCACGATGACCGCGGAGGCCGGCCCAGCAACGATGCTCGCCTCAACCCTCCGGCCCCTTACTACTATACGGGCGGAGATGGAGGCGGTCCACCGGACGGAGGGCCTCCACCCGCCGGGAGCATGACATACGGCTACCTCCCCAATGGTTTGCCCGCCATCATCATCCATCACTCTCCCGCACCCCGAGAACAAGGAGTGAGACTCGACCAGAAGATCTCTCGCAAATCCGTCCCCGAGTGGAACGGAAGCATGAAGACCATCTTGATCTACTGACACAAGATGAACAATCTCGCTGAGAAGAATACGCATGTAGCTCGAGACCTCGGGTCAGTCGCTCAGGACAAATTCTCAGGTCGCGCGGAACGATGGTGGCTACTTCTGGACAAGAAGATGAAAGAAATCTATTCGTCCGGTTGGTGGGCTCTCTACGAGGGTATCAAGGTACAATTCTTCACACACAAGTTCATCGTCGCTCTCCGAGACCACTACGACGGCCAAAGATTCCGTCAACCCGGCTACGAGAAAGAGTCACCCCTCGACTTCATCGAACACCGCTTCCTTTATCACCGTCACCTTACCAAGGTGCAAGAAGAACCAATGGATGAAATTGCCGCCATCATGCAGAGCGCTCCACCCACCTGGTCGACCGTTCTGTCTATCGATACTATTTCCATGGTAGCGGCTCTGCTGGCCAAGCTCGCCGACAAAGCCGACGAACTAGTCGCTTTCGCAGCTATGGCCCCCACCCGGACCTCGCAGTACGAACAATTGCTCCACCTCCCGTCTTCCAAGAGTGAGTCGCGGTCTATGACACGCACGAAACGAGTATATGCCGGAGACGGGTCGGGCGGAGGTGTCTCGTTCGAACAGGAGGACGACGAGAACGAGTTCCAGGACTCAGAGCGACCAGCAACGAGTGATACTGCCGCTCCTGCTGATGCGCCGTCAGGACCCGCTTGGATGTCGCAAGCCGCTGCCGTCCAGAACAAAGACTCGTCAAGTTCTAAAGCCCGGGGCAGCGGTCGCAAGCCTCCAAGGGCCGGTCACCGTTTCACTCGCGATGACTCTGTCAAGAGCAAGAAGCACCCTCCGGGAGACTGTCGCATCTGCGGTAGTCCTTACCACTGGGACCGAGACTGCCCTCACTGGAACGAATACGATATAGGGCGCAGGGCCATGTTCATCGGCGCAGAATATGATTGTGAGCTCAACGAAAACGAAGAATACGAGGAAGCTTTCGTCGTGTACATATGTAGCAGCCTAGGCAATGCTAAACTCTCGAGCGCTTTGTGGGCGGACATCCGCCGGTCCGAAGGCGAATATCTCAAGGCTACCGCCAGCCTTCGCCGACGTACGTACCCAGTCCTTGTGGAGGAAGTCTCCAAGACACTGCCATCGAAGGAGACTCTACCTCCGGATTGCGCCCATATACTCGAAGACATGTCCGAGAGTCGTACTGACCAACTGACCGACATGCTCGCGGAAGCGTTGTCTGTGAATGGGTCTACCCACTTTGAATCAAATCACCGGAGTTCAGCCCAAGCCGTGTCGAGAGAGGGTGGATCTGCCGCCCCTCTCGAACCAGGCTCTCCACCGGAGGCCGAGCCCAAGGTTATAACTCTTAATCGAGTTAGGGATCCCCCGCCAGGTCATTCGACTGTCGGAGTCGCAGCGCTCTCGTTTCAGCTTCGCTTCGGCAGTCTCGCTCATCCCTCAGTGGTGTGCCGAGCTGACTCCGGAGCTGACATATCCCTCGTATCGCAAGAATACCTCGATTCGTTGCCGCCGTCATCGCGCCCTCGCGTACGTCAAGGATTAAGGATGAACCTCTTCCAACTCACGGGAGGGTTTCGAATCACCGGCTACGTTCAAACGCAAGTCTATGTTGAGACAGAACAAGGCCACACCCTGAAGATGTTAGCCGAGTGTTACGTAGTGCCCGGCATGTCGTCGTCCCTATTGCTCGGCGAGGACTTCCACGTCAATTATATAGTGTTTTCTAAAGGGGGTACAGGTTGGGATAGGGTCCGGGTAGCACCACTTTTGCCTACGAAATGTTGGGTTTTACCCTCCAAACAGGTACCAAAACCAATGAAACAGGGGAAAAACAGCGCAGATTCGATGTATTGGAGCAATGTGGGTTTGGGTACGGATTTTTTGCCCCAAGATATCCCAACTTTACAGTGATCTATGGTCCGACACGACACAACATACATTATATTCATGTACAGCGAGCAGACATCTCCGATATCACTGCGACGAGAGCCCTGTGTCCGACAGTGCTACATCGTTCATGAACGATGTAGCCGACAGTGCTGTATCGCTCATGAACGATGAAGCCGGCAGTTGTAGGATGTATCGTTTACGAACGATGTAACACTGTCGCATACATCTGCATAGCTGCAGATGTATGCGACAGCGTTACATCGTTCATGAACGATGCATCCTACGACTGTCGGATGCATCGTTCATGGACGATACAGCACTGCCGGCTACAATAGCCGCAGATGTATGCGACAGGTCGGATGCGTCGTTCATGAATGATGCATCCGACAGCACTGCAGAGATCTCCGACAGTGCTACATCGTTCATGGATGGTGTAGCCGACAGTACTGCAGATGTATCCGACAGTGCTACATCGTTCATGATCGATGCCTCCGACAGCACTGCAGTTGTATACGACAGTGTTACGTCGTTCGTGAACGATTTATCCTACAGTGCTACATCGTTCATGGACGATAAAGCCGATAGTGCTGTATCTTTCATGAACGATTCATCCGCAAGTACTGCGTCGTTGTAACCATGTGATAGGGTTAGGGTCCACACAGGGAAAATGGTTGTCTTGAATTCCCTCCCACAATGGGACTTGTCGCAGTGTGTCTGAGGTGGACCACATCGTTCGCAATCGATGCGCCCATTAACATTAGAGTGTCAATAGCTAGCATGATTCACCTCAGCTACCAATGGACAGAAACAGTTGAGATATCCAGTCCAATCTCTATTACCGTAGCTTGTGTCGTGACGTCTGACAGTAGTCATTACAGAAACCCATGATGGAGTCGGTTGAGGCTTGCTGAACGCTTGTCATTCGTAAAGACATACCCTCGTTGCAGCATCCATTCAGTCGAGATGTACTGTTCTGGTGAACCCACTGCCAGGTTCCGCATTCAATGGCGTCAACTTGTAAGATCATGCATAGAAACAAACTCCAGTAGTCCTTTTGAAGGCTTCAGGAAAGGCACATCGGTTGTATCAAACTCTATGTCTTTTTTGTCGCTGATTTATAGGCCATCGGACGCACCTTGTGATTCTCTCAGAAGATGGCCGGTGTGTCAGCGACCTTGCGTCATCATCCACCCATCGGTATGCCGACACAATCACCGGAATCAATTGGAGATCACTGGATGCGAGCCTCGAGGTGCAGCAGGCTCTGTCGGGCCAACGTCCGGTTTCCCCCGTCGTTG